AACCGATTGGAAAGCCACCGGAAAACAACGGAAAATTTCCGGCCGGAATACTGCTTCCGATTCCCGCGATGCCCCGCATTTCCTGCCGATTGCCGCAGTATCAGTTCTCCGTAATCATTGACCTGGGCCAGTTCGAGATGAAAGATATTTAAAAAAATATATTATAAAGTAACTTCAGAAAAAAAGTGTAACTTCAGAACAACATATAGACAACATCTATCATATAAATATCAGCCAGATCAAGGAAATCTACTGTGCAATCTGATATTGTATTTTGTCTATATATAGCTGGAATTACTTTTGAAGTGAAGATTTTCCTCCACTCGCAGTTGCATCTCATGGTTCACAGAAGGATAGAGTGAACAAGAAAAAGAATTATTTGATTGTTTTAATAGTCAGTTTTCTTCTGAAACGGCTTGTGTCGGGTTTCTATAATATTGGAATTTCAAATTCTATCGATTTGTCCTAGTTCCTACAGATTGGACAGTCGTAGTGGGTCACAGTGTAAATTACTGGTAGCCCTCCACATTCACATCCTCAGTTATTCTATTAGCAATATTTAACTAAAAGAGAATAACAACTTTGTTTTGGTAACCGGCAAGATGTTCCTCGTATAGTTGCTCCCCAGCGACATTGACTCTCGGAACAGTGTTTCCGCAACAGCGTATGATTCATACAAAAATGTGGGTGTGTGGGTGAGTGAAGAGGATAACCGTTTGTTCATACGCGCACTGACACACTTACACCGATACAGCCATACCCTCAAATAAATAAATTTATACCTTAATCTCGTGCTGATTAACATTTTTGTTAAATACAGTTAGGGAGGAAATACCACTGGGAAGCATCTTGCCGGGATTCCTTTGTTTTCGATACAGGCTGTCATTCTCAAATCATCAGCAGACGACTTCGAATTCATATATTGCCATACTTTCCGATGAAATTTCGAAAATCAGCCCTTCTCAATAAAAGCAACTGGTTTAAATCTTGTTTTTAAAATCAATTTCTCTTTGCTCAAGTATCTGTGCCAGATGGCTCAGCTACTTTCAGAAACTTTAATAGAAAGACAATGTCAAATGTTTTGTAGAGCAAAACATTTTCTATCGAATAAGCTACGATTGAAGCATGCTAGTTGAATTTTCTATCTGCAAAACACAATAAATGTATGTCGTCCTTTGTGAGCTAACTGCAAGAAATACACACCGCATTATGTATTTGTTAACGATGCTGGCTAGAGCATACGTTGAATTATACTAACAATTTTTCACTGAATTGCCAGAGAAACATATTCACCACTATATAGTGCTAAGCAGTCTCGAAAATCAATAATTTATGAGCAATAAGAATATTTACTATCACAAAGAAAGATGAAACCTCAAATAGCTTTGCTCGATGAAAATCGCGATTGCTTACTCTGAAATATGCCTGAATGTTTTCTAGCACCGTTAATATATGCGCAGTTACTTTATCTGTCTACTAGAAATTACTCAGTGCAATTTGAAGTATAACCATTCAACAGAAAATTATATTGTTACCATCCGCCAGTAAGACCGCCGCTTCTTTCATGCGAATAGTAACTCCTCAACACGATATATGTTCTCGAAGAATGTTATTCATCCTTCTTGTATCCACAAAAATGTTGCTCTTCGCATTAATGGTAACATATTGTCTTTGTATCTGTGAAACATGGTCTAAATTAAGTTTTGAAGTAAATAAGATTTCGGTGTTTTGCTTTCTGTTATAATAATGGCAAGCAAGCATACATGTAAGACGTATATCAAACGAATGAAATCGACGCATGTGTCAAGAGATCTAAGGATGAAGGAAGAAAGAACTTTTACTATTCCATCATTAGATCCCGTGTAATTTATTTTTCCTTCAGTACTGTTCATACAGAGTTTGAATTTGCATATATCTACACAGATAGATAACTTTTTGAGTAGTGTCACATATCCAAGATTTTGGAGAAGTGCACACTTCTCCCATAGGAGACGCGGCACTCACACTTGGAAGATGCGGTGATTTGCTGTTGGAGACGTATCAGATCATTGAGAATGTGCATCCCTCACATTGGGTGCTGCATCTTCCGGTAGAGATGCGAGCACTTCTCCAAAATCTTGGATATGTGACACTGCTGATGCCGAACTCAATATTCTATGCAGCTTGTCCAGTGGTAACTCAACGTTTTCAGATGAGTTAGCATTTTCTTCTCACAAGGGACCCACTGAGAGTACAAGCCTGCCGAACAGTTTAGGTCAAGATATCATTTGCCACAAGGCACATTTTTTAGAACAAAATCAATTTCAGCTGAGAAAAAGTCAATAGGTCACCTCCAGCGCCTAACAGATATTTAGGAATTCTCCGGAAAAGCTTATTAGCGCATCCCCTTTTGGGGCTACAGTGTGGAACTCACATGCATGTATATCCCTTATGCCTACTAAAATAATTCAAAATAACTCAAAGGAAAACTCTACGTTAATTTCCAAACCTATAATTAGTTTAACTACTAATTAGCATAATTTTCTTCGAAAATATATGTGAGTTCCACAAAAGAGCGAATTTAGAAATTTGATTAAAGAATAACTCGGGTTTTTACATGTTTTATGATATTTACATAATAACTAAATAAGTTCATTTGTAACATATCTACAGTAGTGCTAAGTTTTTTCTTGCGTTCTTCTGGAGATTCCCGACTACGCATTTGTTTTCGTCTCTCTTGTTCTGTACAGTTCTAGATGTATTTTCTTTCGAAATATTCCATTTCAAACTCAAAGTGTTCCAATATCAAAAATACGTAGATCCCTATTATTTCTATGAAAATGAAAAGAATAAAGAGAAGAAATTGCGCCCTTCACATTTACATAAGATAGATTATTTGTCACAACTTGCTAAGAGCATTATGATCAAATCTAATTGTATACGTGTAGCAACAATGTATAGATGCTGAAGTGGTGTAAAGTCAAATAATATTGAAGAAATCATGAGCAACTGTTACATAGTTTAGCAGTATTGAACCGTTAATGAGTGACCGATTACAAAAGAGAGAGAGAGAGAGAGAGAGAGATGTATAGAATTTATGAAATTATCTATCAAGATTTCGATTTTTGCCCTGTCCTGCGCACGTCTCTGCTCGGAAAGTCAAATATCAACAAAATCTTGCAGATCGACACAACTTGTTTGCGCTCATATTCATGATTATATTTCAACTTTGATTTTTTCCACGAATCCTTCATCGATACTTTAAGTTCATTATTCAATTAGACTGAGAGAACTCGTGTTATGTTTTCAGGCAAAAAGGACATAAATCAACATATTTGCTTTAGCTTCCTCACGAATTGCGAGTATTTTATTCTTAATTTTTCGGGTTTTCCCAGTGGAAGCTTTCGCGCAAACACAGTGCACACTTTTAAAGTGCTAGCGACATATTTGGATTCTTTGGCTTAAATGTATAGGTGTCGACAAAGTTCGGTATCACTAAATCGTTCGTCATCAAATATCTTAGTTTAAAAAATGCATCGAAAACTAAAATAATTGTTAACAAAATGACGAGTCACAAAAAATTCTTAGTGAACAAATAGTTATACTTCATGTTTTACTAAAAATATTCGATCACAAAATCTAACAAATATTATTAGTCAGTGTATCAGGTGAAAAAATTCTCTGTATGCTTTTATTGTTAAAAGAAAGCATAGAATGGGTGTGTGGGACAGTTTATTGATAAAATAAAGCATAGGTTAAACTCTATTATGAAGCATTTCGAATCAAAAAAGGAAGCAAATCGATTCGGAGACGAGGGCAGGAATATAGACGTCCACCATTGTTAATTTACTGTAAAATTCAAAAGGATATTTTTAATTAACAAAACAAAATTCTTACGGTCATTTGAATCTTCTTCACTCTTTGGATCTTTTGATGAAATTTCAGCTGTTGATGACTGAGGTTTATGGGAGTTTTCTATTATAAATAACCGATACATTTTCTGAAACAATTAATCCGAATATTACGTGGTTTTTTATGGTGGTTTTGTTGTGGTTTATGTTTCGAAGGTTGTACTTGGTAGCAAAAACATTTTGTTATTTTTGGTTTCTTCTTATCTTTTTTGTGATCTTCTTCTTCTTCTTCTGAATCACTATCTTTAGGTTTTTTGTGTTTTTGAGGTTTTCCTTGTTTGTGATGTCGTTCAGTAATAGCAAAAGTTCCATCTTCATCAATTTCATCTTCATCCTCATCGTTCAAAAGTTCATTTTCGATTGCCATATCGAGTTTATCTTCATTTTCAACAGTTAATAAACTCTTTTCATTAGCATTACCATCGGTAGGCAAAGCTGATATTGAAAGTAGTGCAATAAGAAAAAGTAAAAGACAACAATACCAACGCATCGTAATATTTTTGAACTAGATTTTAAAAGTTTAAAATTACAAAACTAACTAATTCACTTGTACTACTTACATGTTTTTCAGTAGTGAAATTTATCGACTCACTTGTATCTGCAGAATTCATTTGGTTTTTATATATATATATATTGTGGCAAGCACCTGCTTGACATATTCTAAATAAAGTTCATCAAACAAAAGCATAATCCATGATATTTTATATAGAATTACGCGGTTTTCTTCAGAATCTAAACATTGATGGTACTTTATATCTTTGTAAATATCAATCGATAGAATGATTTTGATATTTATTGTATGATTTGTTTTCCTTGTCGTTTTGGAAAAATTTTCACCGGTTCCATTATCAATCACTATGAATTTTTTTTACATCCGTACAACAATCTAATGCAACAAATTAACTATTAAAATACTGAGCATCCTTAAAAAGGTTCCTACAAAGTAATGGCATATTGCAATGACTAAAATAAGTTTATGTGATATTTTTCTCTCTCGAAAAGTTTACTTAGATTGAAAGTTGAACTCAACATTCTTTATGTGGCTTTGGAATTTGTTCCTTTACTCGGTGCTAAATTTTTATTCAATTTTTTATACTTAAAATGAAATTAAACACTCAAAAAACATGTATATATCAAAAACTAATAACTAAATGTGTTCATTTATTGTTGTTTGTACTGTTTTGTTTAATAAAGGAATAAAATACAATTGATTTGGTTGTTCTAATCGAACAACAAGCCATTGTTGATTATTATTTTTCATTAAAACAGCATTTTTAATACGTTTTTCCATCGTAAAATCATTTTTTAATTTCATAGAACCATTGGTATCAAGTAAAAACAATAAATGACAATTACTATCAATAATGAGAAATTGTTCAAAGCCAAAATTAGATAATAAACATGACGAAGATCTATCCAAATGATCTATTTTAATACCGTGTCGAAGCATTCGTAAATCATAATCAAGTAAATCAACTCTCCATTCAAATGTTTTTGTAGATTCGACAGTCCATGCAACATACTTCGATGTCATACGAATTGTTCTTACACGTTGATCATTACGTTCAAATAGATCATGATTTGACCAACGTTTTATATGTTGCCAAGATTTCGATCCGCTTATTGAATTCCATCTTTCAATATAACTACCTGATTTAAATAATATAAATACATCCGATCGTGTATCTGTTGATGCTATTGCCCATAGACGGTTTCCTGCTATGGATCTAATTGAATCGATGTATAACGGTACATACGGATCTTCCACGGACCATGTAAATAAGCCCCGATTTGTTATTATACAATATAGATTTAAATAATATGAATATGATAAGTCACATGGTTCACCATATTCATTAACATCCCATAGATACGAATTTAATTTTGATTGCTTATTATATAGAATTAAATTTGATTTAATATCATCATAGATTAATGTATGATTATTTGATGTAGAAAGTAATATATTATTACTTGTTAAATCAAATGATTGACCATTCGAATAATCAAATTCCATATCATCATATGTATGATCAGTTGTTTGTTGACGATTTGTAATTATAATTGATTGCTTCAATGATGGTATTTTATCAAATTCAATATCAATTTGATTGTTTCCCTGAGATAATAAATTATCAAGTTCTTTAAGTTTATTTAAATAAATATGATTTAAATGTTTTTCAAAAGTTGTTTTCCATAATGCTAATTTTTCATATGGCGACAAGGAATTTATTTCATTCTGTTCGGATGATGATGACAATGGCTTAAACAGTGGCGTTGTTGTTTCTAATAAGCTTATTGAAATACTTCGACGACGAGGTTTTGACTCATTTAAACGAATATTTTGATTTGAATCTAATATTCGCAGGGCATTCATCGTACCAGACATTTAAGATCTAGAAAAACGAATGTACATTAACGATATATAATTTTAGATAACTATGAATAATATATTATTGAAACAATAATAGATTCTAGCGATATATATACACTATAGTATTGCACTCCTACATGAAAAATTTCATTTTCGGCGATTTAGAAGCGTAACGTGAATTAAAAAAATAGATTGAAAAAATAAATGACATCTGTCATGAAAACTACTGTGTGATGTAATAATCATGACAAGCAGTTTACATATGCATTAAAAGTACCGATATGACTTACTTTAATCGAAACCAAATGACTAATAAATGATTTCGAGAAAAAAAACGAACATTCATAAAAATAGTAGGCTCTACTAAACGAGAAAAAAGCTGATGCAATAAATTTCATCACCCAAAACGTATTGGCTTTCGTCAATGACACTGCTTGTATTATTGTATTTGGATTGGACTAACCGTTTTGGTTTCTATTATTCGTATTCGGTATTCGCCAATCAATAGAAATAATGATATCTTTCGTTCAAATAGTAGGATATTTCTAGCGTTAATAATAATAATAGTTTAACTAAACAAAGAAAATTTTTATTCGTAAAATAGACAAACATTGAAATCAACAATTGAAAAATTGAAAAAAAAACTATAAAGCTAATTTATATTTCATGTTATAATAAAATTAAGGCACAAAATGTGAATATCGTGGATTAAATTGTACAAATATTTCATCTTTAGGAGCTGTTACTAAACCATGTATTGGTATTACTGAACTTTTTGCGTCAGTTAATGTTACTTTATATCTATGTATGACGCTGGCTACAATCAAGCCTGCTTCATATTGTGCAAAACGATAACCAGGACAAATTCGTTTACCGGCAAATCCAAATGGTGAAAAAGCCAATGTTGGAAGTGTTCTTCTATTCATCTGATCGAATCGATCGGGATTAAATTCATTTGGATTTGTCCAAATTTGATCATCTTGTAAAACAACACCAAGAGCGTGAATAATAGGAGTACCGGCGGGAATTTTATATCCACAAATACTTATGTTGTCGTCAGTTGAGACTCGAGCTGCCCATGGTGCTAATACTGAAAGACGTAATGATTCATTGATAATATTTGTTAAATAAGACATCTGATCGATTTGTTCAAATGATGGAAACTTCGTACTGTATGTTTTAATAAGTTCATCGAAGAGACGCTCTTGAACATTTGGATGTTTTGCTAAATAATAGAAAATCCACGTAAGAAGATTTCCTGTTGTATGAAATCCACCAACAAGCATAGTAATAACTTCATCACATATATGTTCCTCGCTAATCATAGATTGATCATCATCTAATAAATAATCAATAAAACATTTATGATCATCACCTAATCGTTGACGACGTTGAACAATGATTTGTTTCACTTTTTCTAAAAGAAAACTTCGTGCTTTATCAAATTCAATTTGACGTGCCGAATCTACAGAACGTCCTTGTACACGTAGTTCCATTTCATGCCAACATACATTGTAAGCTTGTTCAATACGATCTCCATCATGACGTGACACCGAGATACCAAAAGCAGTCAAGGTTATCGATTCAATAGCTATAGATAACATTTCAGCATGTAGTGCTATAGGCTGTTCTTCATTTTTTTTCCATGAAACTATTCTGTCATTTAAAACACGTTTAAATATAGGGAAAATTTGTGTCCGAAGAGCGATAGTTGACAAAGCAGGATCATAATGATTCTTTCGACGATGTTGACCAACGTCACCATTAGCATATTGAATACTATTAGGACCGATTAACGGTTCAAATTGAGCAAAAAGGGATACTGGTCGATCAAATAAACGTCGTGTTTCATGAAATGCTTCTGGTGATGCTATACTAACTACTCGTTGTTGGCCCCAATAGAACGACACAATTGGACCGAACTTTTTATGTAACGTAGTCAAATATTCATGAAGACTGCCGGCTTGACCTATATCATTAAGATTACCCATTTTGGAATCGGATGCATTTACTCCTGGTACATTAAATTTTTCTTTTGAACTATGACGTATGATAAAATAAATAATAATACTCAACACAACAACAACATAAGCTATTATAATCGCAAGCATAACTATGTTTCGTACGTGTAACTGATAAAATATTTTTCTTTTCTAGTAAATATAAATTGAGTCTATTTATAATATTGACACATGATGATAATGAGTTGTCTTTTACTATGTGTTATCAGATAACTAGCCTTAACTGTCATTTATGTTTATGATACACCCACACCCGAGTGAATTCTATTTAAAACAATATTATTAATACAAACGACACTGAAGTTCTAAAACATGCCATGCAGTAGCCAATTACCATCAAAATATATAATAAATTCCCTTTAGTTATATTATTGTTATTTTCTTTTTTTTTTAATAGAATTATGTTTACAAAAAAAATATTCTACAGTAATAATACTCCATTCGCCTAGAAATATAGCTTTTTATCGATAGTAGCACACTCTATTCATTTGTTCGATTGGTACATTCAATTCACTAATCTTTGCTTAGAAAACAAAATATATTTCTAGAAGTTCTATGACGGAAGAATATAAAACTTTATAATCGTACTTTATTTTCCATCAGATGCTCAATTCTATTTCAACAACAACAGTTATTTTAACCGGTGCTTTAATTATTTTCATATTAATTTATTATCAACCATTTAAAAATAGTAAAAATCTTTCGAATTCTAATAATTCAAAAGAATTATCAGACTGCTCAAATGAATTAAATAAACTTCGCCATGAACGTAATGGTGTGAAAAAAAATCTACATAATATTGAACAAAGATTTTCATTATTACATCTTATAAGTTTATCAACACGTGCCATAGTTTCTCCTTTGAAACTTCTATCACCATCATTTATTCTTTATACATTTATTCTTTATATTTTTCATACATGTGTTTCTAATCGACTCGCAAGTCAAACTATTAAACTATTATATATTGTAAATATCATATCTTATTTACTGATCTCTATATTTTATACATCACTTAAGCATTTCGAGTATTCAAGCTTAGCTTGGTTACTGTTTATTTTCTTGTTTATTCGTCTTTTTATTCGTTGAATTTTTCATGTTTCAGATTTTAATATCAAAAGAATCAATCTAGACCATGAGTTTGCCAATGTTTATGTATGGTTTAGCAGCTGGCTCAGTCGTACCATTATCGATTATTTATGTAATGCGACCAGATAGTTTAAAAAATTTATTTGATTTAGTATCATCTTCACTATTAATTGCCTTTAATTGGTCTGAAGGTGTTGCTCAACGTTTTAATTTAAGTAATGATTTAGTTTTAAATGGCAATCTAAATCCCATATTGCCAATAAAAATCTATAGTTGTTATACAATTGAATATTGGTATAATATATTTTCATGGATAATTTATATTTCTTTCATATTATCATTAGTTTTGTTTATATTAAATCAACGTTTTAAAAATACTCCAGAAGAATCATTTCACGATCAATATCATACGCGCGAACAAGAAAATATTGTACTAGATTTTGTTTTTTATTATTTTTGCATATTTATTCTTGCTATGATATCAATATCAATACGAATTCTAATGGAATATTATTTTCTTCGACATTTAAAACCATTTACTATTGTATATTTGTTGTGGTATATTGTTTCGTTTGCTATTGTGCGATTATGGAATAGATGAATGAAAGAAAACATAAAATTTATTATGAATAGAATTTTTAGTGATTGTACTGATTTTTATTTTAGAAGAATATTAATATATCTATGAATGAAACGAATTTAATATCGATTATATTCGGTGTTATTGTTGGTTTCTATACGACAATATTTCTTCTATATTTATCTGATATTGTTTATTTAAGTCAAGAAGTGATTAAAATAAAAGATGAACTACATGACATACGAAATATAAATCAAAGTTTATTTTCTCAAATATCATTTCTGAATTCTTTCAATAGTAAAATTTCTTTAATAAATTCAAAACAAGAACTTTCTGGCCAATTATGCTTATCATTTAATGAACAACGTCAAATACTTGATTCGATCAATTCTATGTCCAATATGGCAATACTTTTATTTACGGGTTATTCATTATATATTTATGGTTTTGGTACACATCATGGTTTAGCGTATCGTTTATTCTTTTTTATTTTAAAAATTCTAACAGTCATTTTAACGATATGGCTTAATCTACATTTCAAGCAAGGCTTGCCGAATGATATACTTTTGTATATATGGATAGATGTCAATTGTATTGTATTGATCTATCGTAGTCTATGTCAACTCATATGAAATAAAATTTCGAGAGGAAGAAAACGAGCAGAATTTATTTTTATTTTAGATAAACATGCCGTCTACATTATTGAATCAGTTACGAATGATGTTTCGTACGACAACAACTAATCGTGAATTAGCATTAGCAAATAATTATACATATGTTAATGAAGATAAAATATCACGATCATTAATCTGTCCAATATGTTTAGATCCTTTAATTGATCCACAAACACATGTTGCATGTGAAAATTCATTTTGTAATCGTTGTATAAGAAAACTACGGCAATGTCCTTGTTGTCGAGCATCGATTGCAACTCCGAATGATCTGAAAATCACAAGCCATGTTTTAAGAAATATTCTCGATGAACTGGAGGTATGATAGAAGTTTATTAGGATTCTCTGATGATATGTACAAGGATGAAGTTGTTTTTCCACAGAACGAGGAAGATGAGAGGTGAAACTAAAAACAAAAAAATCTGGAACTAATAGATGGTTTGTTGATAATTTACTTCTGATTCTACTTTTCTCAAAACGTGTAAAATAATGAAAAATAGTACTGTCATATTTATTTTTCAGAAAATGATCAATAAGAACACAAAAATTCAAAAAACAAATTTCAGGAGAGTAGAGCAAACAAAAACAAAGATAAAAAACATTTTCTACTGATCACCCTCACATACATTTTGAAAATTCATGCGACATTTGTTACCGGTCAAGATTCTGCGTCGTATTTGCCGTTTTTAGTAGTTCTTTTCATCATTTTGTTAATCTTCATGAGCAATAGACTAAGTGTTAAAGAACAATCGATCGAAATTTTCCCGATCGTGTCTACGTTAAAGATGAGATCTACAACTTTTTGCAAATTAAAAGAACCTCCCTAAGCTTTCTCCATTTTTTAGGGGAGGCTTGAGTCTCCCCAAGCCTAATGGACCCGCCGCCTATGCTTACATGATATTTTCTTGTTTTTAATATTGAAATTTGTTAATCATCTAGGTTCAATGTAATGTTTGCAAAGAAGCACTATGCCGAGGAAATTTCGCCATACATATTCGAAATAATTGTTTGAAAACTACTTTAATCAGTCCTGAAGATGAAGAAAATCTAATGAATGTTTCAACGTCCACTGTAAATAGTCCAACCACAAATAAAACTCTATTAGATGAGCAACAAATCGAAAAACATTTATCAAATTTATATCGTCGTATTCATACACTGGAAAATGAATTATTTGAATTGAAAAAAACTTTATATATTTGTTTATTTGTTCTATTAACAATCACAACGTTAATATTCTTTGGGTCAATTTTTTCATATGTTATTGTCTCATTTCTATCAGTGTTCTTCACACAATGGTTGCCATCGTTTGTTGAAACATTAACAAAATTTCTATTTGATTTTTCTCCGTTAATGACCTTATTTCGAATAGTATTTATTGGTATATATTTTTTTCTCATTTGTTATAAACGTCATCCATCAGATATAAACCTGTTAACCATAATTATCTGTTTGATTATTGTTGTATTTAATTTATTGATACTGGTTTTACATTTAATTATAACACATTTTAATCTTTTATTTCTTATGTTCATCATGATTACATTGGGACGATATTTTCATATACAATTACCAAATAATCAAGAGCTTCGTACTCTTTTCAATCATATTCGAAATCAATATCAACAAAGACGCTAATTTCAATGATTAAAAAAGAATATATTCTTTTAGTTTTGTGTTAATTGAGCCATTGTAACTATCTTATTTCTTTTTTTTTTTTATAAACTTTTCCATCAAAATTTTCTTTTCAATATCGATGATTTTTTTCTGAAAATTATTTTAGATATTGTAATACTATGAAAATCCCACGTCGATTGGTAAGGTTTGGTAGTGCATATTATTGAACAAAAAAAAATAAGTATGAATCTATATAGAAATGAGTTCAGCTAACTTCTGGCGCATGTTTGAATTATGTATGAAAATTCCTTGTTTACATATTTCTTTTTTTTATATTTTAGGTGCCACATGAATTTTTGTGTTTGAATATTTATATGAATCTTTTTTTCATTGAATGTAAAAGCTTCACAAACGAACCTTTATATTGTATTTTTCTAGATTAAAATGAATAATCTGCAAATCGTTCAGAGCGCGCGGGTAAGCTGAATTTAAAACGATTTAAAAATCGAGCTTTGTCATCTGTTCTCATTAGCGTGCACTCCAAATTCGTCAATCGAGTATTCCAACCGCTATAATTCGTCTTAATTCAGGGACAGTATTTGGAGGTACAACAATCTTTCGTATTTCTCTTATGCCTATAAAACAAATTCTGTCTTAGATCGAACTTGGGATAAAAGTACACGTGCCGTTGTTCATGACCTACCCGATGTTGTGTCACCAGCAGGTCTGTTCGATTAAAAGAAAAGAATTATTCGTTCATTTATATTTCTTTTTAATTTAAAGAGATAAGAAGTCGACACTTGGCAGGCGCTGATTCGCATTCATCGCAAGCTTTTGAACCAAAAGTAAATTTACCTTGATTGAAAACGATTGTTTTCTACTTTCGTGCGATTTTAGACAGACAAAAATATTACCAAAGGTCGTTCTGCTGGCGCTCATTTTGATTTAAGTTGTCAAAATTGGGAACGTAATCAGAATAAAGATTTTCGTTCGTATGTATTAAAAAAATTAAAAAAATTCATTGCTTTTTTTCTTTCTCTCTTGATTAGACGAATGAGACAAAAAGATTTGGAACATGAAGCATTTAAAGCATCGCGTTTCATTAAATATCAAGAATATGGTACCTATGAATCGAATCGGAATAACATTAGCGGGCGTCCTTGTCTTTCCAATTCAACACCTATGTCTTTAAGTCATTTAGCAAAATCGAGTATGAAATAGATTGTGTTCTATATTTCTCGCGTTTTTCTATATTTTCCTTTTTTTTGCGATATAGAAGCAATGACCAGTTCAAGTGGTGATCACCATCAATAATTAACTAAACCTGTCAGCGTCAAAATCAAGAAAAACTGACTATTAAGAATATTCTACTTATAAACAATAGATGATTAATTTTTTCTTCTTGTCATTATCCCATTTCACTCTCTATCCTTCTCATTCGTTTTTCTTTTTGTATATTTACCGCGATCAGACGGAGTAGAATAAAAAGAATAAATAACAAACTATTTAGCGGTACTTTCAATGGAGTTGTGCAATAATTTAAAACGTCAGTGTTGCTCACCGCCATAGCCACGTAAAAAAGTAAGTCATAGTGATACTTGTACGTCATCAGTTACAAGCAAGAAACATGATATTCTTTTTTCAGTGCTAAAGCATAGGTAATTGAGAAATTCTCACTATTAGTTAAAGTTTAGAATTATAATACGAAAAACTGTTCTGGTTTGATACGGTGAGTCACACATTTTTATTTTCTTATATGAACTTCAGCTCAGAACAATCTTGACTGCATGGATTATTTAGAATTGTAAATGTGCATAGAAACTGTAATTCATCGTTGTGTTCATTCTCAATATAATATTTTAGTCAATTATAGATTGTTTTCGAGCGAAGTTTAAAAGTGTAGTAATCAGTTTGTGTCGATTAGCGAATGTAGAAACTTTCATTAATGACTCATCAATGCAACGAGTCTAAAACAAAATCGCACTCGTACATATACTATGGAGTACAGATCAGCTCTCGTTGATCTCCTAAATTTGATAGTTAATCATTATTTGAATTTTAGCTCTAAAATCAAAATATGTCAAGTCCACTTTTTACTCCTGAACAATGGGAAGCGATTGTTCAACTATTTGAAACTCGTTGGAATCGTCCAGGATCGTCAAACAATTTTTCTTATTCAGTTCAATTGGCGAGAGATGCAATAGCTAAATTTGAACATTATTTTGAAACATTGTCACCACAATTAATGGGTGCTGATAAAGATGCTTTATTTTCAATCAAGAATGATTTTACCGATGTACGTCATTCAACATATCAAGCGGCAGGCAGTATGGAAATACGCTATCGAAAATTTAAATTACAACCCACAACGTCACTTATTGATCATTTAAATACAAGAGCTGATGAACATGCATTTAAAAAATTAATCGAGCAGTCACAATTATTACAAGGTAAATTAACAAAATTTCATTCAACCTATTTTTGGTGTGAAGTGAATAAATGGGGTATGATTTCATCTATTATTGGTGGTGCACTATTCATTTTCGGTCGAGTTTTATCTGTTTTACTACCAGGAACAATATGGGATACATTTGTTTATGTTATCGGAATTTCATTATTATTAGTTGGCTTCACAGCACTTGGTTTAATTAAATTTCTCGAACATAGACGAGATCCAACAAGTACAATGCGATATTTAGAAGAAATTCACAAACAAATCGATAAACTTCGTTTTCAATTTGATGATCTTAAAGCAACAATTGCTGACGATACACCACATGAAATCATGCAACATGAATTAGATGTTGTCATTGATTCAATTAAAGAACTCAAACTTCTATGTTTTCCTTAATTTTGCAACCAAAATAATTTATTTCAGTTATAATTATATTTTATTCTATGCTTTCTTTTTCTGTTTTTTGGAATAAACTTGAATACAAGCTATTGCATTGAATGAATTGAATATTTGATTATTAATACATAAATTTTGTCGAATTCCTGTGACGTTGAGAAGAACTCTATGAACGTCATAAACTAAAACTTCATCGAAGATAGAATAAAATAGATTGTAATGTTTTTCTTTAAAGGTTATTGAATAGAGTAAAAGATATCTTTATGTCGAAAAGAAAATATAAACTTGTCAAACTCTGAAAGAAAATCGATAAATAATTATTAAATGAATAATATAATACAATCGATTGATCATTAAATACACTCTATGAGAAATATAACTCTTTCTTTTTTTAGTTAAGTTTACAAATATATCGTGAAGTCCATCCATGACATACTATATTTGTTACGCAAGCAGCACCAATAAGTAAACGAGTACATGCTAATGTTGCGTACGTTGTTGCTAAACCTGCACACCAGTGTAATGGTGGTGACAATGTTCCATTACTTAAAAACCATTGAGGATAATTATAACTGTTAGTATGTCCAATAAATATATCATAATATTGATTTGTTGCAAATACGCTAACATCTGTAAGTTCTTGTAAATTATCAATATAAACTAAATGACTCGTAGGACCAAAAAATGATGTTGCTGCTGTTGAACAAATCGATACGGATTCATCCCAATTAACATGAAAATCGACTTTAACATAACAATAAATTCTTGGTTGCCTTGTACCATTTGATATAACTATTTCCCATGATGTCGGACAATCCCGACAACGTACACCATCCCAAAAGCATGTTCTACACAGCGAGCATGTACACGTAAAATTTCGGCAGTGTAATGCAAGATCCTGGCGACACCAATAATCAAAGACACAAAATCCTGTATATGCACGTTGATATTGACATACGCAATCAGAGTGGCCAGATCAAAAATTGAAAAATCAGAAAATATTTTTTCAAAATCAGAAAACGATCAGAAACAATCTCTGAAAAATCAGAAATTAATCAGAAAATGGCAGTTTTTGGCAAATTAGTAGATCTTCCGCTAAAATACTGGCAACCAAAATTCTGCTTCATTTCGGTTCACTGGCTGGAACTTTATTTTCAAAGATATTTAAATAAAACGAAAGAAACTATAGTGAATATATCGTTTGGCTAATTCGCAAACATCAATAAAAGATACTTAATGTTGAGCTTCTTTTTAAATTTAAAACTCGTTCACAAAAACCAGCAGAACTAAATCACATACATTCTGCGTAGATTAAGAAATACAACGAGAAAAAAACATCATCTCGGTATTGTTATTCATATTTCGTATCTTTTAGAATTTGTTCTAAGATGTTTGTTTAAGATAACATATGCTAATAAAAACCCTCTCAAGAATTATTACCAATCACTTTTATTTTAAGTTAAACATTATCTGGTTTTATATTAGTGGATTACGATAATCGAACTATAAATACTTCATATAATCGAAAATCAATTCTACTCCAGAATTCGAATGCGGAATATAAAAGATGATTAATACGGAAAATTGATGAAACACTATTGATTTATTATAGCAATGGGTTATGATCGTACCTAATTTCAGTGACAAAACAACGATCTGAAAATATTCCAAATTCAGAAAAAATCAGAAACATGTTCAAAATTCAGAAATTTCCCCTGGTTTTCAGAAGATCTGGCCACCCTGTACGCAATTATCCCAATAATAGACTAAATGAAAATTAAAAAAAATATACTATCGATTCCGTTGAAGATATTCATCATTACAAAAAGATACAAAAAAGCGAATTTCGATTTTGGAAACTTACATTGAGGACATGTACACATTGATGTATTTGCGGAACATATAAGTCAAGTATTGTCAAGACAAGGAGCAGTTGAACATTGTTCACCATATTGCGATTGAAAATCACAATAATTTCCCGGTGTCCAATATGAATTTATTTCACATAAACATTGACCATTTATACAACGTAAACCAAAATCACTCTCACAACCTGCATAATAATCACATGTAGAATTATATGTATTTTGATGTTGATTCTGACCAATAGCAGTATCTCTCATCGCATTGACATAAACTCCAGGAACATATTAATAGTGAATATGGTAAACAAGATGATGCATCATCACATGATTGTAAATTTGAACTATATGATAAACATTCTTCGCCATCAAAATCAGTGGATGGTGGACATTGACATGTAAATGTTGACGCAAACAACCTGATGGAGTTTTATATGGATTATATGGATCATTCAAACTACGATAGTATTCACGATATTGCCCATTCCAAAATGTAGCAGTTGTATCGCATGTACAAATATATCCATATTAAACATGATAAATTTAATAAATAATCACATCTATCATTGAGTATTGAACATGCTTGACTGTATGTTATCATTGACATGCATGTACTTCCATTATAATAATAATGATCAAGGCATTGACATTGATATAGACTTGTATTACATTGAAGATTATAATTATTCGCACATTCTTGCGAACGATAGCAACCGTCACCATAAAGGCGTTGTTTGAAGCATCCAATAAGCAAATCGTTTGTGTCATAGCATGAACAATATTCATTTGTTGTATTACATATAACTGTATAACTTGAAATTCTTGGACAAGGGAACATCGATAATTTAATTTTGATATCCGCTCTGATGTAGCAATAACCAGACCAATAAGAGCAACAATTAACGAACGAATTGCTAATAATGATATTGAAAGAATGGTACGAGGTGTAATAAGAATATATTTATTTAATTTTTTCTTTGAAGTTTTTGACGATAACGGTCGAAATGGAGTACTTTCAGATGTACGATATTGAAATATTTTAACAACTGGTTCTCTGACATTTTGATTGATCGATAACGAATTAGACAATCTTACATAAGCTTGATTGCCTGTAAATGATGATAGAGATCGATATGAAGATCAAATGGCGACTGCGATTGAGAAAAGAATATCTTACATTGTAAATCAGACAAAAAAAATGAAGGACGACGAAAAACAAGAATCATTAGAAATATTTTGCTTGTTTACTGATTTTTGTGTACTCAAAAACAGTGAGTACATTCTAGATTCGGTCAGTGTGTCCATCCGGCCGTTAACACGATAACCTTTGAAAGCCTCATCCAATTGTCATGAAATTTTGTACACATAATGATCTCATTAATATCTCAGTCGAGTTCGAAGATGAGAAGGATTCGTCAAGAAATGGCTGAGTTATCGAAAAACTTGTCAGTATTGACCAGACCATTTAGAATTATTCACAACATATATAAATCGACTCAGTTTTTGCAGTACACATAACAATCGGACGCGAATCCGATGTTTCCTCATTTATTAATTATGTAAAAAAACAATATATAGCTTATTAGTTTTTCTGTATTCTATTTTTCCTCTTTGTATTAAAGCTAAAGCTATGTGCGCTATTGTTATTTTTCGAGTATTTGATTCTCTTAAAATATTTCGTATCAAAAAAGGATGTTCTTCTTTTTTAACGAGCAGTTAAAATAAATAACCAGATACATTGAAGTCATTCTTAATATTATTTGATCAGCAATGCATCCGTACGTAATGAAATCTAAGGAAAAACCTTCCAAAAACAAGTATGATTATTTACGTGAGACACTTGGAGTAAAATTCAGTCGTCAACATTGATTCATTCATGTGACTAGAACTAATTAAAAACAAGCCACACGTTACTGATATAAAGTTGGTGCTATATGAACAATACTAATACTGATTCAAGTATCGTAGTTAGTTATTCGAACGGTTTCACGTAATTACATGCAGAAGATTATTTGTTTTATTTTATATTCTACACCACCGTATCTTGATAGCTTTGATTTTTAAGACTAAGAATTTTTAATCACAGAAAACAAAATAGAATGGTTCAAAAATTCGCTATTGTATGAAAGCTGTTTTTTATTAGCTTGAATTCCCAAAATCTCGAAAAAAGAGAAAAAACAATAATCTCTGCAAAATGAATTATTTGTTCCGTTCTGTACTACGTTGCTTGTCTCTTAGGACAAAATTATTCTCTTGTATGATTTTGTTAGATTAATCTGTCTCGATCATAGAGGATTTACTTTCTTTAGTGTTAGAAGCATAACTACAAGTTTTCTTTCGGGATTGAATCCATCAATAAATTTGATATGTGCAGCAGCGGAAAATACTTTTAGAAACTATTCATGTAACATAAATCTTTTTAATAATCACGAAATAATCGATTATCCATCAATCATATTCATCATATGATTTCAATCAAAATTCTAAGCAGGGATAATCACATAATCGATTTAGAGATAACTTTTTTTTATGATTATTTCTTCTTATACCTGAGTTTAAAATCGAATAGGTATAGTTGATAAGTAATCGATTGTTTCGTGACTATTGAAAAGAATATCTTACATGAATATTATATTAGCGTTGTAGATAAATTGCTAGTAAAAAGTTTATGTTGCAATGTTGCCTTTATTCATTGTATTTCTGTACAACGAACAAGAACAAACATCAAATAAATATATAATATTACAATCAATTTTGTACATGTCACAAGCTCTACTAAACGACGATGTTATTTCGATTGAGTCAATAAATCGGACAAAAAAAAGCAAAAGATAATATTCGATCAATTATAAGTTATACTTGTTTTGCCGATCATCATTCATAGCTCTATTTACTCTTTTTCTTGTTTCTTAATCCAATATTGAGAATCGCGCACAGTCTGTAGAAAGCAAATAGGAATCTCCTAATATGCTTTGACATATGATAATCAGATTAACTTGATAGATATCCAAATGATATAAATATACCAATAATTAAAGCAATAACTAATAAAAAACACAAACTCCAACAGAACAATGGGCATCTATAATACCATTTGCAGCAAAAAGTACAACATGAAAGTCGACAAGGGCATTTTCTATGATACCATTTAGATCCTTGAATTGGTTTTGGTTTATGGATCTAGAAAACAAAAAAATTAGCTTCTATATGATTCCACAAGATCTTTCAATATACATAGTCTGATAATGAATATTCAGAAGTTTCTTCATTCAAAATAAACGCATGACTTCCAGAAGTAAGTGACTTTGGCGGTTCTCGCTGTTTCTTTGTTGATGATTCACGACTCATTGGTTGTATACTGGATTTAATATGACTTGGAATATTAACAATGGTAGCACGATTCTTTTTAGCTATGGGTAAAACAATATCAGTAATTGAAGTAATACTCGACGGAGTTGTCGATACATAACCTGTACGTTCGTCTTGAAAACGTCGTTTTGCTAATGGATTTGAACTCGGAATCGATCTAAACGAACCCGATATTGAACTTGATTCACCACTAACTCGCGTATGTCTTATATTATTTGGATAGTAATATTTGGCCACTCTATTTGATGATGGCGATTTACATTCAAAAACGCGTAGAGTTAATGCTGGAGGTGTTGAATGACGTCGTCGAGATGCAAGTCTAGATCGTTTGGGCGAAGGAGAACGCGTATGTAGAGCTGACATATGATGATCAGTACAAATGACACGTTTTTGATGAACTGGTTTTCGATAGATATGCATTTGACGAGTATCAGTTGTAGGCATGAGAATCAATTTTAACAAGCTGATCTTGAGAAATGTCTACTGGAATGTTGTTGTGTTTAATATCGATGCAGGAAGAAGAACACTGAATGAGAAGCGTAGACCTATTGGTACATCCGGGAGAAAGAATAAAAGCAATTTAAACGTCGTAAATTTGTATCTCTATGTCATATGATAGACAGAAACAGAAGGGAATAATATTATTTATGATGGAAAAATCTCAGAATAATAAATATGTAAGAAATAGATTACAATAGTAATAAATCGCATATGTTTTCATAATTTTTCTACTAATATCTTCTATAAAATAGATGATTCCCAAAGAGAATTAATCAATAGACAATATTTTTTATAAATCACACAATAGAATCATTTTTTTTATGTCTATTTGCGTTCATGTTTTATTTTTCTTGATCATTAGCAAGCGTTGACTCAAGAGTACCAATCGATAGTAGGCTAACAAATATTAAATATGCCATCGAAATATGATCATAAGATTAAAATATTAATATTTGAGTCGATCAAGTAAATTTCATATTCTCTCATACAGACATGGTATTAAATTCTTAACATATGATGCTTAACTTCAAAATGTAGTTGATATATTTTCTCTTCCTACAATAAAATGATGTACAACAAAAGGTGAAGGGCACCTTGCTTTTTTTGTGTATATGTATATATATATATAGCTCTTTTTACGTTGTCGATTTACATATGACAAACATATAGAATTGATGATTCAATAGCGCGTAGGTGCACTAGTATAAAAATGCAAACCCAATTGATCATATCAGCACTATCAATTGTAAAATAGCTTTCAAACTTGCTCATTAACCAATAGAAACAAAAGCAAGAATCGTTTATCAACATACTTCTTCTTTTTTACGATACCTCTTTCGATAATATTTAATGTAGGAATACAACAAAAAATATCTTCGGTTGTTGTTTTTTTACGTTCTTTTTGAAAAGTTCGAATAATGACTGAACACTTTATACAAGAATGAGATAAGACAAATACATGTATATATCAGTGTCTGTGTCAATAGGCAAGTGTATGTATGTAACAAAAAAAAAACGAAACCAATGTCAAGAGATTCGAGAACAGAACAGACATGTATATGGACCTTTTATTCTTTCTTTTTCTTCTTCTCTTCTCTTCTGTATTATCTTTTTCTTCGAATATCATACTCGTAAAAAAGAACGATGCGAAGGAATGTAGGTTTTTTGAAACCATAAAAATACCGTATGAATGGCATTTATCGGCTTATTTCGTTATTTTTCTTCAGATAATATTTTGCTTCATCATAATTTACTCCGAGAGAAAAATTTCAATATCAAATGGAAAAGAATGGGGATTCAATCGATTTATATACACGTTGGAAACATGATGAACAACTTCTTCAACATCGAACTCCTCCAGCATCCGTACCCAAAGCAATACCATTTAAATATGATACAAGTAAATTTCTTGTACCCACAATTGGACAAGTTCTTTATACTGATGGATATTCATCAATGAAACAGGATGATTACTATGAAAGAACTATATTCGACGAAGAAATGGAAATACCATCGATTGGTACAGATCAGAAAAATTTTGATCTAGCTGAAATGGTTACGTTCGATATAAGTGGTACGTCAACACGTTTGCCATTGATGTGTAAAATGATTATTTATAAGCAAGGTGCAACACATGAACGTGAACCACCAATACTTGTACGTGATGTATGTGTTCAATGGAATGGAATTGATCGTCCACGCCGCAATAGTATGGATTGTTTATCATCGAATCGAAAACAGAAATATGAATATGCTTTAGAACGCGCGAGAAGTAGTGATGATCTTTTAGATAGACAAGTGAAATCGGCAGCTAGAAGATTTCTCGATGAAACAAATCGATGTGTTTCAATGACTTCATCTATGACTGATGATGATGATGCAGCATCAATAGTCACAGCCGGTGGTACGATACGACATCGGGTATCTCATTTACTACATCGTCATCGATATCTACGTCAAATAGATGCAAATTTACTTGGCTGTCATGAATTTTATTCTGTTCCATTTTATCAATATCGTGGACGTCGTTATGGACAGAAAAGTATCGGAATACAAATGAATGAATCTGACTTGATTAATTCTCTTCATCATAGTGAAAATTCCGATGTAACATCATATTCCGTAACAATTATTTTTCCAGTACGTGATCGAAATAAAACTATCGATGCTCATTTAAATGAGTCGAGACTACTGAACGTTAATATACCAGCTAATAATAGAACAAAACATACAACTATTGGTTATTTAAATACGAAAGAATTTATCACAATTAAACGGACAATACATGGTCAAGTTGTTGATACATAAAAGCTGTATTATATATCTTTTTTTTTCTTGCCTAAAACAGAAACAAATATCACAGTACGATTTGTACATTTAAAATGATGACTAGACGCGAGAGTGTAGCTTTTCATTTTTCAAGTGAAATAACAAAAGACATCAGGATGTTTTATTTTTGTGTCTATGCAATCGATTGTGTTGATATTGTTTTGAAAGACATCGAATATATTTTAATGTCAAATTAGCAGCATGTTGTTTAGCTATTTCATGAAGGACAGAAACAAACATTGGACGAACTTCAATTTATACCTATAGATAGAACTTTTAAAGAGAAATCAAATTGCTTTTACATCAAAAACAGGATATTTAACCTTCACTATATGTTGGTAATTAAATAAATTTATATGCTATCTTTTTTTCTTGTACACGATATGAATTAGAAAGCAAATAAAACATTCCACTTGTCAATGGACCTTTATTGTATCACATTATATTTCTTATAACAGGAATAGTACGTCATTGCAAAACTAGCTACTACTAAATTCTATGATTTCAGTCAAATGCCCCAGGGGCGACTGGGAATTTCAGAAACCATCTCAGGAAATCTTTTGAGTTGAATGCTGTTGGGAACTGAACGAAGCGTTTCAGAAGAGCAAACGCGAGTCTAGCCACATCCAAGTAGATTCAGTGGATTGTTATAGAAATGAATACCTTGTAATTTAGTGGATAGACACAATAGTTTTATTTCGACTTCGAACATATGAAAACAAAAATAAAAATACACATAAGTGATTTAAACATTTTGTGATTGGCATCTTGGTAAGGCCGGCAGATCATCTTCTTTCACGTCAAAAATAATACCCCTTTTTTCAGCATCGACAAGTAAACTTTTCCAAAAATCATCTTTTTGTGCTATTTCTCTGAGGTTCCCGACAATATAAAGACCTTTTTTTGCACGTGTCAACGCAACATTGAGTCGTCGTTGATCATTCAAGAAGCCGATTTGTTCACCACTACGGACACACGAAAAAATGATGAAATCTTTTTCCCTTCCCTGTGCGCCCTCGACAGTCATCACTTCGACATGAGGGGGAAGAAGACTTCGAAGATAATACTTATGAGCTCGGTACGGGCTGATAACAGCAATTTGCTTTTGAACATCCAATTGTTGGCCTCCGATATGATCAATGAGAAGGTCACAAAGCTGTTTAACAAATACGGCCTCGCCTTCATTTTTAATGGAATTATCATCTTCTCTCATTGCTCCAGGCATCGATCTATTATAGCAGTAAATGTGCCGTAGACCAATGTGTTTCATATGTTCGTCCACTGACGGATCTGTTTTCAACATTTTCTTATAAAAAGTACGGTTTGGAAACGAGCACACTTTCGAGTGCATCCGATATTGCATTGTTAGAGTAGTGATTCGACCATAATTTTCCAAGGTTTGATAGAGATGCTCATAGAGCGATCGATTGAGACCATTATCTTGGCCAGCTTTGCTTAGGACTGTTGGTCGCAGTTGCTTTGGATCGCCAACCAGAATCGTTCTAGCGCAGTTGAATCGATTAGGTATAAAACAGTCTGCCATCAAACTTTGACTTGCTGCAATATGAAAAACGTATTTTATGCCATTATCATTCAGCAATATATATGTTCATTTTTACCTTCGTCAATGATCACAAAACTAACTTGACCTATGAGTGATGATAAGCGGGAACTCGCACAATTATTGAGTGTTGATACAATAACTGTTGCTTTATTTAAGATGTTTTTCTGAAGTTTGGTTAAATCTACTTTTTTAGTGGCGGGCTCTCGTTGTAGAGCATTGAAAATTTCTTCAAGTACCAGAAAACTCAGGAAATTATTCGAGAGATCTTCGTCTATGGGTGGTTGCGAACCAATGCGAATGAGAGTGTGTTCATCTGTAACAAAGTGAATAAGCATTAGAGAATCCGAATAGTTTAAATTCAACTTAGTACCTCTTTGTTGTTTTGATAATCTTTGAAGAATATGACACGATATCACATCACATGCACTATTCGACGGCGCGCATACCAATATTTTTTTTCTTTGGTACAAATAGTTTGATAGTAAATTTAAAACGATGCCCGCGATTGTACGACTCTTACCAGTACCTAGGCAAAAAACCAAACAATAGATTCACTATTGAAAAAAGCAGATCATATTTAAATTCTGTCGTACCTGGTGGACCGAAGATCAAATGCAATCGATCTTCACGATCTTCGTGCATACACGCACTGATATCGATAGCTTTGGATTGATCTGAATTGAAGCCATCTCTTTGTATCGTCTTCGAAGAATCGAAGCCATTTGGCAAGTCGAAGTACGGATCTTCAGGCCTGGGAATAATTAGATTACATCCATAAGACCAACGGTTCAGGTTATCAATAGCACTGATCATGCGCACAGGTGATGTTATGTTGCTTAGCTTCAGTAAATCAAGCATTGTCGAACCGTTCTTCTGTTGCTCCTGTTTTATAGCTTCGCCACATTCCTTTGAAACGTAGATGCCTACGACAATGAATAATTCGATCCTTATAGGTATATTAAGGTCAATTCTGGCCGTTTGTTGCTTAGCTTTGACATTTTTATCTTCGATGTTTAGTGCCCGTACATATACAATTACACCAAAATACTGTTTCTCTTTAATCGTGATAAGGATAACGTCGAATAGGCTAAGGTTCTTATAAATGTGGGTGAACGAATCATCTACATCGAATAAAATATGGCAATGTGAAAGTTTATTAAAGAAAATAAAACTCACTTGAAATCATGTTTGTTGTTCCTACGATCAGTGCAGCTTCCTTTGTTTTACATCCTGTCATATTGGGTTTAATGCTTTTCACACAAATAGTAAATTTACGATCTTTGATCTGCATTTCAATATTGTGGTGATCTTGGACTATTGAAGCCCACACTTCATGATAGTGTAGCGTAGTCAGACACGACTGAAATGTCTCCAGTTTATCTTGAGTTGTGCTATCAGAGTTTATTTCACTGAGAAACGAAACGACATCAGTTAAGTTTTTTAAACGGTTTGGTATCAACGAAACATGCAATGTTTCCACAGAAGATATTTCGCTGAGATAAATTGGATTCCATCGGGTGATGATGAGATCAATTAACTTTCGAATTGGCGGATTTACATAGAATATATGTCCTGATTCTCTTCCTGATCCTATTTCTCTTTGATCACTGGCTAAATCAGGAGAGTCATGTTGTCGATAATCAGATCTTGTGTGTTCGAATTCTATAGTATTGGCGATTTGAAACCATGGGAGCTCCTTGGAATAATTTTTTGACATAAGGAAGATGGATTGCGCTCGCAGCCACATATGTCCCATAGGCCCTTCAACGCGTGTCTTGAACCAAGGGGAGTCCGCATATAGATCATTTTCTCTACTAGTACTTTCTGTTTGCGACATCGTTTTAACTGGTCTATAATAAAATAAAAGGTAATTGAATCTTTCTGTCATAACTCGAATTCGAGCATGCCATTAGAATAATATGAAGATTCATTCTGAAAAGATCTTCGCTCTAGAAGTAGCTCTCGTATCAACTGTTTGCGTAGGAGGAATATTTTTACGACATTCTGTGGCTGATCGACGGAACAAAGCATTATCCTATTTTGACTTCATCCTATAAAGTAGCGCTGATCTATGACCATCTTGTCCCCTTCTAAAACTTTCCGAGTGCATATTTTAGTTCTCATATCTTTGATGATCATTATCGCTAATATTCATTTAATTCTCATTCAAGCGATAGCGTCTTACTCTAGTGAACGAAAAACACAGCAATAAATTATCGGTAGCCATCAATTTAGTGTATCGCCAGTAGCAGCCTTAGAACGACTAGACAATTGAAATTGTTACAAAAATAAATGAAGAAAAATGAAAATGAAAACAAACGACGGCATACTTCCGAAAACAGAGATGAGACAAATAGTTCTTGTATTATTCAAACTATTCTAATGATTGAAATTGTAGCCGAATGTGTTTGATTTGTTTGGAATGAACTGTTTATGGACCCGGTATATTAAATACCACAAAAATACCCAGACTATGGAAAAATTCCAATGCGAAAAGCGCATGATGTCAGTCACTTCTTTTTCTTGATGCTTTTCAAAAACAATACAAATTCCATCCTTTTTCTCTTCTGTGTACATAAGCACGCTACCACGGTGGGAAAAAGCTGATTGTAATCAAAGCAATCTTTGGGCAATCATCGGCAATCAAACCAATCTGGGCAACCAAAAACTCATTCCTCCCGAACCTTGCACGCTGCAACTTTTAATCGCAGAGCAAGGACAAAAGGCCAGGGTTTTGGTGTGAGCCTTCTCTGCACCCACCAGAGTTGGAGCCGGTCCGGCCGGTCATCACCGGTTTTTGCCGGTTGAAAATTTTTTTATAGATCTGCCATTTTTCCTTGCAAAAACTATTAATAACAATTTTTCAAGCTTTTATCAAAGTAACCGTTGAATTTCATGAAAAAAAATATGTTTCATTGCTGAAAAATAAAGTCAAAGCCTTATTTCCTGGGTCTAATTTATTTCATAACATTATTTTTAAAGATTGAATTTTATTTGAAATATTATTCGGCGAGAAATGCTAGACCTTTTCCAAATTATCAGGTACTACAAAGAAATTTCGCCTGCCATTCATTTTTTATGTGAAAAAAATATTGTAAACTTGCCGGTTTTCACCGGTTTGGAAAATTTTTTGGACCGGTCTTAAAATTTTAGATCAGTTCCAACTCTGGCACCCACAACCAAACCTTAATAGCTCAAATTGTTTTGGGTCAAGTCAAATCCAATCAGACTTGACTTACCCAACTCAGCGTTTCACCAATTTCAAGTCTGATTGTTGATTTTTCTTTTTCTGCCACGAAGAAAAATTCAATATATCATTTATTTTGACTCAAAATATGATGCTTCTAGAATCGTTTTTGGTTCAAAAATTTTATTTGTAACAAAACATGGTATACAAACAATTTCGGGTGGCTTATTGGCAGTCACATGTCATGCTTAAGAGTACCAAAATGTTTTGATCATTTCTTCACTGAAGCTAGTGGAAAACGATATAAAAGCGCTGATTATGTTGCATAAAAGTTGTATTTTATATCTTTTTTTTTCTTGCCTAAAACAGAAACAAATATCACAATACGATATGTACATTTAAAATGATGACTAGAAGTGAGAGCGTAGTTTTTCATTTTTCAAACGAAATAACAAAAGATATCATGATGTTTTTTTTTCGTGTCTATGCAATCGATTGTGTTGATGCTGTAGTCGCACTTTGAGATGATGAATTTTGTTGCTGTTGATATTGTTTTGAAAGACTTCGAATATATTTTAATGCAAAATTTGTAGCCTGTTGTCGCGCTATATCAAATGTTTCACCACAGCCATGGAAGACAGAAACAGGCATAAGACGAACTTCAAGTAGTAATTCGATAGAACCTTTAGAGAGAGAGAGAAAAAAATCAAATGGATTTTAAATCGAAAAAACACGATATTTAACCTTCACTATTTGTTGGCAATTGAATAAATTCATATGCAAAATTTTGTTCTTGTGCAAGACATTGAAATAGTTCATATGATTGTGATAGTTCTGAACTATGATCATCCGACAGTAATTTTTTTATGTTAGGTAAATCACTATTTTTCATTATATGAAATGAATTTTTATCATATAAACGATTGGATCGTGTTGCTACTCCTGCACCACGTGTACCATTGGTGTCTAGTAACTGAAAAGAGAATTTAAAAAAAAATTTATTAAAAGCATATTAGCGAGTGGTTGAGTTAGACAAAAGTATGTATAAAAATGAATTGAAACATACATTTGAATCGTTGACTTTACGTCGTGATCGTCGAAATTTCGAATGTGATTGTGAATATTCCAGCTCATTCTATGAATTAGAAGAAGAAATTCTATGGCGTCACTTATTAAAATACTATTCACCTGTTCTTCAGTACGATTAAGTAAAGCTTTCTTTTCATCCGGCCCAAGATTTTCTAATATATTAAGTAGATTTGTTGCTGCTAGACGTTTGGCTATCTTTTTTGAAAGACCACTACCTGCACAACAAAGTACCATGTCATACATAATTTATTATGTATGTAAAAATTAACCTTCGGCAGTATAAGTAGCAACTTTAGCTAGACATGAATATGTTTTAGAATTGGGTACAGAAGTATTTTCTTGATCAAAAAATTCATATTCCGGTGGTCGTATCCAATTTTTTTGTGTTAATTCTTGAAGTTTACCTATTGGGTTACTTTTTTCACCTGTATTCGTTGTATCCTCGCTTGTACTACAAGTTTGTAATGGTTTTATCGTACTATCGATAAAAAGAAAACAAAATATTTAAAATCAAGAAAAATCCTTGTTTAGTTACAAATATTCTTCAATAGTTTTAACTAATGGACTCTCGACTAATATCAATTTAGCATAACATTGTTCAACCATACACCAAGCAGCTTTATGTTTAGCACGTTTTTTACTTGAACCTAAACAAAAACATTAATTGGAAATGGCATTTTTTTTAAATTTTGTTTTCATCAATTAAAAATGATTTCATTAACCTTTGCCAAAAGCAATCATATCATCGACAACAACTCGATAGAGAAATGCTGGCTCATTCGATGTACATTGTGCTTCACTTGGACATAGACTGTAGGTTGGTGTTGCATGAATACGAAAGCATATTTCTTGCAGGAAACTAATCGGTGTTTTTAAAGCTAAATCAGTAATAGGTTTATCATGTATACTACCGACATTAGAATTCGCTGATGTTTGCGTTGGTAATAAGGGTATAGATGATTCATTAGTATCAGACTTTATGGATAATGAACTCAATAATGATTCAGGAAAATTCATCTAAAAAAATATCGATTTTTTATTTATTAATATAACAATTACTGCTTTATTAGTCCACAGCAAATTTAATAATAAAATAAATAGATGAATATTATTAAGACAGGAAAAAAAATCAAATCATGGAATCGAAACCTATTAAGTCGGTAAGTCATTAACTAGATTCGCTGCCATGGTTTCCGTTTGGAATAATGATAGATCTAAAAATTTCTTTTCATATGCATGCCATTCGTCTGGTACTACAGGAAAATATTGATCCATTCGACGTAAAAATCTTGTTCTATAATGCTCGGGTGATATAACAGTTGGCGATTGACCTACACTACTCATTGATTTAACAATAGTTTCAATCTTTTTATCCCATGTATATGTTCGTATGTAATCAATAATACCAACGAAAACAATGGATTGTTGCTCATCATTATGGCATGATACTAATAATGAATAATCAACAATTCCATGTTTGGATAAAAATTGTGTATCGGCATTTAAGGCTTTCATTAATGTCCATTTTGTATGTAAACGTACATAGAAAGGATTTTCGTGTGTATGCGTTAAAAAATTTTCATCTAAGAAAACAACATCGGTTTGTGTTTCGTCAACAATAGCTAAACGATTTCTCATTGAACCTTTTAAATCATAAATAATCGGTGGTATTGTTGAATTAAAAATATTGTTTTGATTATTTAATAAATTTTCTAGAACCAATATATCACGTTTGAAATTTTCTCCTGTTGTATTATGACGATATTGTATATGATAAATGCCGAGAATTTTTGTCAATGTTGTCGGCCGATTGTATTTTATTGAATTCGTTATATATTCAATGTACGAAGGTGCAAATGTTGAAAATGAAAATGATTCTTTTTGATTGAGATCTTTTAAAACGAAATAATCGTCAGTTGTTTGCCAAAATTCTGATTTTGACTTTCCACCACGTGGTTGCCATTTTTTACAATGTGACAATGAACGTATATAAGATATTTCATCACTATGATTAGTCAATATAGTTTGACGTAGTAAATGAAATTTAGCTGCATAGAAAATTTTTACAGTAAACTTTGTTGATGAATCATGAAAATGTAAGTCTATGTGTTGATGATCCTCCAGTGGAGTACCATTATCGTCAACTTGTTGTTTAACATCAGTATTTTGTTCTTGAATCGTTTCATTCAATAGTAAAGTTTCCTCGTTTAATCGTTGCTCATATTCGGACATGGATAAAGCATGTGCAATGATTGAACTTAATTCACGATGATTTACAACAAATTTGCCAGATAATTGTAAATGTTCATCGTCATTAAAAGGAGATTTTAATGGAACAAAATCATTTTCTGCAGTAGGTAAAAATGTTGATAGAAATTTAAATACACCAGTACGTCGAGTAATTTCATCGTCGGCGGTTGATGTCACTTTTGTCGAACCACTTTCAATAGTACTTTCATCAGTATCGCCAGTAGCTGATGGTTGCGATTGAAGTGTAGAGGAATTTTCAAAAGTATTGGGTAAATCAGTTTCACTTAGACAAGAACTAGCTATGTCTGCACTTGTTTCGCCTGATGGAACGGCTTTAATCGCAACTTTTTTTGATGATTCACGTTGTTTTTCTTGTTTTTTTATTATTTGAACGAGATCAAGAAGTGTTGTATTCCAATTCTGAACAATTTTTGTAATAAATTTTTTTGCTTCAACAATCTGATCATCAATAGACACATAGCTGGTGGCATCTAAAGATATCAAAAGAATCAAAAACGTTTCGTAAACAATTATTTTCTACTGATAGGATCCCCTTATATTTTCAATTAAGTTTGAAACATATAGCATTTAGAAGCTAGTGAATGGACTACGACAAATCAATTTAACACTAGTTTAGAACTGGGAAAACTTATTAGGGTTCACGGAATGGCCGGAGTCTCTCACGACTAATACAATAGAATTTTTCATTGGCATCATGGAACTATTTTTACCTAATTGTCGTTTTTGTTCACCATCACCACCACTATTTCCAGCTGTCATTTTCAATTGAATTTCATCCATTAACGAACGAAATATTTGCTGTTCGATTCTTTCTTGTAATAAATATTGATCGATTTTCGATATCAAAAAATCTGGCATTAAATTAAAACTTTTAAATTCAACTAAACGTTCGACAATCGTTGAAAATATACTGTAACCATTAACAGATAAACTTTTTGTTAATTCAATATAATAATCACGTTCAAATACAAATGGTTTAAGAGTCATAGTTGATTTTGGTAAATAGAATTCTTTGAGTTTAATTTGAAATAAACGAAACGATGCTACAAATTGTTGAGAATGGAAATAATGATAATGATCACGAAATATATGATGTTGACATGAACGCGTTGATGATACAGAGAATGATTCAAGATGAAATAATAATTCAAGAAATTTTGTAAATGACAAAGACCATGTACGAGATGACATCAAACGTTTTGCTGACGACTAGAAAGAGAGATAAGTCTCATTAAAACAGATAGTAATCAATGTTTTTCATAGGATTGTTCAATCTTATGAAAATTATGGAAACATAGGCACGACTCATCTGATCATTACGAAACACTAGGAATTAGTTTTCTATCAAAAACAATTTCGGCATACCTCTCGGCAATGTTCGCAATAATTCCACATGTAGATACTATTTGATGGCGGATTTTTTTGTAGATTCGATGTTGTTTTATCAACATGTTTAATACGAATTACTAATTTCATTTCACCATGTACAATTCTTAATTAAGTAAAATTCAAATTCAAGAAAAAAACTGTATTCTTCCAAAAGAAAAACTTACTGTCGAACATGATCTTGTAATGGTTGTTGACAAGTTTTGCATGGCGCATCGTTTGTGGAAAAGCAATGCTGTTCAAGAAACGAACCTAATGTTGTATCTTGAATTGAATATGCTGGCATTTCAAGAATTTCTGGTTGTCGACATGTTAGCAATTTATTTTGAACAGTACAATTTGCACTGTATAATATTGCAATTTGTAAATGTAGACGTAAATCAAGATACGGCGCAAATATTGTTTCTATTGGTTGATCACGTGGTTGTTGTTGCTGATGTTGAGTTAACCAATTGTACCAACTAGGATGTCGAAATTGACATCGACCGCCAGATGCTCGATAATGAGCATAGACAGCCTGAAAATTGCAAAGCATCAAAATTTATACTTTTTGTAAAGAAAAGTAATGTTTGAACGACTTACTTTCGAATTTTGATCAATACCAGGTAGAATAGTATTATCTTTAATAAAATTATGTTTATCATGAACACGAACAATTTTATTATTATATGGTGAATTGTAAAACCAACTATATATATCTGTATCTTTAGCTTGTTTGTCATCATCAATTGTACTATTATTTTTATCACGTTTTTGTTGATATTTATTATTATGTATTGTTTGATACAATAATTCGCTTGGTACATATGGTTGATTTGTACATGTTAAAATATACGGAGGATTATATCTAACATAGGGTGATGTTGATAAAAGAAGATTATTTGATATTAAATCAATAATTGTTTGTTTATTTGTTACCATTGAATCAATGGATTGTTCTAAATCGAATTGTTTTATGATAGACAAACAATCATTATGATTATCTATTATTTGTGCGTAACAATCATTTAAAAATGATTGTTCTAATTGTGTACTATAGGTTATAAGTAAAAATAAACGCATTATAGATTTAACTACTTTCAATTGTTGTAATGTTCCACCGCGTATTAATACTGTGCAACCATATTCAGGCGGACAACCAGCAAAAAACATCAAACGCTTTTTATACCTATGATTGAGTTCATATTCTTTTACTTGGAAATATTCACAACGACCTAATGGTGTTTGAAAATTGGCTGGTAAACGACTATCAATCGATGTCATTACTGTTGTACATAAACATTTCGATAAACGTTGCATTATACTTTCTTTTACGTTGTATATCAATACAAGGCCATTCGCTACTATAAAATCTTGTGCTAATCTATAGAAAAAAAATTCGAAGAGTTGAAATCGCAGATAGAATCATTTACCTGCTAACACTTTTTTCAACAACGAGTATGCCAGGTCTAAAATGTGAATTTATTTTATCAACATACGAATAGAGATAATGTGGCTCTTGATTAAGAACAGGTTCGAGTGTTGTTAAACGATGATCATCACTACGTTGATATTCTATTTGAGATTTCAATAATAGAACACGTGGTCCATCGATTCTTGCTGACATACTACGATGTGTGACATTTTTCGTAAATACACAACCATTGATAATTTGTGTTTCTGATTTGAGACCACCAGGTAACTTTTTAAATTTAACATTTCGTCGTATGTCATTGTTAGGTGTTGAATCATTACTTATAGATGTTACACGAATGATTTTTGCTAATGTTCGACAGATATTTAGAATTATGGGAAACCATTCGGCGTCAATATGAAATTGTATGAGAATTTGTTTGAGTAATAATTCTTCATATTCGTTATATAAAGATGATATTGAATCCGATGGTGACGATTGTTTCATTGTAGAATTTCCATCTGTGTCATCAGCTAAAGAAAAAGAATATTTCAATTGATAATGTTTACGAAATGTTAACTTCAGGAGCACGAATGTTCGCAGAAAGTTTTATCTTTAGATAAGCTTTATAAACGTGGCAAATATTGATTCAAAATTCGTACTAAGATAAACTAAAAATTATGTTCGATCTCTCTTCTATTTTCGTTTGATTCAAACCGCTTATTAAAAACTTCTTGTATTCGCAGTTCGCTATATGTACCTGGTTCAGTTCCATCAATTGGCATATTAAAATCACATCCTTCTTTTCTACTATTTATAGATAATGAATCATCTTGTAAAGTATTTGCTACTTGTGCATTAAATTGAACATAATTAAGATCAGTACCAATTACAACACCTGTTGATTTTGCCATTTTTTGTTGAAGTATATCTAAACATGTATCATAGTTATCTTTGAAATGAAAATATTTTCATCAACTTACCCATACTATTGGATTCATTGGAAGCTAGTGATGCCATACTTCCAGCTCGGAATGGACTTGATTCTGTTGGCAAATCACGTTCTAATCCGCGCTGTTAATAAATCAGTTAATTATTAAAACAAAACAAAAAACACAAATTTTTACTTTTCCTAATTTATATAAAGTGTGATCAGGTTTAAATTCAATGAATGATGTTTGTGGTAAGACTACAGGTTCTAAATATGTTTCATTAATAAAACATTGACATAATAATTTCGCTTCAGATAAAACTGAAGCGCGTTGATTTTTAAGTAACCAATCGACAATATCTTTTCCTGGTACACATTCAATCGCTCGAAAAAAATTACGTTGTTTTTGCATTTGCAAACCTTGTGATGTACGAAATATTTCATTGAACAAGGATTTTAAACTAAAATTTGTATTTGTACGTTGTTGAGATTGTTGCTGAGAATTTTTTTGACTTAAATCAGAATTTGATGAATTTTGTTCGCTACTATTTGTTGTTTGCTCGTTATCAACGCTTAATAATAGTGCAGCACTCGACGTTTTCGATAGAGAAAAATGATCAGCATTAAATGTGCTATCAGATGAATTCCCTTCTTGTGTATATGTTTGCGATTGTTGTTGCTGTTGCTGCTGTTCTTGATCTGATGGAGCGATTAATAAACGATATTGCGGATTTGACGATGATGATGATGATGATGATGATGATGCAGTTGTCGTCGTCATTGTCGTCGTTGTCGTCGTCATTGCATTTGGTTTTGGTAATTTCAATAAAGTTGATGAACAATATGAACACAGACGAATATTTGATTCACTATATCCAGCGAGTTTAGCTTGAGGTTCATATGAACAACAACGACTACAAAATAGAAGACCACAAATACGACCTATATCAAAGAGAAAAAAAAATGAAACGTGCAGCTATGGAAAAAGAAACAATGGAATTAAAAATATATACAATGATGACGTCGACGGAATGGTGTAAATTTTTCCTGGCAATCATAACATTCTTTGCCTAAAAACAATAGAAAAAGAAAGAGAATGATTAGAATAAAAACCATACAGATTGAAGTCAAATTATCTTTTTTTTACCAGCACTATCTGGCATCCAATGTTTTGTTTGATTTGGATTTCGTTCAAGACCAAAATTCGTTATTCTACGCAACATCGACTCACCAAGAAAACGATCATCTGATCCTGTTGCTTGGTTTTTCGAAGGATTATCCATTGGATATCCTCCGATATATTTGACAAAAAAAAACTAAAAATGATACAATATCAATGTAAAACTATGCGAATAGAACCACAACATCATAAACTTGATTAAATGTTGAAAAAATAATAATTTTATTGGTCGACTCAAATGCCAACAAAATAATTAGAATGTGATATGATATACGAAATGAAATGAAATATTATATGATAGATATAACATGTGTATTATGCAAATTTTGAAGTTTATAAAATTTTCGAATAAAATTTAGACTCAGATAGTAAATCAGCACGTTACTTCATCTGAATATTATTCTCTCTCAAGATGAACGTCATAGGATAGATGGCAGCATACTCGAGTCAGTTATAGGTGCAAACACTTCGAACCGAAGCCACAAGGTATAAGTGCACGTGTCCTTCGTCTTTTCGTAAAACTTAGCAATCTTTGTACTCTTATGTACGATCTTTTGTCATCCATCATATTATTTGACTATAGAAAAGAGCAATTACCTTGCACTTCAATGATCATAAATTAATAGATACAACTATTCTTACTTGAAGATCATCTTTCGATAGGTCAGGATTAGGTGAAAGTCGATCGGATGGATTCTGATAGAATTCTCCCGGATCTAAAGAGATTTTTCAAACGAAAATGAAATGAATAGAAATTTTAAATTTACCAGACGAAGAGATTGATGATGATGACGAAGAAGGAGATGAAGATGGCACTGGACCGTTTCCCGATGAAACTAATGTTCGCATAGGGCCATTGGTATGATTCACTGGATATTCATCATGACTTTCTAAAGATGAAAATTTTGTTTTTTTGTCGAAAATAATTGTTTTTTTACTTTCACCGGTTCCATTAACAAGAGAACGAAGTGCATTTTGTTTTTTCTTCTTAGCATTGGCATGATGCGATTTATTTTTTAATACTGATACTGACTGATTTTCTTCTGATCGATCGTCCACGAATTCATAGAATGGCCCAATGAGGCGAGTGAATTCTAATACTTAATTTGTCTGTGGCATTGTTTCAAGAATCCAAAAATAAAATAAAATTTTGGTTCTTCGTTTTTCTGAAAATTTACTTTTCGAACCTCATCAATATAAGTGGTCATCGCTACTTCTTTCCTCATCGATCGACATTTATCCCATGCATCCCTAAATGAATCTATGATTAAAATGAATTAGAAAAAAACATTTTCCGGCCTACCATTTTGCTCGATTAATATAGGTAATAGAATACTGAAGGTCGTGACTCGTTACACGAACCTGCTGTAGCTTGTTTATAGAGACCATAGAATGTTAATTTCATTTAATTTGATGGTTGAAAAGTACCTAATAAAAAGAAAACCAATTGAGTGAACTTCGTTTTTCATTTATTTACCATCGTTAGGTAATCGTTGAATGGCTTTTACAGCTGCATTGAATTTTTCTTGTAGGCTAGCTGTAGATACCATACGGTTTCCAAAAAACGAATATTTACGAATGTACGTTTATATTTATAGATAGAAAACAGCATATTACGAGTTAAATTATCAATACGAAATTTGTACTTCTTGTGATCGTTTGTAATTGCTCATTTATCTAATACGCAGAATCTTGAGGGTGTGGGTGATATAGCACTACTTCGTTTACATCTACACCGTATTCACTAACTCTTAATAGCTATTGGTTACGCCCACTTTCAAGTCATTTAGTATCAGCTGTGTGATCAAACCATTAGATAATCATCGACCTATGTGCGAAGTAAATATTTGAATCGTTTACTGTTACGCATAGTTCAATCATTAACAATTAATATTCAACACTCTCATTTTTCTGAAAAATTGCGAATGTACATTATTGATTTTTATTTCAATGAGATCAAAACAAAATTGACTTCACAACGAAGGAAAATAACGATAAACATCTTCTGAGAAAACAATCGAGTCTTCGACAATTAATCGTTTTACTGTGGCACAATTCAGTCGTGTTGCATCTTGTGTAAAGGTCTTTGTCACCTCTTTCAATGCATGAAATTGAACTTTTAATTCAGTTAAACGTGGTAGATGTGTTTTTGATTCATTGAGAAACTGATCCACGTAATCGACATTCACGAAGATGATGTCAAGTGAAATTAGATGAGGATATTTAACAATTGAACATGAATAGTCATTAACTAAAGGATATTTGTAAAAGCTTCATAATGGTGATCGGATATTGTTAACAGATAAATGCTCAAGTGACGGAAATGATCTTGCGACTCGAATGAAAAATTCATGTTTGAATGGAACTCTATCCGACAAATCCAAATCAGTTACAGTACTGAATATAATAGATGGAAAATTGTTCGTGGTACATTCGAGACAATGAAATGGAAATAGAAGAGAGAAAATATGACAGACGGCCTTGAAAGTGCCGAAATAATCTACAATAGAAGCCACTTGATGATGATCTAGATTTTGAAAAGTTTGTTGAATATCATCATTACATAGGCGATGAAATGGACCGTTGATGTAATTAGTTGTATTAATATAAAAAGTGAATTTATGAAGTCGTGGCATATACGTAAATAAGAATTTCATCATGAAGATGAATACCATAGGCCGGTTTAAAGTACAAACATACAAAAATTAATTCTTCAAGTTGTGACGTACGACGAAGAAGAGGCACAATTAGATTGTCATAGAAAAAAGTTTTATCATAGCATACTAATGACAAACCTTTCAAATTAGGTAGATCATCCTACAAATGAAACAGAAACATCTATAAATGAATATTAATTCTTTCTTTAAATGTCTGTTGTACTCTATAAGTTATCTGTGGTTTAATAATCATAATTAACATAAGAACTTCCTAATCCTTAAATTCTTAATATAATAACTAAACAATAATAATTTGACAAAAAGCATAAAATACAATATAGAAATGAATTTTCCCAACATGTTGCAAACCTTTAGACGAAAGTTACTGTAAAGGTTTCTCTAAAACGAATTATTTGGGCGAGTAACTATCAGAAATGAAGAACTTCGAGTATGCTTTAGTCGTCTCCGGTTACACTTCAATTTCGATTCTATGAAATCGAACTAGTTCCAATGAAATCCATGGAAAACAAAAGTTTTTGCATGCATATATCTATAATCAATTACTAGCATGATCATTGATATAATTATATTCATAAATTAATGAAGGTTAAAATACGCAAGGTAATTGACTGAAGCGATTAATCGAAAAATTATCGTACCTTTGACTTCTTTTAATATAAAGAAAAAGGTAGGCTGTTGTTTATCGTCTTATTTCGTATGTGAATGCTCATTTTGTGAAACACGATCTGAAAGGAGTTTAGAAATCAAGGAGGAAAAGGCGGATTTCGTACTCTCGGGATTTCTTGTGATCTTGGGGATCCACTTTTCCCCTGTTTCCGGACAATTTTAACTAATCATGCAAAATAATGATAGCACAATTATAAACTTACCATGTTATAAGACATCAGTGGCATACAACAAGAGATAAAATCAATTTGAACAATAAATGTAACTAATTGTTTTAGACGACCATCTAGTAAAGCAAGACAATCATCAAAAATTAACCACATTAATACATAGTTTAGTAAGTGTTGAAGAGAAAAATGTGCTCGGTGATGAATCTTTCAGTGACAAAGGTAGATGATTCTTGATGGACAATGGCTCAATCGTCAAATGTTTGAGATTTTCAAAGAAAATTAAACTAACTGCGTAAACATTCATGGTATCATTCTTGCATAATATTCTAATTCTGTTTTCATTACCAATAATACTAAGATCCGTAATTTGTTTACGGATACGCTGAAACTTAGAATCGTCTAAACAAAACAAAACACATAGAATTTTAATACACTTTTTATTTTAGATTTTAAACAAAGATCAAAATATGTCAATTCATTATCTTCGAAGTAACGTGACACGATTTCTTCATTGACATTGAAAATTTTAAGTTGAGTAAGATTAGGATATTCAACAGCAAGAAGAATTCGTTCTATGGAAACTGATTCGAAAATGAGACTGTTTACACTACGATGAATTTGAGGTAATATTTCGTTACAAAATCTATCAAGTTTTCGATTAGAAATTGAAAAAATATCATTAGTTGATGATATAGAAACGAAATTAAGAAGATTTATGAAGATTTTATCTTGTGCTATAATATGAAGTCGTTGATTGTTCAATAAAATGATTGACCTTGTGGAACAAAAGAAAATGTAAAAATTAATGATTACGTATTGAAAGGTCTGAAAGAAATAACGTCAAAAATAGAATGTCGAAGGAAAAAATAGTGAAACATTTGCAGTGAAATAAAAATGCCAGAAAAATTTGTTTTAATATTTTCAGACTGCTGAGATGAAGATTTTCTATTGTCTGATAAAGATTTAAGTACACTAAAAAATAGTGAACGAAACATAATTAGTGATAAAATTAATAAAAAGAAGATATTTCTTTATTTAATTATATCTTTTCTTTCCTGTGTGCTCATTCTTTCAGTTAGAGTCTGCGATGATGCTCCATTGACGAAAAGCGGTGCCCTGTGAAAATAGATAACACAAGAAAACGAAGGAATAAAATATCCCTTACTGACCTTTAAAATATTTTCAAAGCTTTTATAAGAAAATATACTCTTCGTTATTTTCAGTCTATTGGATAATAATCGTCTGAGTTAACACGACACAACGATGGTATTGCTCCGATGCTCAGTTAGTCGTCAGTTTAGTAGCTCGCCATTGGTCAACATTAATGATGACTTTCTCCTAAATAATTGAGGGGCCAAAAAAATTGACTTTGGCGAAAGCACTACCTTATTCCTATGAACAATTGGTATCAAGGAGAACCTTGGGGGAAATGGCAAAATATGTAGCCACGCCAAGTGCATTAATATGATCTCCATTCGATAGCAAATCGATGATTCATCCCGATTTGAGGGCTGATTAAGGGCCCTAATATGAAATATATGATCGAACATGTGTAGTATATGCAAAAAATGATCTGACTTTTGAAGTTGATGAAATTCCAGAACAAAATTTAGACTCGTAAGCAAGTCGAAGCGTTAGTTCATCTGAATATCTTTCTCTCTCTCAAGATGAACGCCATAGGAAAGATGACAGCATACTCGAGTCCGTTACGTGCAAACTCTTCGAACCGAAGATCATGATCTTAATCTCAATCGATTCGGCTTTATTAATTCAACAAATTTATGTCTCAAAGTTAGAGTTTTCAGTAGATTCTTCAGCAAAAATGTTAAGCTAATTTTACAGCTATATTTTAATTTCACACTACAAAAAACTTGACTCTAGGACATTTGAAAAATTCCACAAGGTATAAATGGAAGCGTCTCTCGTCTTTTCATAAAATTCAGCAATTTTTGTACTCTTCCGTACGATCTTTTGTCATTCATCATATTATTTGACTATAGAAAAGAGCAACTATCTTGCACTTCAATGATCATAAATTCGTCTGCACTAATTTTGTTAATCATTTTGAACATGGAAGGAATGTTTCTAATAGGTATATATCGTCTTCAAATTATTTTACATCGATTTATAAATGTTTCTTTAGGATAACGTAGAGAAGAAGAAAAAAAAAGCTAATCGCAAATGAAAGTCTTATCCTATAGTAGCAGCACTCTAATCGGTATAAAATTTAAAATAAAGTCATTATTATTGCCAATTTTAATTCATCAGTATATTATAAGCATTTTTATTGGATTCTTGTGAAGAACGAAACCATGCAAATTCGTTGAACGATAAAAAGCCAGTCATCACTTTGACCTATTCCTTATAGTCATCATTGAAAGTAGACGATAGAACATATTTGTCATAGGTACTATAACGAATTCATCTTGAAACGACGTTCTATCAATTTGAACGATTGTAAAAGAGCTCTTTACAATTGTAGTAAAGCCCGTCATAACATACTTAGTATTCTATAATCGCAAATCATTTTTCGTATATATATTGTTTTTCCCGATGACAATAACTAATAAAAAAATTGATCAAACACGTTTGTATCTATATGAACGTGCTTTTATTTTCAAAAAAAGAAAAACAATCATTTAGATTACATGAATTTGTATACAAAATATTTCAGTAAAATAAAGTCAATCAAACGGTAAGTGCCTCATTATGATGATCAAACACATATGCAAACAAACAAACAAACAAACGAGACGAGACAAGATTGAATCGTATCCAAATACATAACCGTTGACACTATTATACTAATTCCTTTTCGTTGAACGGGTAACACTGTGTATAAGTGCGCGTGCGCGCGTACACACACAAAGTCGTTTGATCATCGGGCGTTGAATAGTATAAAAAAATTTATATTGCTACGAAAATATAAACTACTAAATGATTTTCATCATTAGGGTCATAAAGTTCAAAATTCAAATTTATCCCGGGAAACCCAACGAAACAAAACAACAATAACCTAATGATCAACATAGGATTTCTCTAGCGGTCGCTTACTAACTGCACTGAACTAGAGCAAAAAAATAAAAATTTGTTTATTTATATGTTTGTAAAATAATCAAAAATACTTATTAATATAAAAAGTCATGAGTTTTTTTTTCTTTCTCAATCGATTCTAATTGGACAAGAACTCAATTCGTTGTTTTTTTTTTCTGTCAACTTTTTAGTAGCAAAAATTAAATCGGTTTCCTCTTTCTTTTCTCTTCTAAGCTGCGTAAACAACAAATCAATCATCTCTAGAGAATTCTTTTCTTTTTCTTTTACTTCTGTTTAACTAAAAATACATCCAATCATAGGCAACAGTGACAATTGAGAAGAGAAAAAGAAATCATTTCTATATTCTCTCGTTTTATATATTTTTTATTCTTTTCTACTCTCGTTCTCTACCAATCAATTGTCATACAATCAAAACGAAGCCAATTGCACCAAGTAATTCTCATTTATGTCTCGATACGACAGAAATTAACTAGCCTATTCCCGCAAATAACAGAAATCGAGCAAGTGAGAGAGAGAGAGAGAAAGAGAAAAAAAGACGAATAAATAATACACATTCGTTTGATCATTAAAAGAAGATGACAGATATTAAACATAGCCAAGATAAAGAGAGACACGAGATTAACTGGAAAAATGAAGCTTATTCATCACAACAATTTCAACATTCAATGAATATGTATGCTCAACAACTAACTACTAAATCTGACAACGACCAAGTACCGAAAATGGTTGGCATGTCTTCTGCAACGGTACCAAATGGATTGGATAATCTTGAAAAAGACGAAAGCGATAGTTTAAGTGGTTATAGTGATGATGAAAATCATAAACGAAAACAACGTCGTTACAGGTGAGAGAAGAAGAAAAATTAATAACTTAATTAAAATAATCAATTGATCACTTTTTTTTCTTTCTTTTCTCAAATAATTAATTTTAGAACAACTTTTACGTCGTTTCAATTAGAAGAATTAGAAAAGGCATTTCAACGTACACACTATCCTGACGTTTTTATGAGGTAAAACATTTTTGATTAATTCAGAACTCTTTGAAATTTTACCATGTAGAATTACATCATTAAACGTTCTGTTTGTTTTTCTATCGATAAAATAAGAAAAACTCATTAGAAATGTTTTTTTATTATTATAATATATATATATATATATTTGAAATATATGAAGGCAAACATTTTCAGAGAAGAAACAACGAACGCATCGATCGATTCAAATCAATTTTTTTTTCTTCTTGAAATTGGTTACTCGCGCAGTTCTTTGGCATCCGTTTACTCCAATAATCGTCAATCACTTAAACCAAACGAAATAGAAATAGTCACTTTCTCTTTCTCTCAGCTACTTGTCTCTTATGAGAATTTAGAAAAAATTTTACTTTCTCCCTCTTTGGTTTGCATACACATACACAATGTTCTTTCGTCCCACTTATCTTTGATTAACAATTATATGAACTGCACAGTAAGAGAAAGAGAGAGAGAGAGAGAGGGGAAAGAAAAAAGTAAAAGTACTTATTGTTAAGAGCACCTTCATGCATCTCCCAATAGAAAAATCTATGTAATGATGTTTATCTATACCAACTTATTTCTTCCTCATCAGCCAATCATTTAATAAATACCTATGTCAACACTCAAATATATGCGTATATCTCGTAGTTTCACAGCGGGAAATTATTGTTATAGACACTTATCGCACGAATAAGCGAGAGATTGTTTTGGTGATAAACTTCGATTAGACACCTATGATCGTATTGATGAGTTTTATTTGTTTAAAGAAATACTCTTTCGCATACTACTGTTATAAAAACTGAATACAATAGAAAGAGAATAAGAAATAAAGAATCATCACATCGTATTAAAAGAAAAAGAAGGGATAAATCATGTGTTGATGTTTTCTACATTTGTTTAAACACGTTTAAATTGATTGAAAATGAATCTTTTGACAATCTATCAGATTAAATCGAACATGTTACGTAAAACTATTGCATTCGAAGCTTTTGTGTTATAAAATTAATTCGCGAAACAAAACAACAAAAATGTCTTTTCTTTCTATTCAGAGAGGAATTAGCAATGCGTATCGATCTAACTGAAGCACGCGTACAAGTATGGTTTCAAAATCGTCGTGCTAAATGGCGAAAACGTGAAAAAATGAATCCATCATGTATGTTAAATTCATCATCATCATCATCATTGTCAACATCAGCAGCTCATTCATTAATTAATAATAATAATAATAATAACAATGTACATTCTCATCCGTTTTTTACTCCACCGCCAAGTCTTCTTAATCGTCTTAGTGCATTTACTCCTGGAGAAATTCTCTCATCTTATTCATCGTTAACATCATCATTTCTTAATGCAACAGCAGCAGCTGCATGTTTACCAATGTTTACACCGCCAACATCATTTTGGCCGTCAACAAATCAACTTGGTGCAACCTATCCAAATATTTTAATTTTACAACAATTAGCACAAATAGCTGCTGCTTCATTAGCATCCAATACATCATCGTGCTCAAGTGAAAAAGAACTAACAAATGAAATCAAAACTCAAAATAATGATTCGAACAGTAATAATAATAGCGCAACATCATCACCAAGTAAAAAACGTAAACGTTCAATAAGCAGTTCAAATGAAACATCATCTGAACATCAAACATCATCAATAACAAGTTTTGTTACACGTGCAAATACAGATGAGCATCGTTGTACAAGTAGTATTGCTACTCTTCGACTTAAAGCACGTGAACATACAACGAAACAACATGATCTATCATCACCAACATCAACACCTGCTATTGGTGTTGTACAATAAATGATTGATTAAACCGGGAAAAAAAATGAACTTGAAAAAAAAAAACAATTTAATTATTTGCTTGTTTGTTTGTAATTGTGTAAACGTATAGCCATTTTTTGTTTTGTTTTTTCTTTTCTTATGTGTGTGCGTGTGTTTCTTCTTCTTAACAGAGAAAAAAATGGAATCTGTAGGTGTGAGAGAATAAATTAAATAATTTCCGCCTTGTCTTTTTTAATGTCATCGCATCAAACAAACAAACAAATATATATATATATATATACAGGTGTGGGTGGGGCTGTTCAATATAGAATAAATGTACTAATGATTGTTGGCTTAAGGCACATGATGTGTCAATTAGGATCATTGACAAAAAGTAAGCAGGTGTGCTGTTTCGCTCGTTCTTTTGATAATTAGTATACGTGCTATGAGACAAAATCGTTTGGTTATGAAATAAAATCGACCGACAACGAAATTTGTCACGTTTTAAATTAAATCATTAAAAATAAAATTCTATTGTATAGAACAACACAGGAAAAAAATGTTTTGATAGTAGAAGATCTTTTTACTTGTGTAATTAAACTCTATGAGTATTTATTTCAAAAAACAAAAATAACTAATAGTATCGATTTACAAATGACGATCTGTTTCCTAAACGATGACATTTCGTAGAATTCAAATCATAATTACAAAAAGTGTGATGTCTATTTGACTTTTTGAAATTCGTCAACATGTGCCTTTGAAGTTTTTGTTTTTGATAGCATTCGATTTCGTATGTGTAACTTTCGAAGAAATTGATGAATATCATATTGCTCATGATAATGTATACATTTCGATTGATAATTAAGTTTACAAGCGTGACAACGTTGAATAATATCCTTTGAATTTTCTAAAGTAATTCTAGATAGAAGAAGTAAAAGGTTATTATCTTCTATTTTTGTTTTCTATATCGATGCTAACTTGCATTGCGTAATAGGAAGATTCTTATGTCGAGAACGATTTCGATATAAATAGCGTCGATTGATTTGATCATTTGAAGAATATGCTGGGATTAGATGGTAGCTAGGCGTATGTGGTGACAATGTCAAGGACAATTTTTTGGCTTGATAATGTGTATTATTGAAATGAAAATTTGATGATTGATTATGTTCTTTATTATTATTGAATAAAATAGGTTCAATTTGTTCGATGATTCTTGTGTTTTCAAACACTATTTGATTATATATTGACCTGATTATAAATATGTTTAATAAGAAAGAGTAAGCTGTAAGAAAGACACACCTGTGAACTTGTGAATGGGATTGATTATTAAGGCTAGAACAACAATTTTAAAATCTCCTGGAATATTTTTTTATTTTATTCTGTGATTTGAGATTATTATATCCAGCACTCTTTATCATGTTAAGGTAGAAAAAAAATTAGCTAAGCTCGAAGTTATTCAAAAAAGGAATCATAGAAAATTCACATTGAAAAATGAAGTATATCGTGCGAAGCTCGATGATAAAAAGCTCTTAGTAAGAATAGAAATAAATGAATGAAAAGAAAAAGGCAAAAGTTTATTTTTTTGTCTGTACAGACTCATTATTTGTTGGCGTCTCATCTGGAGTTGTTTCCAATGTACTTGTTATACGTCCGATCGATGCTAGTCGTTCTGAAAGTGTTAATTCTCTTGGTTCAGTACTAGCTGGCGGAGCTGGTTGAGGAGTTTGAGCAGTTGTTGGTTCAAATCGTGCTGTTGATGTAGTAGCAAGATCCCGTGCCATTGCTGCACTTGATTTGGCACGTCGACTGGATGATACTGTTGTACTTTTACGTTGAGATTTCGGTGTTGTTGGTTGCTGCTGCTGTTGCTGTTGGTGTTGTTTACGTTGCGCAGCACGCATTTCAGTTTCAAATTGAAAACCCAACTGTTCTTTTTTCGCTTTTGGCTGATTGTCTGCATCAGAATCGCCGTCGTCATTCTTCTTTTTTTGCGCGTTTGAACGGCGTTTTTCACGCTAGAGAAATTCAAATTCAAATGTATCAACGGGGGGCTATTTTGTTTTTCTGAAAATTTTTACTTCACGCAATAACAAAGCAACAAAAACTCCATTCATTTTTTGTGACGATTCAAATTGTATAAAAGTACCTTGACGTAGAATTGGCATTTGTTCATTTCGAGTGCCAAATTGAATAGGAAGTACCGGTGGGGATACTCTATAAATAAATAAATATTCATTATTCGTTATGAATCTTACAGTTTCATATAAAAATGTGTGCCTATCTATCTGGTAGTGGCGATTTTTTTAAATTAGTAGAATTTTCAATGGAAGAGTAGACATCATCAACCAACGAAGGTATTCAGATGACGATACTGTATCATAACAAGACAATAGATAAGTAATCTTGGCAAGGAGTTCAACAAGGTGAAGGTTATTCTGTCCTTTCTCATGTTCACTGGAGATTTCATACTCATTTTCCTACTTACAATAATTCGAACATCTAAGGTAAAGCAATGACACGATGAATGGAATCATCCGAATGTTATATCCTCGATTCTATTATCTTGTTGTTGAGATAGAGTAAGTAGAAAATAAACGCTTCAATTAAAAATTATGTCGTACTTATAAAATCCAGCATCTTTTCTAGGAGTTTGTGACCGTTGCTCAGTTTGTTCATTCACTGTTGCATGAACAATTTCTTCGTTTTCAGATTTATTTTTTGAAAACGTTACATAGACAACGGCCTTGGCCAATGGATCTAAATATTATATTTGATTATAGAATTTTTGTAATTTTGATTGCAAATCTTACATCGAACTGCTTGCTTCATATAAGCTGTTTCACGTTGTATGCATTCTTTTATATAACCTTTGTTTTCTGTTGGCTGTGAAAAATGTTTAAGTAATGATACATCTATAAAAAAAAAGAAAAAGAAAGAATCGAATAATTATCGAGATATATTTCGCTTATGATTATCAAACCTTCGCCTTCATTATAGAGAAAGTCAAGTGGTTGTATAAGAGCAGAACGAGAATCAGGTGGATTACATAGAATAACTTTACAATGTTCCATATTGAATTCATCAAAGTTAATATCAGTAAAGCGTTCTTTAAAAATTTTGACACCTACATGGAATATTAATTTTAGTTAATATTAAAAAGAAATATTTATAAATAATTTACGTTTATCCGTGGCTCCCAATGTTTTTATTTTAGCTAACATATCTCGAATATTTTCATCGGTACGACCGCCGAATGCATAAATTTTTGATTCAAGATCTTCTGTAAGTACCATTAAAAGTTGAAGAAGGAGACCTTGAATAAAAAAAGAAATGAAATTGCTCATACTTCCTGTAATAGCAAAATAACGAGAGAGAGAGAGAGAAACACGTACCTCCACTAACATAAGCTATAATAATGTTATCTTTTTTAGTTAATAATTTTCTTATTGAATGTGCAGCAATACAACTTGATTTATCTTGTAAATATAGATGATTATCGCGAACAAGATAATGATTAGCAATACGTTGTTTTTGTGAATAATGAAATACAAGTAAATTTGAACAATGATAATCAACAAAAAATGCTCGTTTATCCATTTCGTTTATTGATTTAACTCGTTTCATCTGTTCGCTATTTTCGAAGACTTTGATCACAGTTTCCATACTGGAAAAAAAAATAAATATAAACATATGAGAGGTTGTACATCGAACTAAATATGAATTTCAATTTCCGATAATAAAGAATAGAAAAATTTCTTAAGTGTAATTTAGACAAATTCAATTCACGAAATCCTTATTTTTCTGAACAAATGATGGTGCATAGTTTTTCAGAACAGGAAATTGTCTATCTTTTTGATATGCAAATGAATACTAGATCGATATTCGGTATGCAATAATTGTGTTTTTTTTCAAAACATACTCAGTTTTAATAAGATTAACCCAAGCATAGATTGGCAATTCAGCTGAATGTTGTTGAACTTCACGTAGATTTTCTGGTAGTAAATCTTCAAGTGATAATGCTTGTGATTTAATTCTGAAATAGTCAAAATTCTAATAAATCTGCTGGATTTTGTTTCATATTTTCTACCTGTTACGCGCTAATGCTGCAGCTAGACGCTTACGTTCTTGTAAAATAGCATTTTCAATTGTTGTTACTAACGGATCATTATTTGATGCATCTTCTTTATCATCAGGATCAACAGGTTCATCACGTGGTTGAAATTTACGACTTAAATAATCATATAGAATCGTTGAAACAAGACTTAATTCATCTTTTAACTAAAAGTTATACAAATATTTTATATCAAAAAGAAAGAAAAACTGAAATCTGAAAATATTTACATCAGCATAATTTCCAAAGAATTGAGTTTCTTCTAATAGTTCTTCAACAATTTTTTGATCTAAATAAAAAATAAGTTCTATGAAATCATAAGATTTTCATTCGGAAATGTTTTGAAACAGCCAAATCAATCTCATATAATCATCATTATTATAATAAAAGTCGCTTGTTTTTTTTACAACCAACAATTATGCAAATTCACTTACAGCGTAGCACAGAAAAAGCTAATTTAAGTGTACGTCGTTTTTGCTTATCACTCGCATAGTCAATTTTTGGTACATCAAGTGTCGTTTTTTTCACTGGTACTTGTTCTTCTTTTGTACCAGCTAATGCTTTTAATAGAGGATTTACTTGATCTTCTTTTAGACAATGATATATTCGACTTGCATAACGATAAACAGCTTGCGTATATTCCGATGGTTCTTTACGGAAAAGTTCTTCTAATAACGCTCGATTTATTGAACTATGTCGATTAAATAGTTGACCGAATTCTTTCAAACGCATTCGTTCCTGTTCATTCAAATGCTGTTTATCAGATGTGACTATTGGTGTATCACGATTAGAATTGTTTCCGTTTGAACTTATTATCGGTGTTGATGTTGTACTAGGTGGTATTTGACGAGATGCCATTTCAATAATGAATAAGTTCTCTTTAACAAAATATGTCACGCAATGTTGCGTGTTATCTAGAACATACCAGATATCGTTGTAAAAGGAAAAGAAAAGAAACATAAGAATTAAACTCATTTCGTTAAACGGATACCATAAAAGTGAAATAGATATTTATTTTTAGCATTTTCATAAATGCACGACGAAAAAACATTAAATTCTTCCAAAAATCAGAGATGATCGGTCATTGGATATGATGATTACTAAGCAGCAGCCTCTGTTCTTCTATTCTGTTGGTAACGACATCCATCCACAATGGCGCTTTGATACAGTCAACGTCATATTTCGTAGTTTAAAATCAGCTCAAACGTTATGACGAAAGTCATGATATTAATTTCATCGAAACCGTGACTTTCATAAAACAAAACAAAAAAAGGAAAGAACGCACTTCTATAATCGATAAACTTCGGTACACTTTTTTTTCTTCTTGGAAATGTACACTGTAGCCAAATGGGGTTCTTTTACTTTTTGCAATCATTCAACAAACATCAGTCGGTTAACAGGACAACAAAAAAAAAAACTAATATAAAAGTTTATACAATTGAGAACTTCTAACCTATGTGTTCTAGAATATTTGTAAAATATTTCAGTAAAAAATTATAAAATATAATCTACAAGTGTGAAGTAAAATCTTCGAATTTTTTTCAGTCTTTCGTTAAAACTTCCCACTGTTTATTAGAATATAATTCAAAGCGTTTCAAAAGAGACCTTTTACTGAGGATAAAAATTTGGCTAGTATGATTAGATTTAACTACTTTTTTGGTGAAATAATCGAGGACTCCAAGTAATATCAGTTATGCAGAGTTCATTTTTATTGTGAGATCGACATCGTTCTATTTTCAGAATGCAAGGTTTTTTCTTTCTGTTGAGCTGACTTTGCACCAGCGGAAGCTCGGAATTAAATAACAGAGCTAATAATACCGTGAATAAATTTTGTATTCCGAAAGCAATTGTTCTTGAAATAATAAAAGAAATTGTCAAAAATTTATTTTCAAGAGTATTATCCTAACTTTAAATTATGCTTGAAGTCCTTGATATTGAACAAAAAAAAACAGACTACTTTAATTATATAATCATCTAGACTATGTTATATCTCGTAGAGTTTCATTTCGCTTTTAATTAATCGTTTATAGAGAATGTTGTAAAATTAGAAATATTAACTTACTCTGGATAAAAATTTCAGCTTTCGACAATTTTAAGATTATTTGATCGTATTCATTAGTAAAAAAGTAATTTAATCTTATTTATTCTGCGAACTGCCGTTTTCTTTTATTCTCATCAAATCAACTATAAAAGTAATCAAAGCATTGATGTGCTTGAAATGAATCAATATTTTTCATCATCTGCACGTTTTTTCCCCTTCTGTCATTTATCCTATTGTAATTCAATGAAATCCAAAGATTAATAAATAGAGAACTTATAAGGATGTATTTATTCATTTTATTCCAAATACAAGCGGCAAAAAAAGCTCTTTTTTGATTAATCAAGTCGAGAACAAAACCAAACAGAACCTTTTCCCGTTAATTGTCGTTCTTGTGTTAGTTCTTTATTTGGTTGACATTGGCTATTATAGAATTTACCGAGAATTTCTTGTATCATGCCATTATCAATAGATTGTGTTAAACAAATTTTTGTTGAATCTTCATAAGTAATATCAATATTTTTTCCTGTCAAATAGCCAAGAAGGAACGCAAGAACATCATTGAATTCATTATCTCTTTCAGTTTGTTGTTTATTAATAACGATATCCTGTTTTTGTTTATCTTCATATGCTCGTTTACCTAAACGAGATGAAAATGGCAGTACATTTTTCGAGGTTGGCCGATTATTTTCACGAGCTGCTCGCCAATGATAAAAATAAGGACGAGATATTGATGCTCGTCGATTACGATTAAACGCTTCCGAAAGAGAAATTTTCGATAAACATTCAGGAGCATTTTCCTTTTCTACCGCCGATAAAGAATCCGATCGTGAAGATGAATAATCCGGTACAGATAGAATTTGTTCTAAATCATCAGAATTATTTTCACGTTGATCATTACTAATCGGCACAAAGGACTCTATTATTGGAATCGATGTTACTGTAATCAAATAAATGAAAACTAAAAAACAAATAAAGACAATTGTTTGAATATTTCAAACTAATACACGTACTCCATATATTTTGCATGTTATTATACAAAATAATGATATTTAAAGGCGAATGATAATGCTAAAAGGAAACAGTTGACAAATAAACTTCTTCTTTAATTTCTCTATATACTATATTCTTGCTTTTTTTGGTGTGATACATATTATAGTAAAATCAGGTGGAGACATGCAAATTCTCGCTTACATATATCTCTATGAATATGTCAAAAGTAACATGAAATATTGAGTATTTATCTCATAATTAGTTCGATAGTAGTAGAAAGTCAAGAAGGCGACAAAGGATAGTTTTATCTTCGGGAATTTATTCTCCTGTGATTCATGAAATAGGACTTTTTATGTATTCAATTTAATTAAACACGCAATTGACCGCTTACGTTTGTATGCACAATTCATCAATCAATAGTATTTAATAATTCATAGGATATTCTATTTCATAATGAATTTTTTTCCTCAAAAAAGTTTAAAGATCAAGGATATTATTTACGCCGATGGATGATGTCAGACTGACTATATTTTTTTGTAATAATTTATTTAAAAAAGAAATAATATTTGAAGTATTAAAAAATATGAAAGTCATGACCGCTACGCCAATTGGTCTAATTATGATCTGTTCAATGGTGATGAATTAGGAGACAGAGATATTGGTGTATCTTCATGTTTGCTATTCATCGGCATCTAATTTCGTCAATCGTGAAAAATATATGTTTGCGTTAGGAGAAATATTTTACTTTGCTTTGATCCATTTCAAATTATTTATCAATGCCTATTCTGTGTTTTTGCGTTTGGCAATCTAAAAAAATAATACTCCTCAAAGACTTGACGAATAACTAAGTTCAAATGATAGAACAAACTCTAATGTTGCTGTTTTCGGCGTTGGCAAAAAATTTGATCTATTGATCTACATAATTTACTAGTTTTTAGTGAATTAATAACGAATCTAGATGAAATAGATAACCTCAGTATTCTGCTGATGTTTAATTTCTTGTATTCTATTATTAGCGATATTATTTTTCGTATCTGTCCAAATAAGTTTTTCAAGGTCAAAAGTATATAAAGTATTTGTTTCTGGTATTTTATCAGCTACTTCAATTATTTCACTGACATGCAATTTGTTATGTTCAAATGATAATTCATGTGTTAATTCTAAATCGGGAATCGTTGTTACATATTGCCACGATTGAATGGCTCGATTAAATAGTTGTAGATCAGGTACAATATATGGTTTGTAACTGTTTGGATTGATATTAAAACCACCAGCAACATAAACATTATGGTTATTAATGGAAGAATTTGTATCAATAAAAACTATAGGACGAACACGAATTACACTTAATTCAGGCCCATATTGCCATTGTTTGTCTTGTCGGTAATCAAGCATAAGATATTCACCATGAGCAATAGATTGACTAGCAAGTATATCAAACCCTTCGAAATAGAACAAATGTTTTTTCTTTTTTATCAGAACATTTATAATTACCTCCAATACAATGTAATACACCATTGTATGCACCAAGTCCGGGTCCACTTGTAGGCGCCTATGTGAGAGTATGTTATACGTTTGTTGCAAATCTTCTAGAGAATTTTTACTGGAAGATTAGGCAGTTTTGCCCATGTTTCATTCGCATGGTTGATAGTTAAAAAATAGCAATCACTTAATGGTCTATTGTAAATATCACTTCCACCCACTGAAACGTTTTCTGAAAGTCATCCTATTGCCTCTATGGTTATTATATCTACCTGTATAAATACAATTCTCATCAGTACACAATCCAAAACCGATAGCCTATCAAAGTTTGATAGAGGAGAAAAAAAATATATATATATATATTGAATTATAAAATAGACAACAATTTCAATGACTTGCTCCGTTCGGTAATGCTTGAGTAGAAATTAATTTACGTGTTTGAAAATCATATTTATAATCACTAAATTGATATTTTCTAATTTCAATTATGAACTATAAAAACGTAATTACTTTAAAGGTTTTTTTCTTATTGGAATTTCAGGATCGAAAATATAACCTATTTATGATAATCGAAATTATTACTCATAGAAAGCATAGTTCATGTTGTTTTTTTCAATCCATTTTATACCTCCGATAATATAGATACATGTTTCTGAATAAACAAGAGCAAAACGCTTTCTTAATTCTATTTCAGCAAGTTCCTTGAGTGCATGATTAGTAGCTGTGAAACTATCAATTTGACTTTTTTGAAAATTTCCTGAATGAATCATTAATGATGGTTTGCCAGGTTCGATTTTTTCATATCGAATATCTTTCAATAGACCGAATCCTTTTCGAAAACTATTTATATTGTATTCTAATAATAACAATAGAAGATAATTTTTTATCATTAAAAACTTCTTCCGATTACCTGCATAACATTTATCCTATTGATATGTTAAATAAGTCATTCATGTTTAATAAAAAATGTATTTACAAAAATAACTATTAGATCGTACTGTATGATTAGATTTGCATTGAATACTAGGTAGATTCATTTTTCTCGTTAGCCGTTGTTCTTCTACTGAGATCATTGGCTCATGCCTACTATGCAGTTGTTCAATAAATTGTTTCTCGAAACATCTTAGTGAAGTATGAGAATTTAATTTCGATAATCGTACTGGTAAATTAATATTTCGACAACAAGGAACAATATTAGATAATGAATCGGGCCATCGATCATTCATTTTAATTGACGAAAAAAAAATACTTGTGAAATTTAATTATAGGCGCCGAGAGGAAACGCTAGCATTCAGTTATATCTATCAAACAGATGTCGTATTGTTTTCGTTCTTTCCTTCTATTCACAATCGCGGCAATCAAGCAGAGGAATAACGAAAATGATTGTATGCAGTACATTATGTAAAGAATGAAAATGGACGAGTGTATTTCATTTTCACTTTTAGTATCTTTTTCGTTTGCACATTTCAATATATATATATATATATTCGAGCTTGTTCACTATTGTTTTTCTCATTATCTAGATGTCGACAGACACAACAGCACTAGCAACTCCTACGGAACCGACGAACGGTCGTCGTGCTGAACCACCTGTTAATGTTTATGTTCGTATTCGACCATTTATTGGCGATGAAATAACTCGTGGCGAAAATCAACAAATGCTTTGCATTCGTGATGAAAAACGTATTGCTGTTAAATTGTATCCAACAGCTACAAACAATATTCGACCAGCACAAACATCCTATAATGAATATGAGGTTTGAACGAATTTGTCAAAGAATGCTTTTTCTTCAGCAAAAAAAAACGATTTTTATATGCATAGGTCACAAGAATTTTCGATCATAATTGTACACAACAAGAACTTTTCGAACAAATTCTTGAACAATCAACTGATGAAATATTTACTGGCTCTAATTGGCTGCTTTGTACACTTGGTCTTACTAATAGCGGTAAGAAAATAATTAGTAAAAAGAAATATTTCTCTGCAATATCTTGATTATTAGGTAAAACTCATACCATGTTTGGTACCCCAAAAGATCCTGGTCTTATTCCGCAATGTTTACAACGTATATTTTTACATATTGGCTATAATATTGATACGAAAGTTTTATATAAACCCGATGGCTTAGAAAATTTAGTTCAAACAAATATGAATAATCTTCAAGATGAAATCAATTATCGTAAATATATATTTAAAGATGACAAAGACGATTATGTATGTCTATTATGATTTCTTTAATATACCATTCTTATTTATTTTTAAAAAACTTTTAGCGGCGCACTCGTTTACAAAGTATTGTTCAAGATCAACCGTCAGTTCTTGATGATCATTCAGTTGAAGGTAAAAAACAATATTCTTTTTCAATCTTTTATTCTCTATTCTTACAATAGACGAACATTATTCTATATGGATATCATTTTTTGAATTATATAATGAAAGTGTATTTGACCTCCTAATTAAACCAAGTGCAATGAAAAAACGTAAACCATTACGTTTAATGCAAAATAATGAATCAACAGTAATCAAAGATCTTGTACAAATACCTGTATTTGATTTAAAAGAAGCTGAAGATACAATTCGATTCGGGTACGCAAATCGTGCTACATCAAAAACAGATTTAAATGAAGCATCATCACGTTCACATGCTGTACTTTGTATTACATTAATTAATATTGATGAATTTGAAGAAGAACCAACAATGAGTCATATGTGTAAGTTGCATTGAAACGAAATAAAATTAAAGAAAAGCATTTCCGCTTTCTTTATAGATATTTGTGATTTGGCTGGCAATGAACCATCGACTGGTACAGGCAAACAATTAGCTGAAACATGTAATATCAATACATCATTAATGACATTTAAAGATTGTATACGAGTTTTAAATGAAAATCAAACAGCAAAGTAAGTTTTAATAGTTTACTTGATGATTAATGCTTAATTTCGATTTTTAGAAAACAAATGTTATTACCTTATCGAAATAGTGTATTAACAAGTATATTTCGACCATTTTTTATTGGTCGTGGACGAACGATTATTTGTTGTAATGTTAATCCATGTGCTACATTTATTTCTCAGACAAATGATCTATTAAAATTTAGTGCTCTTGCACAAAAAGTATGTTTATTTAATTATATAGTTCAAGTGAAAAAGTATGTTTTCTTTTTATTAGACGATTATTGTACCCGTAGAACCAGCACAGAAGAAAGTTGTCTTAGAATCAAAAATCAAAGGTCCTAAACGATTAGGTCAAGGAGTACGTGGTCCTACGATAGGAAAAAAGAAAAATCATCAAACAGTTGATAGTGAGGATGTTGAAGAAGAAACAGGTAAAGACCTCATAAACAGAATTTTTCAATTTAGTTTTTAATTTCTTTTAGCTGTAGCCGTTGATGCATCAGGTGCACCAGTAGATCCAAATTCGGTAAGTTTATCAAACGATGAGTCGCTTGCAGTTGCAGGATATGTGAAAGTGAATTTTCAATAAATGAATGCATTTTGAGTGGAGACTAAGTACGGCGTACTTAGACACAAAGAACTTATGCTTGGTACCCTATTACTAGATTTCTATATTAAATCCGCGTTCTTCTAAGATAATGCCAACGTATGGTTTCTCACAATCGAACGTATTCTGAAATCGTCAATATATTTAAAAGCTGTAGCACAGACCTAGTAAAACAAAATTTATTCTTAGATTCATTATTGGAAATATTGTACGAGAAAAGCTCTAGAACTGTTACAAAAACAAGCATCAAATCGTCGACTATTTTTCATTGAACGACAGTAAGTTGTACTTCTACGGCGATCTTTGCAATTTTCTTTTCTCAATTAATAGTGAGGAACGTACTCAAACCGTTCAATACGTTCTTCATCAACGCGATCAAATGGAACAACTATTCAATGAGAAACAATCAGTAAAATTTCAATTTTGTCCGTTTTTTTACATCCGTAAAATTTTTATTTAGTTAAATCAAAACATTGAGTCACTGAGTAAAGCACACACTTCTGAACATGAACATCTTAAGCAAGCAAAAGAAAATTATGCAGAATTAGAAAAAAAATTTAATGAACTATTTAAAAAATATGCCAATGCAAATCGCGATAATGATACATTAAGATCGCGTTTAAAAAACGTTCAACAAAAATTCGATTCTCTAAATACAGAATATAATACAACCATTGAACAAAATCGTCAATACGAACAAAATCAATTCAATGATAAAACGAATTATACTGAAGAAATCAATCGTTTGACACGTGATTATGAACAAGAAAAACATGAAAAAGCTCATAAAGATAAAACAATCGAGCAATTAAATGGAAAACTTCTTTCCGAAAAAAATCAAAATGAAAAATTCCTTCAAGAAGTAACACAACTAAGACACGATTTAAAAAGTATACATTCAAAATATGATACACTTCAAGTTGAATTACTTCAATTGCGTGAAACAAAAAACAATGAACCAGTTCTTGTGGCTCCGCCGCCATCAATTTCAGCACCGCCACCAATACTTGCAACGCGAACATTACGATCGAAAAGAAGTGCACACGAAGAGGTGGCACTACATTTCTTTTCTTTCCTTTTTAAATGCCTTAACTTTTACGTAGGAAACACAAGATAACAAGAAGTCCAAGCTTGGAACACCTGATCGACCTGCAGGCAATAGTGGTCCCGCGCATAAACCTAGTACACGACGAGTACTATCAAAGCCGAATGTAAGTCTTCGTTTCGGTCAGATAAATTGTTGAAAGGATGTTTGGAACACTAACGACAAAAGAAATAGAGCTGTGCGAAGTCAAACTTTCATGAAGTGTTTAACATTTCAATTTAGCTTTCATACTACTTTGTGTTGACTTCAAAATGATTTATTTCAAAATAAATTTTAGACGGAAGAAGAACGCAAACCAACACCACCTATTGTTAAAGATGGTAAGTTCAATTTAAAAATTTTACTTCCACAGAAAAAAGTTGTATTGTTTTCATTTTAGTGGCTAAAACGAAGAGTAGTGTATCAATTTTAAAGAAACGACCATTGGCACCATCAAATAGTGCTGATTCTCCAATGATGACACCTAAATTAACTACTCCAGCAACAGCATCACCTATTATTGATCTTCGACCACCCTCAGTTGTTGCAACATCAATACAAAGTACGATGAGTCCGAAGCCTACCGCAATTCAACGTATTCAATCATTTTTTCGACATACACCACGTAAGAATTATTTGAGTTTTTAATTTCGTTAAACATCATATTATTATTATTATTTCAAGCATCGGCATCAAATCGTATTATTAACCATTTAAAGACTAATTCAGCAGGTATCGCATGTGCTCCGTCCTCACCAACAACGGCTAGTCCTATTGCAATTCTACAAAAGTCATCTCTAGCGATGAGAAAACAAACACCGAAACGACGATATAAACTACGTAGCCGTGTTAATTCAAACCAATAATAAATCGATTTTATATGATTGAAATATATTCTTTTCGAATGCATCTGTTTCTTTCTCATTTTTTTCTCTTTAACGTGTGTATGTGTATTTGTATATCTTAGATATTTTTTCCCATTTTCTTCTATTCTTTTTTTCCTCATGTATATCGCTGTGTGCATGTAGGTTAAGTTAACTTTTTCCTTTTGTTCATCAGAATTGAAATGTGTGTATATGCGATACATATATATCTATATATAAATGTCTGAAAATAAAGAAATCAACTCCTTTTTATTTCATGTATCAATGAAAAATAATTTTCTTCTTGTGAACTAATCAATCGGACGTCAGATTTCATAACAATGACGGTAAGAAATTCAAATAGCTACCACCGAGTATATTGAAATGACGAATTTCGGTAAAAGATAGTAAGAGGGAGTTCAAGATAAAATTTCAATTAGTCACGAATGACTACGAATTCGAATGTCATGAAGTTCATCATCAGAGTAAATAAGCAAAAAATGGAATAATTCAAAAATTAAATTTTCATCGTCTTCCGCTCGTGAAACTCAATTTAACAGAAAAGCGATAAGATATTTGATTTGGCACAATTTTATGCAATTGCCTTGTAAATTGCTTTGTTTTTACGTAGAGGTGAGAAGTTATTGTTATCTTGTTGTTATAAATAACAAATAGCTCTTTTTGCTGAAAGCTCAGTGCATGGTTTATATTCGTTATACCATGCGAATTAGCACCATAGAAGTTTGAAATTTGTTCTAAAGCATAAACTCGTATAACGGATACAACTAAAATATGCAGCGAGCTGAGACACGATCTTTTTCAGAAAAAAAGTTATTGTTGATAATAACAATAACAATAAATTCACACTCCTACGTTTACGTACGAATTCGTTTGTGACAACGGAGAAATGAGCAAAGAGAAACGTACGAATGTGAAGCATGGTATAATGTGAGAAAACTAGAATTCTTCATACTCATTCGTTTTATTTTCTCATTTGACTCGTCAAACGATTACGGACAAAGTAGAACATTTGAATGAAACGAAAAGTTTCAGAGTTTAAACCAACGCTAACTCGAGAAAATGATGACTTCAGTGTATTTTATCGTTAATTAAACATTATGGAGAACATGGAAAAAACGGCAACACCGGAGTATCTTGAGTAGCAGACCAAGATGAATTCCTTATATTCGTAATTTTCAGAAATCTTTTCTCGTTTGGCTCGATCGTACCATTGATCTACCGAATAATGAAGATTGTTGTATGCATACAATATCCAAATTATATGAAATATTCAACACGGTCAATACATTTACGGATGTCGGCGAATGCATTAATTTTATCAACAATTTCAAACAAGACAATACCTTTGTGACTGCTCCCGGTACACACGGGCAAGCCATGGTTCCCATCGTACATAAACTCTTTCAGGTCAGCGTGTATTTTGTGGAAACCGAGATCGACATAAACAATGGATCAAACAGTGGTCTAAAATAAAAGGTGCCTGTAAAAATGTTGAACACACTGTATATAACTATGATCAAAATTCAGTCCCTATTAGTTTTTTACCCATTACTAATGGGAACTACAACCGAAATCTACAGGAATTAGATAAACTCTTTATGTACACACAACTATTGAAAGAAATCTTGTTAATAGTAGATTTTCAAAAAATCCATGTCAATGAATTTATTTCACACTGTCGGCGAATTCTCGAAAACGGTACTAACGAATTGAAAACTCTCGATAAACTTGATGAGGAATCCTACGAGCATACTGCGATATGGTGGTATACGTACCCATGTTTTCTTTATTCAATGATCAACCAATCGCTGCGCATGATGGAAATAGATCAAATTATACTTATGGGTTCTTTCGTTCGAGATCTTAATAACAACATTGCCGAAATTCATGCTCAACAATTGACTGAGAATTCATGCAGGAAGCCACTTATTGCTTATCGTGGTCAGGGACTCTCACAGACAGTCTTTGATTAGAAGACTAAAATCAGATTAGGACTCTTATCGTTCAATAACTTGCTATCGACAAGCCTCGATAGACAAATATAACTAGCGTTTGCATAGGTTCATCCAGAAACTGCAACTATTGTAGGTATTCTCTTTGAAATAACTGTTAACCAATCTATATCGACTACTGCTTTTTGCCAACGTGAAAGACATCAGTTATTTTAAAGGAGAAGAAGAAATTCTATTTTCTATGCATTCTATCTTTTTCGCATCGAATCTATGAAACAAATTGGTAATAACAGTGGTCTTTGGCAAGTCAGCTCAGCACTCATCAGTGATATATGATCCAGATCTTCAAGTACTGACTGAAAAAATGCGCAAATAAACCTATCCTCGGAAAAAGGATGGAATCGTTTGGGTATGTTGTTGATTAAACGTGGACAGTTCAACGAAGTCCAAGATCTCGATGAGATCCTTCTTGATAAAAAAAAAACTACTGCTGTCGAAAAAGCATCAATTTATTACCAACTCGGCTGGGTGAAGGATAGCAAAGGTGAATATAACGATGCGATTTCCTATTATCAACAATCCATTGTAAAATCAATCAGCAGATTCTTTCGCCAACACGTGTTAATTTGGCTGCTTCTTATAACAACATCGGCTTAGTCTATGGCAAGATAGGTGACTATCTAAATGCGCTTTTATCGTATCAAAGGGCACTGGAAATCTATCTGAAGACTCTCCCTTCAAAACATTCTGATTTAGCTACATTTTACAACAACATTGGTTCAGTGTATGATAAGATAGGTGACGACTCAAATTCACTTTCATCACATAATAAAGCACTGGAAATTCGTCAAAAAACTCTTCCTTTGAGTCATCCTCATTTAGCTACTTCTTACAACAATATTGCTGTGGTGTATGCCAAAATGAATGACTACTCGAATGCACTTCTATATTATCAAGAAGCATTGGCCATCGACGAAAATAATCTTTCGTCAAATTCTTCTGATTCTTATCTAAACATTGGAATGTTCTTTTCTAAGACTGGTGAACATTCAGAAGCTGTTCGATATTGTGAAAAAGTTCTTGAAATAGCAGAATACTCACTGCAAGGAAATCATAGACGTATTCAAGTGTTTAGAAATGCACTGAAATATGAAAAGAAAAAATGTAAATAATTTTCGTGTTGTTCAAGAAAAGAAATCGGTATGCGTTCTAATACCTAAGAATTGTTATATGATCTGTGAGTGTTTCGAAAAATTTGTAGCGCAACACAGAAAATCTAGAAACAGAAGTAACTATGATGTACCGAGCACGAACTTCTATGCGTCATTGCAGCAATAACAATAGAAGTAAAGTAGTTCTCTTCCCTCAGCTCTTGGACATTCCTCCATTTTTTCAATTTAATTTGCAAAAAATACTCGAGCATTACATAAGTACTCTGCACAAACAGTCAACATGTTTTTTTTTTATCATGCTTTTATTATTGTGTTGTGTAAATAGAAAAATAAATGTTGAGTAACTTTAGTCGAAATGTTTGTTAGAGAGAAAGACTGTCTCATGTTACATATATTGAACAAATCATCCTGATCCTGACAGTAATAATAATTGATGAAGAAAACATTTTTCACTAATTTTTTATCGCTCATCCATATAAGATCAACTTGAAAGATACTAAACATTGAGAATAATTGATAAAATTCATTTTTTTACTATCATTCGTAGATAAAACAACAACATATCTATCATGATAAAGTTTCACTTTTTCTTTTACGTTCTATTTACTTTCAGTCGTCGACAGAGGGAGAGAGTAGTCATGATCATATATCATCTCATTTTGTTTCTATTCGTCCATTAGTATTACCTGAATATACACACAATATTCTAAGCGTTGTCGAGTGAATCACACTCATGTTATTTATTTACTTTGCATTTTGATCAGTTTAGATTTAAATGTCTCTCTTTCGATATAATCGTATACTATTATCGCCTTTAATATCATCTAAACAAACAAGGTTGATAATCCCATATTATCCATCATCAGTTATAATTCGTCATGCCACAGAAATTCGGTCACGAAAACCGGTACAAAAAGATGTAAAAACGAAACAACGAAAAAATACGGTGAATCCAGTTGCTCAAATAAAAAAGTTGGGCGATAAAGCAGGCAGGATGAATTTAAATGAAGTTATGCAGATGAATTTTAATGGAATACATCTCTATATGTTTAGGGAAGATACTTTCGAATGAAAATTTGGAAGCTATTTATAATCGTTTCGATCCACTTCGTGAAGATATGTCAAAAGATCCAGCTTTTCTTGATGAATTAGCAACAGTTAAAAATCCTCTACAAAATATTGTTCAATTAAAAGATAATGATATTCGATTTAGGTAAACGAAAACTTGATTTTATTCATTTGAATTTATTTTCTATTCGTTTTTGTCGTAGTAATCGTGTTATGAAAGCAAAAAGTCGTCAAGAACGTTACAAAAAAGGTTATATTCTACTTGAAGGAAAACGTCTGATAGGTGATGCAATTCAAGCCGGTGCTGATCTTTTAACAATCTTTGTTACCGATCGAAAAATTCTTGATGTAAATATTGATTTTCAATAGAGACTCATAATCGATAATAATTTTTTTATTAAATGAGACTAAGATTTCGACAAAAACTTTAAGGAAGATAACAAGCATCTTTTAAGTTTTGTTCTTATCATTGACGGTACACGTTAAGCATTGTCGATATTTCATTTTTTATACATTTGATGGGAAACATAAAATTCTCGATATCAAATTTTGATTTTAGACAATCGATTTCTCAACAACAGATCTCAATTTTACTGCTTATCAGATTTCATCAAGTGCATTTCGTATTTGGTCTGATGTACAAACCAATCAAGGTGTTATGGGTACGATAAATAATTCCAAAAAAAGCTGAAGCCCTATATTCCAATATTAAATTTAGCAATATTTGCAATGCCACGAGCAGATAGTTGCTCATTTCCACAACGAATAACTCTGCCGATCACTGTTGTTTGTGATAATGTGCGTGATCCGGGAAACATGGGAACAATCATTCGTACATGTGCTGCTGTTGGTTGTGATCGTTTAATTGCGCTTAAAGGTTGTGTAGATATTTGGGATCCAAAAGTAATTCGTTCGGGCATGGGTGCACATTTTCGTTTACCTATGATCAATGATGTCGGATGGGAAACTATTGCTAATCATGTACCAGAAAATAGTAAAGTTTATCTTGCTGATCATAAATATTCGGATGAAGAAAAACCTACAAATCATGATATCGATGATCGTAAGATATAGCGAGGTAGAAATGATTAATTAGCTGGTTTTTATTTTTTGTAGCATCAAAAAAGATGTTTGAAGAAATGCTTGAAAAACGAAAAGAAATGAAGCGTACAAATACAGCAGAAGATCGTTCATATTCATCATCGAATAATCGTTTTTTACCATTATATAAAAATATTCCTATTGATTATCTTTCAATGTGGAAAGCATTTTCAAATGTAAAATCAACAGATCATACAACAATAATTATTGGTGGTGAAACTGAAGGTATTAGTCTTCAAGCAAGAAAATTAACGGTTGAACTGAATGGTAAACGGGTTTATATACCATTATTAAATGACGTCGAAAGTTTAAATGTTAGCATTGCATTAAGTGTTATCTTAATGGAATTAAGAAAATCTTATGAAGATATTGTTCAAAAATCATTTTCCATTAAAGAATGAGATGATTAGTTTTGTTTTTGTTGTTTTTCAGATAGTTGTTTCTTTTTTCGCTGTCTTTGATTGTGAAGTACAAAGAAAATTATGGGTGAAACATTAACAGATGAAGAAAAAGCAACGATTGCTCGACGTTTTATTGCTCATGCACCACCGGGTGAATTCAATGAAGTTTTTAATGGTCAGTAGAACAATGAATTATACGGGAAAAAAAACAAATTAGTGATTGATTGTTTGTTTTTGTAGATGTTCGAACATTGTTGAATGATGATGGATTAGTTCGTCGTTCAGTTTCTAAGTAAGATTTTACAGAAATTTTAATTAATTATAGTGTTGAAAACATAAGATTTCACTTCGTTGAATTCTGGAAATTTCTCAAGACATATTCATATTTTCGTTTCTACAAAAGCGTTTCGATTTCGATAGGAAAACATAATTCCATACATAAGACTTTTCACTATCTTCCTTCAAGAGAATACTTGCGGAAATTCGAAAATCTCTTTATCGATTTCGTTTGGCCATTTAGAGCTTTTGCCGAATATAATCGTGATCAATATATTCCATCAAAGGTTCAAGGTGTCGAAGAAGAATGTCTTATAACGGAAGCAAACGATTTAGGCGATGGCCGATTCTATGATCCTCGTACACGACAAAGTTTCAAGTATGCGCTTATTTCATGAGCTAATCGATTTCTTTTATAATTGATTAAAAACTAATTAAGATTTGATCATTTACGTCGCGAAGCATCGGAACTTCAACCACATCCACCCGATGAACATTCCGAACCATGGCGTTTAGCATTTGAAAAAGAAGTTACCGAATACGTTAAAGAACGCTATACATATGGTGCTAGTACAGTTATCGGTGGAAGTGATGCAGATACAATTAGTTTAGCGGCTTATATTGAAAGTCATAAATTTGAGCCGAAAAATTTTTGGTACGAATCATTAAATCTATCTTCCAATGAATCACATGTTTGTTTGTTTCGTTTTGTAGGAATGGACGATGGCGTTCAAAATGGTCATTGGCTTTTAGCAAAGGACAAGCCGAATGTGAATTAACTGGGCTGGTCAAAGCTCAAGTATAGTCAACGAAACTAATTCAGACACCTTCCTAAAAAGCAGAGAATTTTCATTAGCTAGATATCGTTGTACCGCATTTCATCAGAATCAAATAGTTCTTTTACAAATTCGATTTTAATGATGTTGTAAATTTTCTATTTAGGTTCATTATTTCGAAGATGGAAATGTACAACTAGTCAGTAGTAAAGACATTAAAGAAACGATTCAAATTCAAGTATAACTTATATTTAAAAACAAACTCGAATTTGCAAACAAGTCTTTTCCCCTGTTTTAGGATGAAACAACGACTGCGAAAGAAATCGTTCGAATCATACGTCAAGCTGAAGATAGTTATCAAGTAAATATTACAACGACAACAAAAACTCTTATTCATTCTATCATTTTCGTTTTATCGTTTTTTAGCAAGCTGTTAATGAAAATTATCAAGTTATGTCTGACTCGACATTCAAAGCGTTACGTCGGCAATTGCCAATAACCAAAGCGAAAATCGACTGGACAAAAATTACAGCCTATAAAATTGGTTCGGAACTTAAAAATGCTTAAACAAATTAATTAATTTAATATATATCGAAACATTCCACCATGGTGACTGTTCATTTTCTTTTCGCTGCTTAATTTCTTCATTTATATACAAAGACAAAAGTTTTTTTTTGGTTCATGAAAATGTCTGCTTCACTTTTTTTTAATTTACACATCATTCTATTTGTTTCTTTTATGATTGAAATGAAAAAAGATATATCTTATATGATAGCAATGTCGATTTTTTTCGTGGTTATTTCAGATTCATTTTATTTTCATAAAAAGAAAAATGATGAATGGCGAACATAATGACGGACAAGTATCAGATACTTATTTGGATAATATTATAAAACAACTCGAAATATCCGATGGATCACAAGCAACATCATGTGTTCGGTATGTTCAAATGATAATAGGAATAGAATTCTAATGAATATTCTATGGGCTTTTATCTATTAGTTCGGTTTTTGTTCGAAACGATGCGGGAACATTTTTGAGAAAACTTGATGAACGTGTTAAATACTATGATAATGAAATAGAAAAATTATGTAATTTTCAATATCAAGGCTTTGTTAAAGCGTTTCATGAATTATTACAAGTACGCAAAGATACAACAAGTATGAAGGTAATGAATTATTTTAATTTGAGTAAAACAAAACGGAAATCTAATCTATTCTATTTCCAATAGAATGAACTTGTGAAAAACAATCAAATGATGCAACAAGCTGGACAAAGTCTAGCAAAAAAAACTGAATCTTTAATTAAAGAATATCATCGTCAGGGTAACATTCAACAAACGATTGATGCATTAGCACAAGCATTTCCAGGTACAATTAACTCTAATTTCTACAGGGAATTATGTAGACAGGAGTACTTGCAGATTAAAAACTACAGATAGTTTACTTTATCCAATTAGAAGCTCGTTTAGTACAGTCTCCGTTATACGCCAAGATCATAGAAATTAGAAGATTCAATTTTAAAGAATATGCTTTGCATAAGGCAAAGTTATGGACTGCAAAAACAAAAACAAACAATTGATATATCAGTATTGACTTGTCTTGAGCTAGCAGAATTTGATTTTCTAAAGTGTATTGAACTTTTCTTTATCTGATTCAATAATGAAATATGTCGATGTAATTTTTTAGTGTTTGAAACCTATCGAAAATTACAAGACTGTATGGAAGAGAAAAAGTAAGAATTTGATTGTTGTTCTTTGATTCCAATGATTTATTAATATTTTATCATAGACTTTATCCAGCATTGAAATTACTTGAACAATTAGAAACTAAACATCTTGCTCTTGTCAAAGAACATCGCTGGTCGGAACTTATTCAAAATAATATTGCAAAATTCCGTAATCAAATTCGTAATGAATCACATAATGAATTGAAAAATTTTCTTGAAAATGTTGCAACACATGCAGATAAAATTGGAAAAAGCGCTTTTGCACAAGTACGTCCTACAGTGCAACATACTCTGCTTGATGAACAAGCGCAATATGTTGACATTTTCCTATGAGACATTAATTCTTTCATTGTAATATCTCTAATTAACTGTGCATTTATTTTAGGCAGCTGCTCGTCTTGATATAGATCGTCGTTATTATACATTGGAAGAAGATCGTAGAAGAGATCAACAACAGCAAGTTGATGGATCGGCTGATTTAGCTTTAATAAACATGAATATAACTGAATTAATAGATTTCTCTCCAATATATAAAAGTCTTCATATAAATTTATTTCTCAATTGCAAAGAAGAATTTTCTAAACATTATCAACGTGAAAAACAAAAACAAGCACCTGTTATAATGGATGTTCCACCTAAAATGCATGAATCATTTGATGCATTTAAAAAATATTTACAACGCGTAACAGGATTTTTTATTGTTGAAGATCATGTCATGAATACAACTGAAGGTTTAATCGATCAACGATTTTACTATGAATTGAGTGAACGTGCAACACAACAATTATTAGCTGTACTTAGACGAGCAGTGGTTAGTTTTTGTTTTGCATATTTTTCTCTGTGAATATTTCTAATTTATTTCATCCATACATATATATATATGAATAGGATTTTTGTTTAAAACCGATTTCTGCCGACGGGGTAATTTGATGGTAGAGATTTAAAAAAGCCAGATAAATTTGAAATTTCGCTGCTCAATTGTGCTTTTTTCGTACGAATGAAAAATAAAATTTAAAAAATTTTTTTAGTCAACATCGTATAATCCAGATTTAATGTTGGATATGAAAATTGTTGTTGTACTTTTCTGTGCTGCAATCAAAGAATCTGGCTTTCCAGTCACACCTCTATTAGATGTTTTAATGGAATTAAGGTTCGTGAAAACAAATCTCAAATAAAAAGATTTTCTATTGTTTGATTTTATTCTAGAGAAAGTTATCAACAATTATTACTAAATCAATGGAGTATCAAATTTAAAGAAATTCTTCGAAAAGATAATTATATACAAATGGTTATTGAAGATGAAACACAATATCAACTTCTTTTACGACAATTTCCATTGAGAATTGAAGCAACTGAAAGAGTTTCGTAGAAGCAAATAGTAGTTTTTTTGTCTGTTTTGATGAAGAATTTCTTGTTGTTTTAGTTACCATTTCCACGTTCATTACCATATAGTGAATCAGTACCAAAGATATTTTTAGAAATCAAAGAGTTTGCAGCTGTTTGCGCAAAATTTGCTAAAGGTCTTAATGTTAGGTAAAGAATTTTCGAATAAAAATTGGTGCGCAGAAAATAAATGTTTCTTTTTAGTAAAACTGAAATTGATGACATGATTCGAAAGCCATCAAATTTATTATTAACAAAAACTCTCAAAAGTGATTTAGTAGAGTTAACAGCTGCTGAATCAGAAACACAACTTAATTTTTCACAAGTAAATTGATAAGAAATCGAAATTATCACTTAAGTTTTCACTGCGGTGTTCTATTTAGCTTGTTCAAATTTGTATTAATACAATACATTTAGAAAATGCAATGCCTTATCTAGAAGATTATATTGTTGCTCTAGTACAGTAAGTAATATGAATTATTAAACCGATAACAACTACCTTAGGTAATCGGGTGTTTTGTTCGAGGAAAACGATTGTTTATGGTAAAGTTCTTCTCTAAAATGTGATTATGAATTGTTTTAGTGGTAGTACTAAACAACTTGGACTTCGCCTACAAGGTGCTTCGATGCTTAAAGTAAGGCTTTTCTTAATCGATTCAGTAGATTCTGAATTATTCATTTCATTTTCTGTATAGGATATTCGCAGTCTAGTAGAAGATCGTATTCATGATAAGTTAAATGATAAAATCGATCAATGCTTGGATATTGGTAATGCAAAATATTCATACTTTTTTTATTTGATTGTGTTTTCTTAATAATAAAATTTTTATTTTTAGCTTCATACGATTGGATGATGCAAGAATCGATGGGTGTTGCTAGCGACTATATAACCACAACAATTAAATTTCTTGAAAATACATTTCGTGCATTCACACATTTACCAGTAAGCTTTTGTTTGGCTGGAAACACGCGCATATTTACTATTATAACTACTAATAATTAATTGAATATTTCTTTTTTTACTTTCTAGAGAAGAGTAAGCTAAATTGATTAATTAATATTCACCTATAGTTGACTATCTGCAAAAAATAATGTTGATTTGCTCGAAATGTAGAAAGAAAATCTGCAAGATTATTTTCCTTTGCTATGACTCTAATTCAATACTAAGCTTTCTTCTATTTATCTTTTTTTTTGTTCAATCTGCTCGTTTTTTCTAGACACAATTATCTCAAACAACATGTTTATTAGCATGCAAACATATATCAACATCATTAATAGACAAAATTCTCAGTGCAGAAGTGAAAGCTATATCACTCGGTGCACTTGAACAAATGAGTTTGGATTTAATGCAATGTGAAGGTACGATTTTCTACTATTGAATTTTATTTTTATCAGCAAATATCTTCAATTATTGAATGTCGTTAAATATGATATTATGATGATAAGTAGAGATCTATGAAACGAAGAAAACTCGTAATACCTTGAAACCAGGATTTAAAACTATGACTTTGTTTTCTATAGAAAATGACTAATTTTTGAATCACCTATGATAAAAACTTCTATCTTGATATTTTCGGAGTATGTTGCTCGGATCAAATAAATTTCAATAAAAAATTCACCCGAGTCATGGCGTATCTTGGCAAGATACGGCGCAAAAAAACTGAGTACTACCAATCATAATTGAGCGAAATCTAGTAGATATCTACTTGCAATCATAATATCTGACTGATTGGTGATGAAAATAACGATTCATCTATGTTTAGTATTTGCATCGAAAGTGAATATTGCAAATTTGGATAGTGAAACATTACTGCTATGTTTTCAAGATTTACGTCAAGTAAAAAAGAAGCCATTAATAATAAACTCTGAATGAATGAATGAATATATTTCTATTTCTAGTTATTTGATCTTATTATGGATAAACAATGGTCCGTCTATTTTGAACGATACGGTGATCCTGATTCACCATTTGGCCGTGTTAATCCTCATACAGTTTTAACTGTTGTTGAAAAGTATGTTAAAGAGAAATAGAATTTTTAAGAAAAATAGGACAACAATTAAATGTTTTGTTTAGACTACGCGAAGGATTAAAACGACCATTATTACTCAAGTTTAATCGACCAGCTTTGGAAAAAGAAAATATTAAATTATTTGAAACAGTCTCAAAAGATTTACGCAGTTTAATTATTGATACGTCATAAGCAAATATTTGAATTCAAGCGGAATCTTTTTCTTTCGGTGCAATTCTTTGTGAATTGTTGTACCTACTTTTTTTCTCTCCATCTTCCTCTCGTTGCTTCCTTTCATTATATTTCATGTATATTTGTCTGTGCGAAATGTTATTTAACCAGTTATTCGATTATATATTTATTATTTTTAAATGCCTCTGTTTTTGTATGAAATTTTGTAATATTACTATTCGTGATTGCAGATATGCACACGTTTCACTTCGAATAAAAGATCCGATTCTCTCATGAGCTCGCAATTGTTAAAAACAAAACTCAATATGAACTTATGATTTTTATAGAACCAATTGTGTACAAATCCAAAATGGATCTGGTAGACGTTTGCCCATATGCTGCTTTCAAAATCTCTTTATGGCGCAGAGGTATCGTCAAAGTTCGTCATATTCTCCTCCAGATCACATTATATGACTTTCATAAAACTGCACGTGTTCTTCAAAACAATACGGGAAGAAGTCAATAGTGCATACTCTGAAAAGGTTCATTTATTTTTATTTTTTGTTCAGCATATACATAAAACAAAACAAAACAGATACAGTTAATACAGGCGTTTTGTGAAACAGCAAAAGAAAACAAAATGAAGAATATTATCTTGCAAATAGATCACCAGCACTAGGCAATGGTGGTACTTGCATATTGTTAACATCTTGTGGTAGATTCTTTTTATGCTTATCAATTTCATCGCGAATAGTATTTAATTTAGACAATTTATTTTTATAATCTTCCAGAAGTTTTTCTTCATACTCAATTTGTCGATCTTGTGCTTGAATATAGCCCTGTAACATTTTCGCTGCATAACGACGCGAACGTAATTCACTTTCTAAACGTAAATTATATTCTTCGAGTAGACCATGTGCCATTTGAACAAGTTTATAAAGGTCTGTTGCTTCTTGTTTATCACGAAGATTTTTCAATAGATTTGAATCACTGACTTCAATTGGTAATGCAGCTATTTTCTCGCGTACCTAAAAACAAGTAAAATTCGCTTTAATTGTACAAGAATGAAGAAGAAACATTTACATCAGCATCTGACGATGGAGAATTTTCTAGTTCTTGCAACATTTTAATAACTTCATCAACAACTGGCACTGGTATAGGATTGATTGCCAAATCACGACGAATTTCTTCGCGTAGCGATAATTTTCGTTTGGTTTTTCGTCGTCGTTTAGAAGTGCTTGCAGAAGTCGACGATGGATCAGTTCGTTTACGTTTACCATGACCGTTTGATTGTTCCTCATCATCTTCATCATCGGATTCTTTTTTCTGGATCTAAATAAGTTCAATGTTTTCTTTTCAACAAAAGTGTTTTTTTTTGTTGTGATACTTTTAAGAACGTATCGAGTGAAAAGTTAAATATATTCATTGCTAAATTCAATACGAATGAATATATTTTCTGATAGTTCTCTATTTGTTTTAAACCTATCGATACATGTTCTCGACAATGAAAATCTTACCCCATTTTCAAAACTTGTTTTAAGTAGTTTGATTGCATCTGGCTGATAAATCTGTCGTTCATTCCATATTTGAATGATTCTCTTCACAGTTTTGTGAATAGTTGCATCGTCAACTTGACTAACAATATGTTGCACAGCTGAAGCAAGCATAGGAAGAAAATCTTTTACAAATTCACCGCCTTTACGTTTATCATGTTGAATAACATCATTAGCAACGTAAAGAAATGCTTTTTTTCAAGAAAATTAAAAAGAAAAATAGAAGAATTCTATTCAGCAGCGAAGCAAATACAAAATGAAATCTTACCAATTTTTCTATCTACTGATGCGCTAACTAATTCTTTAGCCCAAACGTGAACAATAGTTTGTGATTGACGACGATGATGCATAAGAAATAATGATAATGTTTCAACACTTTGTTGTGACGTTGATAATTCCGAAAAACGTTTTACAAGTTGAGATTCACTCACCATTTTGATCGATTAAAAGAAAACGTAAATTCTATGCATTACTACTGCTCACCGACATTTGTTTCAATAATAAGCCAATTGGTTTTGCACTTTAACTAATACAAATATAGTCTTATCGTTCAACAAAATTACTTTAGAATATTGATTATTGCAACGTTATTTTCTCAAATTAAGATTAATAAATAATAATTTCTCATTCGAAATTGATCTAAACATGAGCTCAATGACATCTATATCTGTAAATCCAGCCAATAGGATAACCTATATCCGCCTCCGTTCATACCCTACCTGTTATTGTTTCCTTTCAATAGAGAAAGGAAGAAGAAAGACAACAGCGACCCCCTTCTCCTGTATCTTTTTCCAAGCCTTGTCATCTATAAAATGTATGTGGTAATCAATTTTTGTTTGGCTTTTACTCTTGCCAACATTTTTTAATTCACCTAATATATGACATTATTTTGTTTGTTAAAAACAACATGCGCTGCGTCATAGGTAGATAAACAATTTTTTTTGTCTAGTATCAGTTGACGTCATATTTATTTTACTGTATCATTGAAAAATCCCATGATACGTTTTCACACCGATTTTTTTTTGTTTCAATATATACGCTCCTCTGTGTTTTAGATATTTATGCCTATAGTATTTTTTTAAACGCGCGGTAATGTGTGAAGAAACAGCAAATTATCTTTGGGCAGAAAAGGATGTACTCGGGCGTGGTGCTACATCTCAAGTATACAAAGCATATGACAAAGCAACAGGAGAACTAGTTGCTGCTAAAGTTTATCCAGTTGCATCTGGTCTTCGTTCACAATACGGTGCTAATCCAAATAATCGTGACAGAGATTTTCGTCGAATATTAGATCGTGAAATGGATATACTTAAAGATACGAAACATGAAAATATTGTTCGATATATTGGAGTCGAACCAGTTACATACTCCGATGCAGTAGTTGCACCGGGTACACGTGAAGCACTATTCATTGAATATTGTAATGGCGGAAGTCTAAGTAATGTTTTGGAATTATTCGAAAATCGTTATGGTCTTGTGGATGATGAATTTATGTTAGTTTTCAAACATCTTACCAATGCATTAAGATATTTACGTGATAAAAATACAGTAAGAAATACGAAAAGAAAATTAAGCTGGCAGCAAGTTTGTTTTCTGGATCAAATGAGAAGTAGATCTTTAGTCTACAATGACCGTCTTTTCTATTGGTAGTTCTAGATTAGCCTGATTGAAATTATGAAATATGTATTAGGAAGCAATTAGAATTGATTTTTGCTTAAAGCGATAAAATTTAGTGTAGTCTAGGAAAATTGGTACATCTGTTAATTTTTAATGAATAAAGAAAAATCTTTTTGTTTCTTTATTTAGATTCATCGTGATATTAAACCCGATAATATAATGCTTTCCATTAATATTAATGGTGAACGTACGTACAAGTTAGCTGATTTGGGTGTTGCTCGACTTATCAATGAAGGTGAAAATGCATTTACCTCCATTGTTGGAACAGAAGAATATATTCATCCAGTTTTATATCAGTGAGAAAAATAAAAATAAATTTAACAATCATTTTCCTGTGAAATTCTTTGTAGTGCTGCTATACCTGACACAAATTCAAATATTTTACCAACAACATTACAAACACGTGTTAATTTTCCATTCGAAGTTGATTTATGGTCATTAGGCGTTACTCTTTATCAATGTGCAACAGGTTCGTCATAGGGTTTCTTCCTCCTATTGACAAGAATTTTGATCTGTTATAAAAGCGTCGTTAGTAGAGAATGACAGATCATAAAGCAATGACGTACTTTATAATGTATGATCTATTTTTGAGAATTAATCAAAAACAAGATGTAGACAAGTAGATAACATGAATTCATCCCAAGCGATTAGTATCAACAGTATCTATGTCCTGTTTCATATTTGTATGTACTCTTTTAGGTGCACTCCCATTTCAACCATTTGCTGGTACACGTAAAGATCGAACTGTCATGAGACGCATCCTAGATTCAAAACCATCAGGTGTAATTTCTGGTAGGCAGTTTCTTTTTTAGTATCATTAGAATAAATCTGATTTTGTTTTTGAAAAGGTGTTGAAAAATTACCTGGAGGACAAATTGAATGGTCAAAAAAATTACCCGATACATGCCGTTTATCACCAGGCCTGAGACGTCGATTAGAATTTATATTACCACGATTATTGGAATCAAAAATCGATAGATTAATGAAATTTGAAGAATTTTTTAAGGAAACTGATCATGTCCTTAATTTAGTAAAAATTTATTATTTAAATTTAAAACGTTTTAAATTAACATGTGCTTATTTGGAGCCAACACAATCGATATTGAAATTATATGATGAATTACTTGAGCAGAACGACGATGAAAATTCGACAAATTATAACTGCTTATTTCAAAAGTATATGAATAAATTTTACTTTGAAATTTTTAACACTATCGAAAAATTTTCTTCTGAGCAACGCTTTTCGATTTTAAACAATAGGGCTGATCAGAATATTGCGAAATTCGATTATACTGCATGCGATGTAACTGTTAAAGATTATGCAGCAGAGAACCAATTAGTTTCTAGACCGTAATCATTAATAACATTCATGTGAGACGTTGTGTTGCATTCTATCTTCTTACTGATAAGATAATATATCTTGATACGAGCCTTTAAAGAATTATACAATATTATTAAAAAATAATGATGGGTTCATTGCAAATACTTAGCTGAAAAACTAGTATTCCACTAGAACTAAACTAGTTTTATCATAGTCTCACTGTAACTAACATGTTCTGTACAATGTAAGAGTACTTTCGATGAGACGTTTGCCAAGATAGTGACATTTGTTTTGCCTGATTTTCAATCCATAGCGTATACTAATTTTTTCTTTTATTTATCTTAGCGTACCGTATCCAATTTCGAAAACTGAACCAATGTCGATAGAACGATTCTGTAGTCAACTACCAATTCCGACATCACGCGAAAATCCACTTGTTTTTTATACATTTTCTCCATTGAAAGATGGCGATTCATCTAAACCAACACTTCACGTTCCTGAAGTGAAAGCGATTCGACAAAAGAATGATGTTGCCGCTGCATGTGAATGGGCTAAAGATATTGTTGGATCGTTTTTTTATGTTAAAGAACAATTATTTCAATATCAACATATTGTACAAACAGCACAATCGTCAACAACGATGATGCAACTTCATTTAAAATCGAAACTATTAGAATTTCTTTGCGCAATTCGCGCAAAACTCATTATATTCCGTACGATTGAAGAATTAAAAAATACTCTGGATCAAATCGACAGTAGTACAGGCGGACAATCAACACCAGTAAGTGGCTCATCGATGAGTTTAAATAGTGGTGATGGATCTCAGGGAAGAACTCAATCAGCAAGTGGAGACATTCCTAATATTGGTTTTTCACATATCTTAACAAATCCAACATCACAAGATAATCTTTCATCACCAGGTAAAATCAATGGATAATCAAAAATCTTTCTAGGAAAATTAATTTTTTTTCTATTTAAAAGGGGCGATTCGTCGTCCAGCATCGACATCCTCCATGCAATTGGTCCAACAAAGTCTTCGTATTCATCTACGATCATATCGTCAACCCTATGACGAATTAAAGATGTGTGAACAAAAGATTTTAGCAATGATTCAAGAACAATCTGGTAGCAATCTAGATATCGGTGACGAACAAAAACTGATTGTTAATACACTTTGGTCATCCGATAATACTAAGCAATATTCATCACAAATTCACTGTACGGACAAACTTCTTAGAGATCTAAGAGATCTTTATGAAAGCTTTTGTCAGGTAAACCAGAACGTTCTTTTCCAAAGACTATATTTGACCAATCAAAACGCAGACAAAATAAAATTCGCTACCGTTTTGATTACGATGTAGTAAACAATAATTGAGTCCGACTGAAGTACTTTAATAGTGCCCCTCATATCTTTCTTTTTATATAAATGAGTATTAATTCGAAATATTGATTTCGTACTTTCTTTTTCTCTACGTAAAACTAATGACTTCAAATAGGAAAAGAAATTGCATTGGAATGTTCTAGCACTACTATTGACTGTCGTTTTCAATAGTTGTGCTTTGCATATACATCTCGTAAACGTCATAATGCAGGATTTATAATTTTAGTGCAGTTCGTTCAGTTACATTTTCGTAAAACTTTATTCGATATCTATGAATGGAACATTTCTTCATTTTCTCGTGTTCTCTTCTGTTTTAGGATCGTTTATTAAATTCATATAATCGTTTACAAGTTAGCTCACATTTTCTTCGTCGAAGGAAATTCGAACAACTTCATGATGACTATATCGCTTTTGCTACTGGTCAATGTTTTCCGAATCTTCTTCAAATTTCTCAAGATTACAATGAATGGATAAGAAAACGTTCAGATATCATCAATGAATTTGAACGTATTAAACAAACATATGATAAACAATGTGAAAGTATGATGAGCTATGTTGATATGATTGATAATCTTCGCGCAGTTGTTTACCAAAATATTCGCGGTTTAAATGGCACGCCATCGTTTCCACCGACAAATGATCAAATTCAAAATCCATTATCGGTACCTATTCGTCAACAACAAGTTCATCAAGCAGAACCTTTAGAAAATAGCCCACAAGCTGTAGGCAACTCTGAACAACAAGCTCCCGAAAGTACGGGTAAAAAATTCATGCAAAAAATTCATGGTACAACAAAGAAGACTATTCAACATGCTGAAGAAAGTCTTGGTAAATTAGATAATGTACTTGAACAACTTCGTAGAAATATGCAGAGAAAATAAAGAAACAAATAACATGCCATTCCTTCTTCTTTTCTTCGTATTCATGTATATTCAGTTTCCTATTTCTTACACGATTTTTGTATAAACAAGTATTCATTTTTTTTCTTCTACTCCGGTGAACACCAGTGATCCTCATCATTATCATCGAGCCTTTATTTCGCTTGTTCTGGTTCTTCGCGTATGAACACAAACTAAGTTTTAACTGGTAAGCTATTCATGATGATGTAGTGGCTCATACAACAGTGATTTGACTTTGCTTTTCTTCTACCGCATCGTTTTTTTTGTGTTTTTTACTTGCAACAAAAATAAAAGACAAAACAGGCAGAAAAAGCATTACGAATTTTGATTAAGTTTTTCATTTCATTTTTTGTTTTAATATTTTCCTTTTTTTGTTTTCTTCTAGACGATAAATCACATAGAAGGTCAAGGCCTGATTTTAGTATGACGTTTTTTCTAATTTTTTAAAAATACAAAAACGATTAAAACCTTGTTGTGCACAAGTTAATAGATTGAAATCAACGAACGAAATAAACAAAACAAAACTACATCGAATCATTTGATTTTAGAACCGAACTGTACTTTAAAAATCTGACTATAAACTTATGATTTAGAAATTTTCTAACTCAATTAATCTATTTTATTCCTATTGTAGATTACCATTTTTTCACATTCACAATGGCATCAGGTGATCATCACGATAAACATAAACATCATTCAGAACCAGATTCGGATGATGAAAATACTTCAGGACTTGGTTATAAGGCACCACAAAAGATCGATATTGGTTCCATTGTGGCAAAAGATGAAGATGATGAATCATTAGCACGTTATAAAAAACTTCTATTAGGAAATACAAGTGATGGTAAACAAATACAAAATATAATAATCGAACCCGAAGATTCACGCATTGTACTACCATTACGCATAACACTGTTATTTGAAAATCATAAGCCAGATGTATCATTGGACTTGAAAGGCTCGATAGAACATCTACGTGATACACATGTAAAACGTACAATAACAGTTAAAGAAGGTGAACACTATCGAACGCAATTAGAATATTATGTACAACGAGATATAGTTACTGGATTAAAATTAATCAATAAAGTATTGAAAGCACGAACAATAACAGTTGATAAATCAAAATACATGATTGGTAAATAGAAAAATGATTCTTTTTCAAAATAAATAATTAACTATTTTTCTCAGGTTCACGTGCACCAAGTACAGAAATACAAAGCTATGTTAGCGATGTTGAACAAGCACCGACGGGCCTTCTATCACGCGGTACATTTCTAGTTAAATCAAAATTAACGGATGACGACAAAAATGTATACGCTGAATGGGAATGGAATCTTGTTATTGCAAAAGATTGGCAATAGAATGCATGTATACTTAGATTTTATTCTTATATGAACTTATAACCTATTGAAAAAATGTTTCTTTTTGTAACGTTAATTCGTCAACTAACACGTGTGATGCTGTGCTATAGAATGACTATCTATATTGAGCTTTTTACATGCGATTTAGTTTGCTTATTTTTGTTCCTCTTCTTTGTGAATTATTCGTGCATGACAAAACAAAACCCTGGTGGAACAAGAACTGATAAACATTAAGATATAGCTTTTCGCTCAGTTCTATTGACTGTTTTCTTTCTTTAAGATAAAATTTAAAAAAATAATGCTATTAGAAAGCGACAATTTTTTGTTGGAGTTAACAAAATTATTTCAACAGCAACGTGTCAAAAATTCAGGCTCATTATCATTAGTAATGAAACGATACGATGGACAAACGAAGCCCAAACCAAAATTAACTAAAAAACAACGCCTAGAGAAAAAACAAACTCCAACAAATTCATCTACAACAGCTCATGACTCAGTGGAATATAAATGTCTCGTACGTGCCACATTTGGCTCAAAAAAGTTATCGACAATTGTTTCATCAAAAGATATAAATCGTTTTCAATTAGCATATTCAAATCTGTTAAAAGCAAACATGGATACATTGAAAAAGAAAGCAAAAGAAAGTAAAGCAACAGGCCAAGCATCGGCCAATGCCAATAGTAACGTTCCATCATCACCGAGAGTGGCAACAAACGCAGCATCAACATCATCTGCTACAAATCAGCAAAAGAAAACTCCAACAACACCAGCTAAGAAAAAATAAACAAGAACATGATGTTTTAGATAGAATTTTTATGTTGTTACTGATTTTATTGTTGTTTTTAAAATCTTGAAGATGAAAAGAAAAAGTATCTTATCGTTTTATTTTGTTCTTGTTAGTCTAACAACTGATAAATACAAAAATTCATTATTCGTTATATCAATAATCAATATGTCTTACTTTTTAAATCTTGTTTTTTTCTGTAATGAAAGGGAATTCAGACGTATATAGAACTGCAAGTTCATAGCTTATTAACATTTTTCTAGATTTGTACTGAACAAATAATCAGAATAAATGTTAATTTAAACTACAGGTAATATTCTACTCATTTAATAAAATTGACTATACTAATAAAAGAATTTCTTCTTTCTTTTTTAGAGACAATCATAAAGACTATAGCTTGTAACAACTCATATTCTGATATTTCATTTTCGATTGTTAATAAAAGATGAAATGATCAATTCTGATTAGATATGCTCGCGAATCCAGATGAATTTGTAGGAAAGATACGCATGAATATTATTGGGATCGATTGAAAGTTGTTAAGAAGACGGATCCGATTTTAATTTGTTCCTAATTGTTATTATGACACTTATGTTACTCGAAAGAAACTTTTTCTTAGTCTAATCTTCTTAAACTGAACTAATCCCATCGAAAAGAATACTCCATCATTAACACGTTTTTTTTACTGAAGAAAACGCTAAGCTCTTTCTCCGCTTTAAGTCTAGCACAAATTCTTATTTTCTAGATGGGTCCTAAAAAACGTCGACAACAAAATAATAAAGAAAATAGAGATGACAATGTCAAAAATGCAAAGCTTGATCCAATATCAATCCAATCTATAGTTGTAATAATCCTATAACGAATGAACCCGAAAAAAGGAAACAAACTAAAATAATCCTTTCATTTTCATAGGATCAAAACCTTGAACAATTCGAAGCTGATTTTCAGCAACAATATAAACAATGCGAAAATAAAATTCAAGAAAAACTAACTTTTGTTCATAAAGAATTCGATAAATATATGCAAACACATGAAGCACAAGGAAAATTAGCTCGATTGCTTGATCAACAGATAACACGAATTAATCAACATCAACAACAGCAAGCTGATGGTTCTTTAGTTTCATCTTGTCAAGAATTACTTGATAAAACAAACGACTTAATGAATGCTGTAAGTTATTTAGACATTACTCGAGACAAAATTTAGAACTAATTGATTCATTTTTTTCTTCTTCTAATTTTAGTCATCGTCAGATACGTCGCGAACGAAAACATATCTTATTGGTGAATTAAAAATGTTACCACGCGGCCATGGTAACAAATGAAATCGTCTTGAAAAAGATTCACAACATATTATAACATTTGTATAAAAATACCGTGCACTCATCTATTAATGTCAGATACTGTATATTTTGTGTGTCTGTAGTTGATAAATATATATATATATATAGAAAAGAAAAGAAAAATAAATGAAATATATTTAAAAAATAATCGTAAACAATTTTGTCTAGTTGTCGGGATTAAATCAAGTGCCTGTTAATTACGAACATGTTCGGATTTGTTTTGAAGCAGATTATAAGAAATTAATTGTTTTTTTGTGCATTTATATATGAACATTAAAAGAGAGATATTCATTTTGGTGACAATTCTTTGAACAAACAGACTTGTTTCCTGCGCCAGCCGCTATTATGTTGGTGAAAAGATAGTGACCTAGTCGAACTTCAACGCATACTCTTATGTATGAGTGTTTGCACCTGTTTGCGTTTTCATTCGTATTATTTTATTCATAAATGTGTAGAACTATCTGAAGTCAATTGTTCTAGAGAGAGATTCTCTCAGTGATCACAACTGTTCGCCTTCACCTTTTAAAAATTGAGACTTCGAAAACTCTGAAATCATTCATACTTATGACTCTTCGCTTTTGGTACATACTTACTGTTATGATGAATGTCAAGAATACTTTTTCAAACTGTTTTTTTTTTCTTTTTCTGAAACTCATTTAACAGAAATATAATAGTAAAAATATTCATCGACAGATTCATCTTCGAAATCTTCAAACTTCTGAAAGTAGACTTGTGTGAATGCTCGTTTGTATGTTACGAAGACAAATGTTGTATTTCAGAGTTAACGCAGTTTTTTGTAGTATCGAAAGATGTTCTGCTTTCATCATTTTTATGTAAATTATTAAACACAACTATGCAGTCTTTACTCTATATAGTATCATTTTTAGTTCTTTGACACATTCAAGAATACGTCAGAATCCTGGTATTACATTACATTACAGGTTAGAGAATTCCTAGTGATATTTTATCTAAAATCTAAAATTTCCGTAGTTCAAAGCCTATGATAACATTACTCGTTCGACATATTTTTAGTATCAAGTAATTAACATAAAATACGAAGAGTTAATTTGACGCTATTGAAGAATAAATGCGGACACATCGGATTTGCATCCGATTGCTATCTGTACTGCAAAAACTGATTCGATTTATATATGTTGTGAATAATTCTGAGAAAAAAAATTTTGTTTGAAAAAATCGCTGTACCCTCCCCCCGCCCGCCTTCCTCAGGGATGGTCTGATCAATAATGACAATTTTGTCGATAACTCAGTCATTTCTTGACGGGTCCTTCTCATCTTCAAACTCGACTGAGATATTAATTAGATCATTATGTGTAGAAAATTTCATGACAATTGGATGAGGCTTTCAAAAGTTATCCTGTTAACGGACGGACACTGGCCGAATCTAGTGTACTCACTTTTTGAGTACACAAAAACCAGCAAGTGTTGAGTTTTTTGTCTTGGCACGAACATATTAATTCAATGTTATCGGCGCAAAAGTGAATTGATATTTTTCTAAGTTAGAGTTCAGAGAATTACCTATGATGGAATTAACAATAAAGTTTACTTGGCAACGTTATAAATAGAACGGCGTATCATATTTTAAGATTGGATATAAAAGCCAAAAGACCTTCACATCAATTTTTAATAGAACTGAACGTAAATAGTAATTAAAGAAACAGATATGTGTATATTTAGAGAAATATGTATCTGTAGATATAAGGAACCCTGCTACAAATTTCTATCATCAACGGAGCAACTTTTTTTTCTTCTTATCACTTTGTCTCTTTTTTGACAGAAGTTACTTTCAAGGAAGTTGGAGAATAGATAAATAGCGTAAAATAAAATATTAGGAACGTATTTTGAATGATTAACAGTCTATGAGATACACTATTTGATTTCCCTCTTGAACGAGCAAAGTTATAGCTATGTTTTTATTCATACTGCAAGAATATTAACTTGTAATAGTTCTCTTTCGCATAGAAAACAAGTATTGTATCAAATTAGATCAGTCACCTATTTTTACAGTCGACGTATAACTCTGAATCATTAGTATCATTAAACTATTTCAGGTCAATATTTAGTTCATTATAATCGATCGTATACGATAGAATTTCTGATTGATGTTTAATATTTACAGAAAGTTTTTCATTTAAATAAGTGTACAGTGCAAACGATTGTTAAAATTAGAAAACATCAATTTAAAGAAATCTTACTAATGACCATTACGCTGATAGCGTCAATGAGAATCCTCTAAAACTACTGTAAATTATAAAAATCTCACTGTCTTTCATGTTTTTGACAACGAAAAAATAGTAATCGCTAATGTAAATGTTGAAGCGAAAAGAACAATATTGAGAGCAGTTACTACTCCATCGGCGTCTTATCTCATATTGTTCTATTTTCTAATACACTGTCTGGTCCGTTCGTTGTATCATTTAGTTCGAGGATATTTATTAATTAAAATAAAACTTACCAATAACTGTCTATCCCAACCTACTTGAATTCATCTAATTAATGAAAAAAATAAAATTCGACTGATTTCAATTACAACTTCATAGAATAATTCCTTTGTTCTATATTTGTACATTTTTAGTTATTACAAAATAAAATTTGATTCATCATCATCATCATCAATAATGATACTACGTCTTCTCGTAGCATATTTATTTTTATTCTTTATCAGTTTTCAGTATTCATACGAAATGTCAACATCAACAAATGGTATGAGTACTAATAAATATAATCATGATTTATTTTTATTGGTAAAATCGTTACATTTAATTTCACGTTTATGTCAAAAACAACGACAATATCCATTGAATATAACAAAACTCTGTTTAAGATGTTTTCCATCAGATAGTTTACAAAAACAAGAACAGCGAAGTAAACGTGTTGGATGGACAATCAGCGTTTGAATGGGATCAAATACATACCATTTTTTCTTCTTGTTTCTCTGTCTTTTGTTTATTGTCTCAGCAAAAGAAAGAGAAAGACTTTGTCAAAGAATATCATGAAAATAAAACTTAAGCAGAGAAAGTAAACAGTAATTTACAAGGGCCTTCCTCTCATTATCGGACTCATATAATGTTGTTGTTGTTGTTGCGAACGAACATAACGATTTCGATCCATGAGAATAAGTCGTTGATGTTGATAATGTATATTTTTATCTGAATTAGCGCTCATGGTACATGATATACGTAATTCTTTTAATAGCCATAGATTACAAATAAGCTTACGACATTCACTACGAAATGATCGACCAGTAACACAATACAATATAAAGTTAGCCTAAAAGAAAAATTCCTATAATAAGAAAGCAAACAAAAAAAGAGTCAATCTTACAGCATGATTTAAATACATTAATAATGTTAGAGAAACTTGTATTATTTGCCAATGTGCTGTAGATCTTTGTGAAGGTAAATATTTTGCTATCAATGAACGTATCGATATTGGTAACGTACAGATAACAAATATAAATGATACAATCAATAATAAACATGTTAAACGGATTCCTGTTGCGCTTATTGGGCCAAATAAATGTTTTTGATTCGTATTCGGTTTATTGTTTTGTTCGATAAATTTGTTATTTCTTGGAATATGATATAAACGTTGCTTGTTGAATTGAGTGGGTGAACGACCAACTGGAACTGATTCTTAACAAACAAAACAAAACAAAAATAAGATTGATGATTTGTTTTCATTGAAGAGGAAGCTTTTAACAAGTCCGCTGTAGACTCTATGTCATTCTATAATAGATATCATGATTAGACTAAATCTGGAAAATTCTCCGCGCATGACTTTTTCAGAAGAGTACGTTAGAGACCTGGACGTTATGGGAAGTAAACAGGAAAATCAGTAGGGATGCGTAGTATTGTAAACTATATGTATATCAACATTAAAAAATTAAACTATATTATGTGTTATAAATTTGAATTTGTTTTTTTTTAGAGAGAGAACAGTTTGACTTTTGCAATTTCTATTCCTGTATAGTGAAGAAAATTATAATAAATATGATGTTGCATGTTCGAATATGAAAGACTTGGCTGCTTGTTAATTTGCGTAGTCAAACTTATTATGATAAAATATTCCTCATACATAGCATTCGAATAACTTCGTATTTTTTATTTTTCCCAAAAGCAAAGGTATTGTTCCATGAACATCTGCATATTTAAAGAAATTGCTTGAAGGTTAATTACTCTGCGAGTGCGGAAATAATGTGAACACTTCGTGCTAGCTTATTAATGAGTGCAAAGAAATATAGAACAAATATCTAAGACGTTCTGTTCTTTGTTATTTTGTCAAACAATTAATGCAATTAGAGACTCAACATGCTTTCAAGTCAGTTACTTCAAATGTCACTCATAAGAATAGAATAATTTGCATTTATTTAAAAATGCTGCCAATTAAAAGTCTTATTGTAAGCAAGTAAGGAAAACGTGTTTTTTTTACAACACTAACCTGCGGATCGACTACGTAAAAATTGTGTACGCATTGTTGATGAACTTTTATTTTTATTTCGTTGTGATGTATTTGTTGAAGGTGTGTAACTATTTGCTTGTAGATAGTCTCGTCGTTTTCTTATAGCATGAAAAATTGTGATTATAATTAATAAATTAAATATAAGAATTAATATTGATGGTAAAATGCTATAAAAGCATAGATCAATAAATGCAAATAAATTTTGATGCACGGTAACATCACAAACTATATAATTTGGATGGTAACCTGCATCTGTTTGTAAGTTAATATGAATTAAATTCATTGTAAAAAAATAATGCGTTGAATATAAGGAAAAAAATATAAATATCATTATTGCTATTCTATATGCAACATGCATGCGGCATATACGTATCGATGAAAATGGAAATCGAACAACCATAAAACGTTCAAATGTAACAGCAACAATAAGCCATGCCGATATATAAGTAAATAAATGTTGAATATAAAATGCTAGACGACAAATAAAAGTTGAATAAATTTGTGGACGATAGTTAAATGTTGTTTCAAGCATATATAAAAGACAGCCAGTATAGAGAATACATATGTCAATAATCGCTAATAATCCGAGATAAAAATAAGATGAAAGTCCCCGACGGGAACGACGGAACATAATAGTTGCTGATAAAGTATTTCCAATCAAACCAAATACAAGAAATATCACTAATATTATTGTTACTGACCATTTTCTAAGACCATGTACAACAGGATATGGTTTAGGTTCACAATGGGGTGAACGTAAAGAAATATATTGACCTTCGATTGTTGCATTTTTCGATTCATATTCGGATGTATTTAAACCTTTGAGAATTTCTTCAATCTGTTGACATGATAAACTATAGATTTGGGCTAGATTTGAACTTGTTTGTGATGATTCCATCGTTGAATTTTTGAAAATGAAGATGAAATAATGTTCTATGTTATTTTAGTGTCCTCCGGCAATCTAAAACGTATAGACAAACAATTTGTGATGAGAAAATGTGGGAAGCCAACGTGCTAATGGACATCCCTAATAATATTTATACTCGTAAGGGTTTCCATTCTTAGTTCTAGTAAACCATAAAGGCGAATCTAAGGAAAAAAATTGCTTTTTGTCATAACGTAGAGTTCGCATTAAATCAAGAGTAGTATCTAAAAAGTGTTTGCTTGGCTTCTCTTTTCTTTCGAAATATGATGCAAAACTAATGAATCCTTCAATATGAGACAACCATACGATAGAAAAAATGAAACTAACTTTGATACATCTATGAAAGTAACAATAGAAATGAGAGAAAAATCAGAAAAGGAATTGTCTATAAATATAAAAACTCGATCTAACATAGAATAAAGAAAGAAAAGAAAAGAAGAGGACACTTGTAGTATATCTTATTGCAATATCACAAGTTTCCTTGCTGTGCGTTTCGCTAATTTATCTATCTATACAGTAGGATAAAAAAAAGAGCCTAAACTGTGTTTGCACAGCAAGAGAAAACAAGGAAAACCATCGTTAGCGCAATAAAATTCCAGTAATGATGAAGACAATCGCAGGGTGCTTATCATTAAAGAGTGCCTGATAGAAACGCTCTCGAACTAATAGAGTATTGAATTATTGACTGACTACTTAAGAAGTTAATAATGTCGAATTTTTAAAATTATTAATGAATGTAAATTATACATGGCCTCTCATAAGTGTCTTTAATTCTTAACCAGGATAAAAGAAAGAAGGCAAATTACAAGGTAAAAAAAAAATTATAATAAAAGATACTATAACAAGCATAAGAAAATACTCTACTAGATTAAAGACAGTTTTACGCCTTTGAATAATTTTCTTTGTTGTCTTACACGTCTTTCAAATAGTCGTAATGATTAACAAACATCATTTCCTTACGGTACACATTATAATTGGTGACGATCAATAATTCAGTTACTAAACTTCGACAAGTACTTGCTAAGCTTATTATTATTTTTTTTTTTTGTGCGTATATTAGTGATACATATCATCGTTATTAATGGCATCAAATCAAATGGCAGAGCAGAAGAAGGAGAAGAAAAAAATGAGAGGATTATATACAAAGAAACATCTTAGTTTATATTTAACGCCTCGAGAAGAATCTAAGATCTTGTTTAGTCATAAAGAAATACAACAGATAAGCCTACACTAATGATAAAGAAAACTTCATTGGATCATAAATCTAATGAAGACCGACATTTCAATCATGAATGAAATTATGTGAACGACAGCATAGAGCGTAACTGCTACGGGTTTTGTTTTGACATGCCATTGCATTTCCGCATACACTCTGATCTTTGTTCGTTCTTCTCTTAAGAAATTCCGGCATGATGTTTGTTTCCATTGATCAAACGAATTTCGTTAAAAGCAACTCTAGATAAAATAATCAGAACAAGAAGAGTCTAGAAAAAGAGAGAAAAGACAACGAGATGTTTTCATTTTTTTTAAATTTTGTTTCTTTTAAACGCATGTACAAGAATCTGTTGTTCTTTTTCATCTTTTTTTGTTAATCACAAATAAAAACTAGTTTATATTTGCTGATTATGAATCCAGATATTTCATCTCAATTGCGCTTTGTCAAAAAAAAAGATTTTTCGTTTCTGTAGAATCCACAGTCACTTAAAAAAGGATAAACAAAATTATAATGGCACTCAACTTTGATAGGTTTCTTCGCTCAACTCCTATATGTGTAGAACAGTACAAACGTCGTAGACTTTTTTAGTGTGATGGACATAAAAAGTAAATACTGTTGCAGCAAAAAAGATTCGTTTTCTTTTTTTCTTACGTATTGCAAATCATTGTTCTTTTGACTATTTAAAAGTACTGAAATTACTTGTAAATCATCGAATAAAAAATTCAAAATGAACCGTGTAGGACTTATGGCTCAAGTTGATGATATGTTAGGAAATTATGTAATGAATCCTCGAGTCAAAAATAAACGGATGGATAAACCAACTGGTGATTCAAGTCCGCTAGCTTTATTAAAACTATTATATTCATTATCAGTTTAGCAAGTTGTTTCGTTGAGTAAAAGTATTGGAAACAACAGAATTGTACTTAATATATATATTGATTGAAAGTTTCTGCGTCTTAGTGTTAACATCACTATCACCTAAATCAAAGTGTGGAGTTTTTAATGATAAAAATGAGCAATTTTACTATGCATTTGAAGCCAAACAATTTGCTTGTAGAATTCGCTGAAGAGAAAAGAACATACATATAGTATACATCATTTAGAATCAGATACTTGTCAACGTATGTGTTATCCAACAACTCGTGCATTCCAAGTTCGTGTTGTTGATAATACAAATCAAGTAGAAATAGAAAATATGTTCTCAATTTCGATGCTAGGAATTATTTTTAGGAAATAATTTGTATTAAACATGAATTTAAATGTTGTGCAGGTAATCGTTGGTTTGCTTGCACAACAGGATACAGTCATGAGATAATTGTTGAATCTCCGTCGGGTACTGTAATCGGTTCCGTTTCTCGACAATGCATGTCTGAGAAGAAGAAAAAAAGATATCAAGGTTGTCATCGACATCATTTATCTTTCTAGATGTAGTTTTAGTCGTGTACACTACGCGCTTAAAGATGCAACCGATAATGTTGTATTGAAAATTGTTGGTTCAGGATGTTTATGTGATTGGCCATACGCTTGTTGCTGTGAAAATAAATTTATCGTTAGCAATAATTAATTCGTTTCCTATTATCCTATGAAATTCGTTGTTATAGCTACTTGGCAACGATGGTATATCGGAGATAGGATATATTTTCATAAGAAATATCATGGATTCATTGCAGAAGCCCTGACGACTGCATATTCATTGACTATAAAAGGTATGAAAATAGTTGCAAAGATTAAAACTAAAATGTTTTCTTCTTCTAATACTTCCAATGGATTTGGATGTTCGAATGAAAGTGGTTGCACTTGGTGCTGTATTTTTAATTGTAAAAAGAATATTTTGCTTCTTTTTTCTGTTATCTCTCTTTTTCTATCTTAGGATTTTGCTCATTTTGCTGAACCGAATCGACGTAGAGCGCTCCGATACTAAAAGTGAAAATTTGATAGTAAATTTTTAGCCCTTCGATCTTATAAAAGTAATTCTTTTGTCTTTATTTTTTAATAATGCGACTTTTCAACTTTTTTATCTTTATTATTAATAATAGAGGGTCAAAAAGAACCTGTTTTTTTTGTTAAGAATACTTGAAGAAGAAGAAAAGGTAAAATCATGTTTCTTTTGACTGAATAATGGCATGTTTCACACAAAGATTCAATTCAAAAGAAAGCAATCCAGCCTAATAATTAAGATTTCATATCCTGCAATTTGTAATTATACTTATCACACTAACAGTCATGTGCTTTCATCTACTTATAAAAGTAGCCTATTTAAAGGATCAAAAAGTATAAGAGAAAAACAATCAAAGTTATATTAGGATGTGCACACGATGAAATTCCATGGCATGCAAATAAAACTCTAATTTTTTTCATTATATTGTTGAACAAAGAGAGAAAAAATTATCGATGAAACATTGATTGGTAACAACAAATATGTATTCTACAATCATGTTTTATTCAGATTTTATGATAAAATCTATGCGATTGAAGAATAAAAGTGGACGAGATTTTACTGAAAGACTTTTCAGTTTATTCAGATTACATTATCTTCTATCACATTTCTTACTAAATTATATTCAAAGACATACATGTAAGAGAAAAATTTTTGAATTTGTTCTTTTTTATGGAATGCATGATTTTCTGATCCTATAATAACCTATTATTGTTCTCTTCAGATGATTCTAATTTAATTTCGATATTCGATTAGTATAGATTTTTAGATTTATTTCCGTAGTTGTTCAAGTGCAGAATTACGTTGGAATGCAGTAAAAAAAAATTGTAAATATTTGTATGCAATTTGTTCTCGTTTATCTCCACAGTTTCTCTTGCGAGCTGAACATTTTTGTCATGTGTGAATTAGAAATTTAAAGAAAGCTGTTTTGTTATATTCGCATCTGCGAAGAATCATTCCTGATGAATTTCAGATAATACTCTGATTGTGAAAAACAAATCGTGGAACGTGACAAAGTCGCATTCTTATTCTTTCAACCACTCTAAAAAATGCCAAGCGTCTTACAAAACGGTTCATGCGTCTATTTTTCATTTATTTTGCTTGTGCGTCTAAAATCGGTCACCCGTTGACACTTGGCACGTCTAGCTGAGACGTGTGATGCGTCTTGTTTTTAGACATAGTATGCGTCTCAGCTAGACGTACCAAGTGTCAACGGGTGACCGATTTTAGACGCACAAGCAAAATAAATGAAAAATAGACACTAGAAGTGTCTTATCGAAGTGTCTTGATTTTTTAGAATGACATAAGAAGAATGGCATCCATAGTAACATTCAGATGAGCTCCATCTATAAAACAAGAAAAGAAAGTTTTACATAAAGAATGACTCATCGGTTTCTAAAGAATCATTTTCAAAAAAAGGTAAGTGATTTTAGGATTTCATTTTTGTATTTGAACTTTTTGCCAATAAAAAGAAGCTCATCTCTTTATGCCTAGGAATATTCTGGAACAATCTTTCGTTATTTCACATGATTTACTCATTCATAGATTCACTAGCAAGTATGTGCCAGGGAATTTAGTGCCTTGTCAGCATTGCGAAGCGTTTTTCACAATGAGTAAAACCACGTGGAGATTCTTCTAGATTCTTATTTCTCTATAGCATGAAAGACTGACACGTCAGCCCGTTCTGTTTCTTTCTTATATAACGATCTTTTTCTTTGCTATTTTTGTTGTTGATTACTCATCGATCGCGTCCCGTGAGTATATAAAAAGCAGTCGCAAATGTAGTCTTGTTCATTGAAATCAACTGACACACATCAAGCATCATGTCTGCACAACAAGTTATCGTAAAAGCTTATTATAATGATCTGGTTGAAAAACAACCAGAAATCCGTCGATTTGCTGTAAGTTATTTAAATAATTATTGATTTTAATTGAAATAAATTGTTTATAGATCGATGTATCAGCGAACAAAAATGTCTATCAAGCTTTGGAAGCAACTATTACTCAATTGAATAGCAATTATCCCCAAGGCCAATTTACATTACAATACATAGATGAAGATAATGATCGTATTACATTTTCATCTGATGATGAATTAGGATCGGCTTTAAGTACTGTTCCACTTGGTGGTACACTTAAAGTTTATGTTAAACCAAAAGTTAAAAATGCTGAAGAAGCAACTCCAAATACAACAGCTCATACTGGTATTACTTGTGATGGTTGTCAAGGTTCAGTAGTTGGTAATCGTTACAAGTAAGTTTCGCAATCGTTTCTTTTATTTATTTTTTTTGTTCTCTCTGCATTATCAAATTCATGTTTCTTTTTATATAGATGCATGGAATGTCCGGATTATGATTTATGTCAAGCATGCATGGATAAAAATCTTCATCCTGAACACAATATGGCGAAATTAGTGAAACCCAATCGTTCATTTCCTGGTTTCTTCGGTGGGCATCGCCGTTGTGGCCGTGGGTCATTTGGTCGTGGTCGATTCTGTGGTGGTGGTCCTCGTGCATGGAGCCAATTCATGCATCAACAACAAGATGGTGCAACTGGTTTTCAAATGCCAGCCGATATGACTAGTTTTCTGAGTCAATTTAAGGGTAAAGAATTAGCTGAACTAATTGAAGCTCATTTACCTGCATATTTACGTACGGAAAAAGTTAATGAAATCATCAATCGATTTAAAACTGGTGAACAAGCTGACAAACCTGTTGATCAAAGTGCCCTCCTCGAACATGTTGGCGAATTTCTTCGTGAAGTTCTTTCACCTTTTGGAATTGATTGTGACTATTTTGTGGATAATAAACAAACGCAAAACCCAACGGAACAACATGGAACCAAGGAAAAGAAAGAAGAAGAAACAATAAGTAATAATACAAGCGCTGAACCTAAACCAACTGCCCCACCAGCTTCAGTACCTTCATCGGCTGCAGCTGCTCCGCCGCCAGCATTTGGTAATTTACTTGAACAACTTCAAACGATGTTGGGTCCTATGTTTCAACCACCGGTAGTACCTTCAGCAGCAGCAGCAGCAACAAGTGCTACAAGCGATGAACCACTAGCTCAAGAACACAAGAAAATTGGCGAATGTGTTGAACGAATGACTGCAATGGGCTTTGTTGATACAAATGGTGTACTCAGTGAATTGATTCGAGCAAAAAAAGGTGATCTCAATCAAGTTCTCGATGCTCTCAATCCACGAAATTACAAAAATTAAATAAGAACAACATTTTAATGTAGACTCACATTCGTATTTTATGTAGCATTCAAGCCAGAAAATCTATTTTGTAATTATGTTATCTATATCAGCTAAGAAATAAAAGTTGACTGCATATAAATCTCTTTGATAAATGATTGTTTTTTATACAAATATCCATATGAAATCGTGTACGAGAAGATAAGATAAGATAAGATATGAAAACGAAATCTAGCGACCTCTTTTAATCTGATTTTGTCATGTATCATGTTGGAGAAAAATCTCACATTGCTATTGGTTGCTAATATGTTTATTTATTTACTTTTTCTTTTGAAACAGGCCCGTGTTGCATTTGAATTGATTAATTCTAATTCTAAGTTTCGTAATTATCATCACTATTGCGATGAACACCATCTTATCACGATTAATATCTATTTTACCTTCCTATTCACATCAGTCTGCACGTTTTCTCAGGTAAGTTCGTTGATTTGTTTTTATATCAACAATTCTAATAAAAAATATTTCAGATCAAATAATTTCGTTGAACGTCTGAAATCAAATAATCAAAATGCTCAAACTGTTTGTGTAGTTCCTGATCCGATAGAAAATCGAGGTATTATCTATGAACCACCCTATCTATTCGAAGTTGATCTCTTTCCTAATTATCAATTATTGGCGGTATCTGTACGAGGTTATGATTATGTTGTACTCGAAGGTTATTTTCGATATATACAAAAATTAGCTAAATCACTTGATATTAAAGTATCTGAAGCGTATGTAATTCCTTCTGTTTGTCATAGATTGATTTATCTCAATTGATATATTTTATTTAGTGTTCCTATTCCAGCTAAATCATCTCGTGTAACAATACTTAAACCACGTAGTGCACAAATTGACGTTGAACATCATTTAAATTTATATCATCGTATAGTAAAAGTAAGAATTAGATGACAAGGGGGAAAAAAAGATCAATAATTAAATTAATTTTTAATTTAGTTTGCAAAAGTAAAAGCAACGATGGCACCCATTTTATTTGAATGTATACGTTTAAATATACCTGAAGGTGTTGAACTTAAAATCGATATACCTAATTCAGTTGATGATGAATTTCGTTATGTACCTGACGTTGAATTACAACAGCTACAAAGTGAATTACGTGCAATTGATCATGAAAAAGAAGAAACACAAAAGGCTAAAGACGCTAAACGTGCATTAAGACAAAAAGAAAAAGCACAAGCTATGCTTCTATCCATATTATCACCATTTAATGATGAAACAGTACCGCCATCTGATGATTTGCCAGATAATGATGAAAAATCCAAATAGATTATTGTTGAAATATTTCGTTTTTATATTCTCTCTCTGTTGTTCATCTATCAACATTAGTTTGAGTTTGTTATCTTTTGGTTTCTTTTTTCTAGATGAGTCGTTTTCGTTCAACGAATCATTTATTATTCGTGGAGAATAATTTTTCCTACTGTTCTATCCTACAAACAATGATGATGATCAACAAATAGGCAGTTTAATCGTATGTTGTAAAACGAAAAAAATTAAAAATTTCTGCTTTTTCTCCTCCTTGAAATATAACCTTGAAAACAAAAATTCAATTCAATTAAAAAGTGAATTATTATTCATTAATTTTTTCACTTTTTCAGATACAATGCCTCGATCGCCAAAACAAGAGTCAAGTAAACGAAAGAAGAAATATGAACATTCGCCATCCGATGATGAAAGAAAATCATCACGTAACTCTAAAAATATGAAATCTTCGGGTAAGTTTGTTTATTTCCCCTAGTTTTTTAATTTAACAAATTTTCTATAGAAGCATCGCATTCCGATGGTGATGATGATAATGGTCATCGTCGAGGGCCAACACGAAATGGACGTGCTGAAGTGAAATCAAATTATAAAGAACCACCAGAAGCTCGTACACCAGAGCGTCATTGGCGTTTATCGGTATCGAAAGATGGTGAAGATCTACCAACATACCGGATATATCGTCAATCAAAATATATATTTGGTCGTGACAAAGATCAATCTGATATTCATTTACATCATCCATCATGCTCAAATGTGCATGCTGTTATACAATATCGTCTTCGAAATGATCCTCATGGACGTCATATTTATCCTTATCTAATTGATTTAGGATCGTCACATGGAACATATTTGAATCGACGTCGTATCGATCCAGATCGATATTATAAATTAGAAGAAAATGATGTTTTACAATTTGGTGAAAGTTCAAAAGAATTTCTTCTTCTCGATTCTGATTCATCGCATAAGTAAATTATAAAATGTAATTTATGAGAAAATACTTTTTCTTTTTGTTTCTTTGAAGGCATAATAATGATTCGAAACGATCACATAAACATCATGAAAATAAATCAAAATCAAGTGATGAAGATGAGTAAGTTTCAAGTCTTTTATAATTCATCCCTGATAATAGTTTGGTTTGAATAGAAATGATATTGAAATTCCGGATGAAGAAACTGAAGAAGAAATAATTCGTCGTCAACGACTTCGACGTGAACAGTTAAAACAAGTAATTAATAGAAAAAAAAAGAAGTAAAATTTTGTTTTTACATTCTAAATTTTTATTTAGAAATTAATTAAGAAAAATACCACTGATGATTCTTCAATGGATAGTGATGCGATGCAAATTCAACAACAAGAATCAACACCGACACCACCACCAAGAGGACCTGTAGTAAATGTTGTTGACGATGATGATGAAGAAGCAGCATTTCTTAATCATTGCATTGAAAGAGAAAGTATTGATTTTGACAAAATAGCAGAAGATAAACGAAATGCAACAATAGACGGTAAATATTCGATGCAGGTTTTTGATAGAATAATACTAGAATTTTCTTTTTTCTTGTTTTATATTAGATGAACCATTAGCAGGTAAAGATGCAAATTCGCCATCGATTACAAATCAATTACGAAATGAAGAATTAGAAAGAAGGAACGCTGTTACATCTAATTATGATATGTTTGCTACGGATGATGATTACCTCGATACAAATGTATGTTTTGTAAAACACAGAAATTTTGTAGTATATTTTGTTCTCGATTTTCAGAGTCCCGGTGCGTGGCGTCGTAAAGGCAATTCGAAAGAAATTGAAAATCCACATTTAACGGATAATTGGGATGATTCCGAAGGATATTATCGTAAGTATTGTTTTCAAAAAAAAAACAACGGCAAATAAAAAATGAATGTTGATTTTAGGTGTACATATTGGAGAAGTATTAAATGATCGTTACGAAATTTTTGGATTTACAGGCCAAGGTGTTTTTTCGAATGTTGTTCGAGCTCGCGAAGGAGCAAATGGAAAAGGTACAGACGTTGCCATTAAAATTATTCGTAATAATGAACTTATGTAAGTATCTAATGAAATCGTCTTTCGAATAAACAATATCATTTTTTTTCAGGAATAAAACTGGTTGGAGAGAATTGGAATATTTACGTAAATTAAATGACAGTGATCCTGATGATCGTTATCATTGTTTACGATTATTAAATAATTTTACACATCGAAATCATTTATGTCTTGTATTTGAACCACTAAGGTAAGATAAACAATTGCAATCATTCGTTCATTTGGGTTTTTTTTCTAGTATGAATTTACGTGAAGTACTTAAAAAATATGGTAAAGATGTTGGCTTAAGTATAAAAGCTGTCCGTTCATATACACAACAATTAATGTTAGCACTTAAACATTTAAAAAAATGTAACATTTTACATGCCGATATTAAACCTGATAATATCTTAGTTAATGAATCGAAATTATTTTTAAAATTATGTGATTTCGGTTCAGCATCATTAGCATCCGATTGTGAAATAACACCTTATTTAGTCAGTCGATTCTATCGTGCACCAGAAATAAGTATGTTAATAGTAAAAAAATAATAAAGACTAAAATTATATTTTTCTAGTTCTTGGTATGCAATATGATTTTGCCATTGATCTATGGTCAGTTGCAGTAACTATCTATGAATTATATACGGGTCGTGTTATGTTTCCGGGTAAATCCAATAACGAAATGTTAAAATTAATGATGGATCTTAAAGGTAAAATGCCCAATCGAATTATACGAAAAGGAATTCTGAAAGATAAACATTTTGATCGTGATTGCAATTTCCTCTATCATGAAGTTGATAAAGTAACAGAACGGGTAAGTAATATATTTGTGTTTTTTCTCTCGCCTAACTATCGTGTTTTTATTTAAGGATAAAATAACAACAGTATCAAATATAAGTCCATGTCGTGATTTATTATCTCTGTTAATTGGTCACCAACGTTTACCTGAAGATCAGATGAAAAAAGTTTTACAACTTCGCGATTTATTAGAGAAAGTACTTATATTTGATCCACAAAAGCGTTTAAATATAAAACAATCATTCGAACATCCATTTATTCAAGAACGACAGTGAAATAAAGAATGTAGGATTTTCGTTTTCTAAATATAAAAACCGTCCAAAGAAAAAAAAATAATAAGGAAAATCATCATTTATTATAATTTCTCTTTTCGTTCATTTTTTCTTCTCCATCTTTGTACAATTATATTAAACAAAAACAAAAAAAAATATATATATATATATGCCAGTTGATTTTTGTTGTTCTTCATGTGTTTCCTTCGAATTTGCTTATCATATTCTTCTTCTAATTTAAGGATTTATGAACAATTGATGCCCAAACATAGCTAAAGAGAGATCCGCATTTATTTCGACATGTGTGAAATACGAAAAAAAAGTTTGATTTTATTGGGAAATAAAGGAGTAGGCAATATATTTGAAATTTTCTCTTATTTTATTATTATCATTTATTTATTTTTCTTTTGTCTTGCTAGAGCAACATTGGTCTATATAGCCAGTGCCTATCTACTAGATATTAAAAAACAGGAATTTGAATGTGAAAATTAAATTCATTTTATTTAGTGATTGAAAGAATCAGAAAACATTTGCTAAATATGTTTATTTTTTTGTTTTTAAGATACAAATAAAAGCCAAAAATAATGTTGCACTTTCCATCATTGATCAGTTACGGTTTTCTATCTTTTTCTATGGCATTTCTCAACAAAGCTCTCTTTGAAATTACTGATTTTCAAAATAGTTTATTTGTTATTTTTGTGCAACTTTTATTTATTATACTATCATTCCAATTACTTGGTTCTATGCGCATTATGCCGGTACCCGTTTTAACGCAAACTGATGTTTACACATTTCTGATTCCATCCATTTTCTATAGTTTAAGTACTATTGCATCGCTACAAGCACTTATGAAACTTAATGTTGCTATTTATGTTCTAATTAAGGTTAGCTTGTTATTTGAGTTACGCTTCTAATTTTCTTCAGCAACATTAATATTTTTCTATTGTAGCGTTGTACACCAGCATTTACATTTTTCTTACAAGCAATTGTATTAAAGGAAAAGAAGCTTGATTTCAAAACTGGCATATGCGTATTGGGTATAACATCTGGCGCTGTAATAACATCAATTAGTGATCTAACTTTTCATTTCGAGTCTTATTTCATCGGAAGTCTCAGTGTTGTATTTCAATCACTCTATCTTCTAACAATGCAACGATGTAGTGAACATAAATCATCTAGTGACGTTCTCTATATTAATAGTCTTATTGCTTTACCGATGGTATTTGTCTTGATGATTCTATTTACGAATGATCTATCAAATGTACAGTCATATAGTGGTTATACAACATTTTCATTTTGGCTGTATTTCTTAGCGTCAACATTAGGTGGAGGCTTATTGAATGGTTCGACATTTTGGTGTGTAATGAAAAATTCGGCGCTAACTACCAGGTTTTCTGCTTCCATGAATTTTTGATGAAAGAAAAGAAAACAATATTTTAAAATTTTAGTGTCGTTGGTGTACTTAAAAGTATATTGCAAATATTGTTTGGCTTATTTGTCTTCGATCGATTCTCAATAAATATCAATACAATCATTGGAATTCTATTATCGTTATTTGCTGGTACCATGTTTAGTTATTACGAATATACAGCTAAACAAAAAAAAACAGTAACAAGTACGAATCATATTGGTTATGAAGAACGAATTCGGGAATCTACAAATTTATCTTTTCCTACACAAGAAATGCCGATAAATTCAGAAAAGTTGGTTCCATAACTAAACAAGCTGTTTTTCGTTCAGGGAAAAGATCAATAAAAATGCATGCTAGGCTTTTTCGAATAAATTTAACATATTTTTTACGTTTTAAAGTTTGAATAAAACAAATCGTATGTATAATTTTTATTATTTAGCTCATTCGTCTTTGTCACAGATGAAACCCGTCTAAGGCAAGCACCAACATTTTAATTGGCCAACGATCGCTACTTTGTGATATCAACCGAACAAAAGATTTGATTAAAATTTTCTCATTTATATCTCAATATTTGACAATAAAAAAAATAAAGCAAACATTTTTTTGTTTTAGATAGAATGATAATACGATGAATATTTATATTTTATTTTTCTTTATTTGGCATCTGGTAGGTTGAAAAAAAAACTTTTATGAATAAATTAAAATATTTCTGTTTGTAGTTGTCTTTTGTATTATGTAATAAACCATGTTCACGTGAAGGCAGCCGAATTGTTCGTGATTATTTTACACGCGTAATTTAAATTTTTCAATTTACTTATTTACAGTTATTTTTTTTCAAATATATAGGCACTTGGTCCAATTTTTGAAAAAAATCACATAGCTATTCCACTGGAATGTGCTTTTTCACCTATGCGAGATGTTTTCTATCGACAAGAATTGCATAAACTGAAAATATCAAATGACAAATGGTTATGCAAATTTTGTAATAAAACATTCCTATCAGAATATTATCTTGATATGCATTTTGTTAATCGACATAATAATACATTATTACAAGTAAAAAGATTTCGAATTTGTTTTTAAATATTATGAAAATAAAATTGATATATTTTTTCTAGAATGCACAATCCACATGTTTATCGGATTATTGTTCAATTTTTCGTTGTGATGTGCTCAAACGAAGAAAAAAATCTTTGAGATCTTTAAATCCATTAGTAGGTGGATCTTTGGGAACAAAACGAAAAACTAGAAAAATTATTAATCAACAGCAACTAAGTATTTTACGAAATCATTGTACTGTAAGTAAAATAAAGTTTTTCTTTTTTGATAGGATATTTTCTATATAATTTTAGTCACTTATTAATCAATGCATTCCCGATCATGTTCATTATGATATACGAATTAAAGTACAACGTAAGTATTGAATATTAAACAAAAAAATGTTGTTCTTATCTCTAAATCATTTAGATCAAATGCATGCTGAAGTTTGTGCTTTTCTAACAGCTAATAGATACTTTGAATTACCAACATATCGTGTAAGCGGTTTGTTTTTTTCGATCCACGTTTTTAATGCTCTATTTTTTTAAAATTTCATAGAAACCTCTAGTCAATTTAACAGTTGTTTTTTGTTTGGTTGTTTTTATTGGCATGTGTCTTGTTGGTATCGGTGTTGTGACACATTCTGATTGGAAGTAAGTTTTCTCTCTTGTTTTTGTTGTTGAATATTTATTTTATAAAATATTTAGATTGGATGAAAATGATGAGTATCCAACAGAAAAACAGCATCTATCCGATGAATCGATATCTACAGCAACTAGTCTTTTGTCAACTGCTCCAGCAAGTGGTATTTTGAACTCGCCGAAAACAACAGCTTCTTCTGTTCGTCAACGAGTTCAATTTAAACCAAGTGAAAGTGCATGTCAACATTCACACTCTCCTTCTTCTTCTACTCATCATCATCATCATCATCATGAGCATAGTTAAGCCTATAAGGTTCTTTCGTTTTTATATGTTGTAAATTATATTATTGAATATTTTTATCAAAACAAAATTAAATCAATTCGTCTAGTCATTGAACTCGTGTATACACGTATCGAAATCGAAATCTTCCAAAGAATGTGTCTATGTGCACACAGATTACTAATATCAACATGGGTTCTAGATACAATGTACATTAGTGAGATTCTTATGAAACATTTTTTATTTAACTTGTTTCGCATTGACTCAACAAGTCTAAACGGAGTATACTATTGATTATAAAAAATAATCCTCATAAAAATTTATAATATGCCAACATTATCTATAACCGAACAAACGAATTCAGCGAGATTGCAATAATATCAGCAGCCCAGGTCGAACAGACACGAGCGTTTACGATCGTATATGGACTACGTAAACCTCGACCTGGGAGGCTGATTGTTCTCGTCTGTTTTTATAAGGAAATAAAATAGCGCACTGAATCTTCTACAATATGTATAATTTGGAGAAAAAATGATTCTGAAGATAGCTTGAATTTGTATTATCTAATAGGTTTTATTGATTTGAACTTGAAAGTAACTGTAAAAACTTGTTTAAAATAATCGCAGATACAATGCGATAGCTTACTGCTAGTTAACATCTATTTTTGCACGATTTCAAATATGACTGGTTCGACAGCAATCAATATCAATCTGCACATGCAAAGCTGAAGGATTTTCATTGAAAAAACATGCCTTGTTTTTTGGGGTGTCACATTTAAATTTAAATTAAATTGTTTGAAATTCAAATTAGTTAGATTTTGAAAACTAGTAAATGAACATAGCTTTTGACTTGATTGCTATTATTTAAAGTCAAATTTTAGTATGTTTCTTGCTTTCTAAAGTTCAAGCTAGTCATTCGGCTATGAATTGTGCTATTAAATATATTTTTATGAGTATCCCGGTATTTTAAAGAAGAAAGATGGGTGTGGGTATGGTCTTCTATATATACCTACACCCACACACAGGAGCCGCGCGGAGGACCTAATATTGGGGGTTGTAAAAGGGTATTTTCAACAAAGTTTAGCAAAAACAGTACAGAAAATGTACCATTGTTGGCGTAAAAAATTTAAATTTTTAATTATTTGGGGGGGCCCCCCCCCCCCCCCCTTCCGCGGCCCTGCCCACACCTGCACCCTCACCCATACCTAGTCATCAAGCCATGTTTAGACATCCGTTGAGTTTTTTATTCTTGTTATCTACAGTACTACTTAAAAGCGTGTGTGTTGGGAGGAGATTAAAAAGAAAACAAAGAAACGAACTTCAAAGCACATAGAGATGTAATTACTACACAATGTAGATATGCAGCAAAGTCTAAAGATAAGAGTCATTCGAAAAAAACAAGTAAATATAGTCAGTCGTAAAAAAATTCTTCTCAACACTAATATAACATCATCTGTTTCAAATTGTTGGTCCTGGTGAGTAAATCATTAAGAAAAGTTCGAAAAGGAAAAAGCAAACTATCTTGATTGTTATATACTTAGCACCAAGCCCTAAGAATACTTTTAATTTAATTGCGAACTCAATGAAATCATATTTTCAACGATATAAAGTCACAGTTTTAAACTTTAGGGTGTGAGCAAGAATATAGAGTACGCAAACATGCACGCTTAGTCGTAGGAAAAATGAGCATGATATTCGAGTATTTCCAGGTTCGATTCACTTTCTAGTCTGTTTTGGTTATAAAAACAGGTTGCTTTCAATACAAAATTTCATCGTCTATCGAATGTTACTATTTTCGATCAGATTGAGTGTGCACTTGGGTGTGAGATGGGTGAGTGTATGTCGTGGCGTAAATGATGAGTTCTTGCTTAAAAGTGATAAAATTAGCAAGAAAAAGTACGTTAAATGATCTGCCATTACTCTACAATCTGACAGCACAGACTAATTTAGCGTTGTAATAATTCATTCATCAGAGTGAGTATGAAAAATTTTCCACGTTGTATGCTGAATGTGAGAAGATAAGTAATGAGCGTTACAGGAATGATCCCTAGAGTCGTATGCATGTAGACTTGTAGAAGTGCGCTTGGTCAACACTAGAGTTAGATGTACATCCACTTGTTCCTATTTTTAAACGCCTTATTATTTACTTTCAAAGGTGGAGAATTTTAGAGCAGCAGACGTGCACTCTTATTGATGCTTTTCTATGGAGTGAATGAAGATGCGACATTATTATATAAATTCAATTTCTGATAATTATCGCATAGTAGAGAATCTGTTATATTTGTTTTTCAATCATTTTTCTTATTGAGATGAAGAATGTCTCCGATTTTCTCATTATCAAATGATGTTGAGATGTTAATAATAATGCTATAATTTTTTCTCAACAATGAAATAAAACAGCAGTAATTGATTTATTTCTTTTTTCCTAGACATTTAGTAGTTATTCTTTGTCGGGCGTACATTAGAATACGTCAGATGGCTAAAGCAAATCAATCTGGGGGTAGATCACGTTTTACGGATCTTAATGGTGAGCCTATGGATCATCTTTTATCACCCATCAAAGGCTATCACGATAAGCCATTAGTTTCACTTTCAGAAGCTATTGAACCCATTTCGGGTTTTTTTAATGAAATACAAGACAATGTGTATGTTGCAATACATAATTGTCCAAATCCAGCTGAAGGATTAACAACAGATGAATCAGCTTCTATTCATCTGTACACAATGCAATTTGATGGTGGACCAAGTCTATATATATTGCTTAATGAGTCCTTACGTGCTGAAAATCGGGAACAACTGAAGCCATGGTTCTTATTTTTGAAACTATTCCTTACTGCCCTGTACAAATTACCATCACAAAATGGCACGGTATGGCGTGGTATCAAAGGTGTTGATTTAAGTACAAAATATAAAACGGGCACAAAATTTGCATGGTGGGGAGTAAGTTCTTGTACTACTAACGTTGAAGTACTTGAATTGAATCAATTTTTGGGTAAAAATGGAAAACGCACACTATTTTCTATTGAATGTATAAATGGAAAATCAGTTGCAAAACATTCATATTTCAAAAATACCGAACAAGAAATTATCCTTATGCCAGGTTCCTATTTTGAAGTCATTGGCCAATTAAATCCTGCCCCTGAGCTACATATTATTCAAGTAAAAGAAATAACACCACCAATTCAACTTGTTAAACCACCATTTTTGAAATCAACCGAACAAAAACCTTCTTCAGTTGCTTCCACTTCAACTGCACCTTCATCATTAACGCCAACAAAGAAGAAAACACCACCGCAGGCCACCAGTCTCCCATATGAACAGCCATCAAAGAAATCAGGTATGAATGAATTTTATATATTTCACTCAACTAATTGTTTTTGTATGCGAGTAACTACATCAAATTAGGTTGTGTATAACAATTAGCATAAAGATTAAATTTTATATGTAGAAAATAAAACAAAGTATTATTCTTGTTTGAAAGAATATTTTATGGAACAAAGGACTGATCACGAATAATTATAGTAATGAATGAATACAACCCTTAGCTACTTAACTTTTTAAATAATAACATTAGTTATTGTTCAATTGAAATCAACGAATTATTCGATGGTGAAATCTTTTCTTTTCAGTTGAATTAGCTCATATTCATTTTCGATTATACAGAAGCACTATCTAGTTATTTGAATTATCTAGTTTCCGGAACAGCTTAACACCCACAACTTAGTGAGGACACTTTAATATCATATACTATCATGACGTAAGATAATATTAGGATAGTCATAGAGGTAAAATTCCAAAATTCTAAGAAAAATTGAAAATAGCTGCCCTTTAATTCAGAAAGTTCTTTTAGTAAATCAAATTCAACAAAGGTAAAAGATAAAAAGATACTAGTGCATCATAAGTTATATTTTAGTAAACTTGCGATTGATTCATATAGTATCACTTATCATACTGAATCTTACGTATGTTTAGATGACATAGGTGGATTTGAAAGATCCTTTCTACTGATGAATTTCGTTCGTTTCCACTGTATTGATGAAGTAGATAATTCTATCAACATAATCTGAGATCAAGCAAAGTATTTCTATTGTCAATGATGTGCTCAATAGTTTTGAAGAAACCATTGATGTTTCTTTTCTCATTCATTTACTATCATAATTGGAATATGATATCTACAGTCAGACATTATTCGAAGTTTGAATGCGCATACTTTTATATCTTTTCAGTGTACGAGAAAATATAGATTAAGTAAAACAGTATAATTTAAAAAATAATTTTTCATATCCCTTGAAGCGTTGGCAGTAAGGTTAACATTCAATGGAATACTTTAAAGATGTATCAGCGTCAGATTTGTTTTGAAAAAGATATCCAGCATAATTAACAGTACTTTAATACAACAGAAGATATTTTGGTGAAGAAAAACTATATATAAGAAATATTTAAAAATTTATGTCAACAGGACAAACATAAAGTTCTATACACTTAAGGTTTTTAGTTTTCAAGGTTATTTCTACTCCGAAATATTAAATAATAAAGAAAACATTACAAGTCAGAATAACAAAATCAATCGACACTTTACTTTTACTGTTTATTAAATAGATTATTTAGTTTTTCTACATTTCACTCAGTGAGAATAAATGAAAAACATATAGTTCTATTTGTATTTTTAAATAGTGGCTTGAATAAGTTTGATTTCAAATTGGCGACACCACTTCTAGATACAATATTTCCTTGGTCAAACTCAGAAAAGCGTTGAAATTTAAAAAAATTAATATGGTAGTTGCGATAGCACATATTATTCACAATCTGATAATGAATCCATGGATATCTCTAAAATTGTTTGTCTATATCAAAGATGAGGATTTGGCACAAGATTCGTAAATAGAGTTGTTTGATAGCAGAAATTTTCAATCTTTAAAGTATAATATTCAGTAAAACTGACTGAATTCGAATTACTACTCTGATCGTTTGTCTAAATATTGAATGAAATAGAACTTCTATGCGAAATTCAAAAGCATGTTGTTAGGATCCGACATCTTTATTATATAATGTTAGAGGTCTATAGTTATTTGTTTTTTCTCCTTTTTCTTCTCGGATATATATATATATATATATTCATGGTCAGTTCTTGACATAGTTATGTTTCACTAGGTTCTGACTGCCTGATATATAATGTCATAAAATAAAATAAATCCTAAAAGGGGAACATAATACATGTCGTTGTTATTTTCTACGTAGATATAAATTTCCATTTACTCTTAATTAAGACATTACTAATGTAATCCAGATCAATTTAAAATATAGATTCCAATAGTATTTCCCACAGCTTATTCATATAGATGAGAGAATAAAAAATTAAAAAATTATCAAATTCGACCAGTACACGAAGATATTTTTAAGGCATATAAATGCATCAATATCATACTATCATTCTTGCTATCAATGGGAAGTTTAAAATTCTGGAATTTTGATTAGTATATGCATATACTGAAAGAAACGTTAAATATCGAGATGGCGTATGTCACTGTCATACCCCCTTATGATATCACATGAAATCTGCTCACCACACGGAATCTTCTCCAACTTTTTGTGGCTTGGAAAACTATCGCAACTCAAGTAATAACCAAGGACGTCAATTTTATACCTATTGTTTACTTCGGAAGGAAACCTAAAGAATGAAACTTCCCATGGAATATCACCACAGCTATCTCGAATATACTATGTAACAGAGACATGAAATGTTGTTTCCTTAAATAGGTTATAACGATTTTCGGAAAATTTTTGATCACCCTATGCATATATCAACTATAAGTCGTGAAAAAACTTCTCCTTGAATATTCATACGATATAGTAATTCTTAGATTATGTAACTATAGTCTATCTTGCGATTTCGATGATACACGAGATACGATCTAAGTCACAATCAATATATCCGCCAAGATGAATTATATAACATCTATTTATTAATATATTAAACAACTCTGCTATATATAACTATCAGTAAACGATGAAGGAGTATAGGCAGTTATTTGCTTCATCGTTGTATGTCTGTTATTAATGGATAGTTACATAAAACACAAGGGAACCAACGTTCAAAATTTGAAATAAATTGGTTATGTAATATGGAAATAATTATATCAGTGAATTAGCTTTATCTGGTATATTGTCATTCAGTTTTGAATTAGTCCATTAAATATTTTGATGAAAGCATTTCTTCAACAATGAAATTTACATTGGAGGTATAGCATGTTCATATCTCTGTAATGTGTTAAGTTCTTTTCATGACTACTCTTTATACATTTTAAAAATAAAACAGAAATCTATATGCATACATCTTCAAGTCATAGAGCACAACGGTTACATAAGTTTTACTAGTTTGTTTTCTTACAATACACTCTTTGAGGTTGTGAGTGTGAAAGTGACTGTACCACTGTAGTTTTTGATTTTGTTAGAAATTCACAATTTATTTCGTAAAACTATATTTGCCACAAAGCCTATGCTAGCATATGGAGAAATAGACCGCATTCGAAATGTTGAAAAGTCATAATTTTTGAACTTATTCGATTTTAAATGGAGATGATGGGGAGATGTTCTATACAGTTTTGTAGAGCAAGCCAAACTGTTTCGATTGATATGTGATTTCTTTTGAACAGTTAAAAATTTGACAGAAACTAATAGCCTAATCTTCGACAATGTGTAGGGCTATTTTTCAGGGTTTGCCAGATCCACTGGTGCTAGCAGGTTAATAGCAAATCTTTAGATCATAATAATTTGAATTCATAGATAGTACACAAAGGCTAAAATTTCTAAGGGGTCAAATTCAAAAGCGACAGCCTATGCCTTTTCATACAAGAAAATGTTTTGATGGAAGTTCTCTTATTTTGGTTATATTCTTAGAGTTCTAGATGCTAATTTTCATATATAAACTAAAGGATGTGGGTGTGAGTATGGATGTTGGTGTGCGGATGCTGTTCATTCCCTCATAGTCTTATCCACACCCACACCCACACCCTTAGGTTATAATATGCAAAAGTGAAATTTGTTTTAAAAACTTTCGAATCGAATAGATCTGAAATATTCCCAGGTGGAACATACACGGTCGTATACGACGGTAAATCGCCGTATTTGGCCGTATTACATGGCTCCGTATTACGATCGTAAATCTCCGTGCCGTATACGGCGAAATACGGCGCTTTACGGTCGTTTTT